GCCACGGGCGCTCTGCAGCAGACGCTCGAGGGCCATACACACTGGGTTTCGTCAGTGGCCTTCTCCCCCGATGGCCGACTGCTGGCGTCTGGCTCGTGGGATAAGACAGTCCGGCTCTGGGATCCGGCCACGGGCGCTCTGCAGCAGACGCTCGAGGGCCATACACACTGGGTTTCGTCAGTGGCCTTCTCCCCCGATGGCCGACTGCTGGCGTCTGGCTCGTGGGATAAGACAGTCCGGCTCTGGGATCCGGCCACGGGCGCTCTGCAGGAAACCTTGAGCACTAGTGGTTTTGTCACGGAACTCGCATTTTCTCAAGATGGCTCCTATCTCGGCACTAACCTAGGATCATTTAAGATTCAATCCAGATGTGGAGATCCTATCTTCAGTACACCTATTATGAGCCCAGAGATATCTCTACAGCGTGAATGGATAGCTTTGAAAGGGAAACAAGTCTTATGGCTCCCTCCCGAGGCTAGGCATTCTTGTTCAGCGATCAGATTCAATACACTTGCCTTAGGACATGCGTCAGGCCGCGTTTCCTTCATAGGATTTCGGAAATCATAGATGTCAATCGAGTTTCATTTTCTTACTTCATATATTTTTTAGTATCTTTGCAAAAGAAGGGCGTGGGAGAAGGGTCAAATTTATCTCGACGTATTTCATTCAAGAACATGCTACTTGGTTCCTCTAGATTCCAAGACGGTGACAAATCCAGAGGGTGCTGTCGCCACAATTCTACCTCTTGGGTCAGACGCATTTCGAAACCCACAATGTCCTGGATTTCAACATCTAGAATAAGGAAATTACTTGAATATCCGTTTAATAATCTATACATCGGGGATCAGCGCTATACTCAACTATGTATTCTGGACAACGTACCTTCTTTGTGCTGCACCGTTATACCTCCCTCCGCACTTTCGTCTTTCTCACCAACGACTTGGACACATCCTCGAAGGAACGCATGAAAGCCCTGGCCAGGACTATCCACGAATGTTGGCCACGCTTTCTTGATGTAAGCCTTCAGCTCAGCAAACATCTCCTCGATAGGATTAAAATCCGGTTAGTAAGGTGGTAAGTAAAGTAATTTGGCTCCCGCATTAAAACATAATTCTCCGACTCGCTCTGAGCGGTGGAAGGAGGCTTCGGGAATCGTGTGTTCGGTAGGTACATAGTCGGAGCTCAGATAGCTTGCTGGTATATTAAATCACTACCCCAGGCACCTTTACTTCTTCCATTCCTGCTAAAAACTGTTGATCCTTGCCGGCAAACTGACAGACCACCTGCCAATTCGCGAAATAACCATCGTTTTCACTCGAGTCAATTACAATGATCACAAGAATACGGGCACCTCCTCGCTATATCATGGCTAGTCTTCTGACTGCGATGGGAGGATTTTTACTCGGGTCAGTTCACTCTTACACGGTATTATGCCCTTAGCAAGTCTTCAATAGGCTGCTTGAAGTAGTGCAGTTGACACGCGTTCTGCATCTATAGAGTCGATACTAGTATCATCGGTCCCGTCACCGTCATGCCGAGCTACATTGATTACTTCGGCTCACACAGCGCAAACATGCACGGTATCATCGTGTCCTCAGTTCTACTGTCAGCCTCGATCATTAGTTTTATTGCTGGTCGGCCCGCCGATACATTGGGTAGACCGTAGGCAATCGCTAGAGGCCGGTGCTCTCAGGCTAGCTATATTTATGGTAGGTCGCGTCATTGAGGGAATGGCGTTTGGACTGTAATTTGGGACATTAACGGTGTGCGTATCGTCCGTCTGTTGGTATTGACTGCAATAGCTGACGCGACGTGTTCCTGTCCGCATAGATATGTCTGTGAGATCTCGCCGCCGAGTGTTCGAGGGCCCCTGGCCACAGGCCCGCAGTTCATGGTCTGTCTTGGTCTGGTGGTGGGGTATTTCACTTGCTATGACACCGCAGAGATTCAAGGATCCATGTCCTGGCGGTTACCCTTCATTGTTCTCGTCGGCCTGGCTGTGGCATTTGTATCTTCGGTCCTACTCTAGTTCCCACCCTCGCCTAGATGGTTGCAAACTCAAGGCAACAATGAGGAGGCAGAGGCAACTTGGGAAATTCTCGGGGTTGATGTAAAAGATCGTGAAAGTATGGAAGATGTACTTGAAGAAAGAGTCATAGACGCGCCCAAGTCCGAAGGGGAGTCCACATCCTCGCTGTCGCCAACGCGCGGGGCTGTACAGCATTTCGCGACCGAGTGTAAACTCACAGACCTGTTTAAGAAGGATGTACGTGGCCGAACTACATTGGCCGTTTTCCTCATGGGCTTTCTCCAACTCAGCGGAATTGATGCCGTCCTATACGTGAGGCTCTTTCACGATTCTTGACCCGCAGTGAAAGACGAGAAGTCTGACAAACCGGTCTTAGTATGCACCACTTCTATTTCAGCAAGCCGGACTATCAAGCACCAATGCCTCATTCTTTGCATCGGACGTCTCCGGCATTGTTCTTGTCGTGGTTTCTGTTCCTGCCCTTCTCCTTGCCGACAAATGGGGGCCGACGCAGCAGTACCATCATCGGAGGCATCGGATTGACATCAACCATCCTGCTCATTGCTATACTGTACGCTTGAAACGCAGTGCACTCAAGTACCGGCGTTGCGCGCTGGGTTGTTATCACTTGCATCTACCTATACGCCGTGTTCTTCGCCTCAACATGGGCAGTGAGTATCAAGGTGTTTGCGCCAGAAATCCAACTACAACACACGCGTGCAAAGGCAACGGCCTTAGCGCATGGCTTCAACTGGCTTTGTAATTGGTTTTTGGCATTTATTTGTCCGATTCTCTTGGAAAGGACTGGCCTTGGTGCGTATCTCATGTTCGGTGGTTGTTGTGCATTGACTACCATCGTCTGCTTTCTTTTCATGGTCGAGACTAGGGGAAAGACGTTGGATGAGATCGATATAGCTTTTGCGCAGAGGAATGGAGCGCCTCATAAGGAAAATAAACTACCGATTGGATATCGACTGATGTGGTCTGGTCGACATCAGGAGTCTGAAGTCTCGTCAGTAGGTTGCAAGCAGAGTAGTTACAGCAAACGTGTGACCTAATTACTATCCGCGTGATTGAAGCAAAATTATGACCGGGATGCATGATCCTTGCCAGAGAAGGGCATAGTAATAATACTAATACTAATGATGATGTTACCCCGTTTGACCCCTGGCCATCCGGTCTATCTCGACATCTCGGCCCTACACGGTGAAAAGCCCGCCACGATGTTGCCTTCCTCGCTCTACATACATGTCTCTGGCACATGTGTGTTAGCATCAACCTTATCAGGCGTCGATTAGCCTGTTTGCTAGTCGGAGCATCGCGTTTCATTCGCTGTGTTCCTCCTGCTATGTTCGTAGGAAGGTCGCCTCTCTCGTCGATTCTACCACATTGCCGGTAGGAATGCTGCTACTAGTTGATGATGGTGGTGGCTCAATAAAACTGTCATCATCCACTATATGCTGACTGTGGGGTGTAAAGCTAACAATAGCTTCCAGCTCCTCAAAGCTTAATTAGTTGGCACCAAAAGAATAGCCAGGTCGAACTTGGGAATTTGACTCGGAGCGGAGGTACCAAGTCATTTTAGCTCTTCTTCTTCTTGTTCCTCCTCTTCTTTTGAAATTGATTGCTCTCTAGGGTCCACCTAGCTTTCATACATTCTAGCTATCCTTAGTATTACACGTCCCCTATACCCCATGGGAGGTCAGAGTAGGAGAGGTAGGTCTTTAAGGGTTTGGGTTAAGGGTCGTATGCCTCCGCCCCTTCTACTCCGGACGTTAATTGATATTACTACTACTACAGTGTAGTCTCCCGAATGAGTTGCTGATAGTACTATTCTCCACAGCCGTGCACTTCAATAATCACCTCTAAAGAATTCCAATTCTCTAGACAGGCCACAACTCTCGGAGGGACTCTGCAAGGCTTTGGATTTTATCTCGAGCAATACACGTGTTAAATGTGGTCAGAAAAAGAACTATATCTTGAAAGCCGAGTATGGTGTACATGATATTTTCTTTTCTGGTGAGCGGATCTGGTGTGGATTTATTTGATATGAGCTCACCCGCTGCGAACCCAACAGCGTCCGACACAACTAGTCAAAGATCGGGATAACCAAAATTTTTTATATAAATTCAAGTTAGCTTACTTATTGTATTAAGTATTAACGATAGATTAGATATTAAATTATTATAATTACTAAAAAAGCTTGTTAAATTTAAAATGAGTTTAATTGGTGATGAAGAGTCTAAGGCATCCAGTTTCCCCACATTTTACTCCCCGGACTCGGGATCTTCTTAACTTGCCGAGAAACACTCGGCCAAGAAGACCGAGCAGCTGTTAACTTGCGGGAACCCCCTCTTATTCGCAAATTTCATTCAGAACTCATCCCACATGATTTTAGACGATAGACCTCTCTACTCTCACAATGGCCAAACTTGCAGTCCGATCACTTGACCACCTAGTGCTCACCGTCCGGTCTATTCCGGCGACCGTCGCCTTTTACACTACCCATCTTGGCATGCGTCACGAAAAATTCACCTCGCCTGCCAATAGGGATGTTGAGAGGCATGAAGAACCGAAATTCACCCCTGTGGAGCGCCTACTAATGGTGCCTTTTATTGGAATAGGAATGCACTTATCTTTGGCTCTCAAAAAATAAACCTCCACCAGTTCACGAAGGAATTCGAGCCGAAGGCCCAGAACGTGCAGCCCGGAAGTGCTGATTTATGCTTCATGACCGACACCAATGTTGAGAGCGTGCTTCAACAATTCCGAGAAGCAAATATTCAGGTAAAAGACCTCATGATGAACAGAATTGCAGACGCTAAATGATTTACGCAGGTCCTGGAGGGTGACAAGGTTGTTGAGCGAACTGGCGCACGGGGCAAAATCCTGAGTGTTTATGTGCGCGACCCCGATGGAAATTTAATTGAGTATGTAGCCCTCCTTTTTAGGATTCTTGTAACTATGATATTCTTAGCTAATGAAATTCTTTAGGGTGTCAAATTATGCTTAACGGCACTTTTATGTGCTGGACGTTGGCCACGTATTAGAAGCCTATAAATACTGATATAACCGGTCAAGCAATGAACTGAACGAGTTATTCGATCAATTTACGCAAGAAAAGATCAGTAATTTTCGTATTAACATATCTCCATTCTATTTAGTAGCCGAGTTCCTGAATAAAGGTTGTGTCTGAGGTTTTCCAGCATCTCGGCAAGGGATGCTCATGTTAAATTGTTCGGAAATGGCGTCAAACCCCTGTGGATCAGCTAACAGGAAGACCAACTAGAGTATACAAGTGTTAGGCCATAAGCCAAGACCAGAACTTCCAACAAATGCTGATCCCGTTATCTGAGACGCATCATGTTCTACCGTCTGCAAGGTGTGACCGAATCAAGCTCCTCACCTCATCGTTGGAATCTTGCTGTTCCTGGGGTGAAGTGATCGGTGCTGAATGGTCCGCCGAACGACAGTGCGCAGCAAGTGATTGAATAATTCTAAACAGGCCTGTTGCGTCCATTGCCAGATGAAAAAAGCGTGCATCACGCATGACATTTGCCTGGAACCGGATCAGTGGGTAGGTGTCACGCCGTGTTATGTCTAGAGGGAGGGCGGAGAAATCATTGCTGAAGATAGCTGGGTTCTGAATGTATGATATGGCCTGTGGATGGACTTGCTTATGGACCATGGGACAATCTGCCGAAAACTGACGACTGCCAGGGCGGACTTGTAGGACGCTCCGATTTTCTGAAGTGTTCGTAGACACGGCGTTCCCACCAAAGAAAGGCAGGTTTTATACCAACCGTTGGACGCCATTTTCAAGCGTGGAGACGCCATTAGCGATATCCCGAAGTGCAAAGGACGTAAAAACGGTTATGTATATAGGCGGGATCAGATGGTCCTACGGGGACAGTTGATATGGCTTGAAAAGCGTCGCCATAGGGTGGCTTCTGTTACTATACTAGGTAATAAATAACAAAAAGTGAAATTCCGTTGGTTCTGGGGAGTGAACAGCAAGAAATACTGAGTCGAAGAATGAATACGCTGGTGTATCCAACTTCTCCAGTGCATTCTTATAGTTTTCGTGCACTGGGAAATCCTAGCCTGTCATTTGAACTCCTGCGAGTAATACGTCAATCAAGACATTCATAAGCGGCGTTTTACAGTCACTTTAAGAGAATCTATCCCACATAGTAAGAAGCGATCGCCGAGGCAAGCAGTTCATTGCAACATACACTGGTGATATAATTATGATCTGTTTACCTAAAATGGAAGGCTGCCGATGCCGACGCCGCGCTGCAAAACCAAAATAGAAAGATTTCCCAGAACTAAGGGGTTCTACGGAATGAACCCTTTCCTCGAACTCAACCAACGGTCTGAAGACCAGATCGTTCTATACAATGCGGCATCGGCAGTCACTCAGGCATCTGGTAATAGCGATGATATTTGCTCACTACATTTATAGGGCGCTGTAAGAAATCCAGCCCCAATATCGGCCGTCGCACGAATTTGTTTTCTGCTGCAGCCCACGTTCCATTTGTACACTGTGCTGGACCATTGCCTTTACCCCCTTGCATTAATCAAGGGGTTGAGCAACTTCCGAAATGTTGACGACCTTGCCAGCAAAAGTTTATTCCGCCTCTTGGCAAACAAGAAGGCAGAGGATCATGGAAAACTCAGCCGGGAAAGTAAGGTGACGTTATTCGATTTTGGGATGTCCAGGAGCACAGCTTGATTTCGGTCTGGATGGAAACGAGCCTGGCATTATGGGTCTATTCAGTATCCCTGTGAGTCCTATCACGTTGGATATTTCTCTAAGCTCTCCGTGATGGTATGCGTCTACTACTTGATTGGGTTGGGGCTACTTATGAGAGTAGAGGGGCTTTGTAGCTCACTCAATTCGGCCAAGTCAACGTGGGTTAATGTCTGCTGCGAGAACCTGCTAGTCATCACTTTAATAATGAGCGTGATAGGACACGAGAGTGCGCACCCAATAAACCGACCGCTAAATTGAACAAAGCACCCCTAGTCTAGTTGTGGCATAGCCTTTAGCTGTCTACCTTATCCCTATCCCTAGTTATAGTTAAGGGCCAGTTGGACCCCTTTGGTGCTCGTTTCGGCTTTTCGGAAAATGCGAAGCGAGATCCCACTTGAGGCCGAAGACTGGGTTAATATAGACGCAGATATGCTGCATATGGCGTAATTTGTCTTTGATTCTACTTTTAAGCCGACGCAATTTCCTGGGAGTGAGGGGGAGAAGAAATTAAAATGCGTACTTCGAGTACCGTTAAATCCTCGCGCGTAAGTAGACATTCACGTAGTTATTTCCCGATAGATTTGAAAAACCGGTTCTCTAGGGGTATGTACAACAGTGATGGGCTTAGAAAAGCCTATCGGGGACATTCTCTGAACTTGCACTAGCCTGCGTTCGGGCTGGCGTGCTTGTGGTGCCTGTGGACGTCGTAAAATTGAGGAGCGTAGCATGGGGCTTCGCTGAGCTAGCGGGGCTGTAAAATTTGTTTCTATTTAAACTTGTTTCTGTAGGGAGCACCAAAAACTCCCATACACTTCAATCGCCGTGATTTGAGTGGCTCGTGTCAATGTTGAAGCTCGAGATCCTTATAAAACTTTTACTTTAGTAAGGGGCATTGGTCAAATTCACAGTTTCAAAAGCGTTGTTATCTCTTTGAGATGTAGGAATTCCCAACTATAACAATCGTGGGACGCTAAAAGAATAGCTAGTGTGGTCGCGGGGCGTATACTTTTGCTTAGTTCACTAAGGGCCAATTTTACTGTGTATCCGCGCTGGATAATCCATTGAGGCCAAGAGAAAGATAGTTCGCCCTAGCTCTTTAGAATTAGGCTATTCATCCTGTCTTCATTGCTTCGCTTGTCTTCGGATACTATACAGATCACTAGATGCTGCCAGTATTGATTTCCTATTCCAGTCCTGAACTCCGACGCACGTGGACATGCAAAAGTCACCCACCAAGCCGATAAGACTAGTAGTATAGCATGGTGGAAGTGACCTGAGACATTTTTCCCTAGGCATATTCGCCCATCGCGTGCTTTTACCTTTCTTTACTCCGAAAACGGCCATTCCGCAAGTAGGGTTACAGTAGGTGTGATCGCTGCTCGGTTAGTTCCAACTAGCCTAGGATGCACTCGAACTAGCGTATTCGGTTTATTGGCCCGATAAGGTGTTATACAGGTTGTCCGACGGACTTCCATCCGAGTGACCATCCATGTGCGTTGGATCGGAGAAACAATCTAAGCTAGCGAGTCAAGTTATGCCCGGTCATTAAGGCTGAACGCCACCGGATAGTACATATCGTCGGTTGCAAACGTCTAGTTTACGATAAACTCTGTCTAGTCGATGCAACACGCCACTACTGTAAACCGAAGCGAGGATTCGACCAAATACTATAATCTCTGGACTGATAACCAACAAGGGACATGGCGGTAAAATATCGGTTCACGATTCAATTGGGGGCCCAAGCCCTGGTGCGTTACAGTGAATAACTATGGCAGGCACAACTGGAGTGTTTGGCGATAAGGTCATCGAAGTAGTGAATGGCATCACTTATCAGTCCATTAATATATAAAATCTGCCTCATCTTCCCAGTCTTCTAGATTGTGAACCAAGCCAACATGTCACCAATTGCCCCCGAGGTCTCAGTTGACGCTCACTCGGACCCCAAACAGGGGTCTCTTGATGAGAAAGCCGCGGTCAGTGTGGCGGCAAAAGGCGAGGCGACCACTAGCGATGAAGACGACCGAGAGAGCGAAGATGTCATTATCGTGACCGGTGCCGATGCAGCGCGGCACTTGCTGCCTCTGCGGGATGACTTTGACAGTGCCCTCACCCTTCGCAGCATCGTGCTAGCTTCGGGCTTTGCGTGTTTCCAGGCCGTGATGAACCAGATCTACCAGGTAACGGAAACCATTTCACTTGCAATTTGCAAATTGGCAACTAACCTGACATGTATTCTTTCAGTTCAAACCCACCTTGGTTACAATCACAGGAACCTTCATCGTGTTGCTTTCCTACTTTGTCGGGAATGCCTGGGCCAATCTGTTGCCCCGCGGCGATAAGCTTGAGGCTCGCTGGAGGGCGAAAGGTAATCAAGGAAAGCTTCCAGTTTGGCTATCAGTTGTCAAATTCATAAATTACGGGCCCTGGTCATTGAAAGAACACTCGATATGCGCGATCACTGCAGCATCTGCCTCCAACGTTGCCGCGGCTTCAACCGTCTTTGCCGCACAAAACCTCTTCTACGATCTCCCTTTGAGCGCAGCGACGGTCATTCTTAGCACCATATCGATCGGGCTGTTCGGGTATGGGCTATGTGGAATGATGCGACCGATCACCGTTTGGCACACGGAGGCAGTATACTGGAGCACTTTGCCGACCGTGAAGACTTTACAGGGACTACATTGGCAGCAGGTGAAGAGTTCCAAGCCACTGAGATATTTCTGGTATGCGTTCACGGGCATGTCACTCTACGAAATTATCCCGGCCTACATCTTCCCGTGGCTGAACTCGGTTTCTATTCCGGTACGCAAACCACAAGTTTATTCCGAAACCAGTTGGTGGGTTCGAGTCGCTAATGCGAAATTTTATAGTGCCTGGCTGCTCAGAAGGCGACTGGAAACAAAGCTGCCGTGCTAACAAACCTCTTCGGTGGAGCTACGAATAATGAGGGTCTTGGCCTTTTCTCTCTCTCTTTCGACTGGCAATATGTAAGGCAGTGTTTCCATCAACCATCATACAACAAGATAACAAAGCTGACCCAACCAGATCACGTCGTTCCAAACATCCCTGCCTTTGTCACTTCAAGTTCACCAAGCGTTAGGATTCGGCGCCTGTTTCATTTTCATGCTTGCTATTTACTACGGGAATGGCTGGGGTGCACGGTCTCTCCCTTTCATGTCAACAAAGCTGCTCAATGCCAACGGAACATCATATCCTGTGGAAAGCGTGTTTCCGGGTGGTGTTCTCGATGAGGCCAAACTGGTTCAACATGGAACTCCACACCTCACAGGAACATTTGCCTGGTCGCTATTTTGCGCGAACGCTGCTGTAAGCGCTAGTTTCTATAATTGAACGGATGAAGTGTCGCTGACCCTCTCAGATTGGAGCTCTGATTGTCCATTGCATTCTCTTTTGGGGCAAAGATATTCGACGGGCCTACAATAGTGCAAGGGAAGGCCGATATGACGATCGGCACCATGATCACATGGCCAAACATTATAAGGAAACGCCGTGGTGGTGGTATGCTTTCGTCCTTCTCGGCAGTTTCATTCTTGGCTTGGTCGTGGTCATCAAAGAAAACATCACACTGCCTGTTTGGGCTTACATCATCTCACTGGTTGTTGGAATTATCATTGCGCCCTTCGTGAGTACCCCTCAATCCAATTCTCGATAAGCACTGTGGCTGAGGCATTACAATAGAGTACCATTCTTTACTCACGTTATGGCAACGGCATTGCCACCAACAACCTTTCGAAGATGTTAGCTGGTTTGATCATCCCCGGAAAGCCAGTAGGCAATATGTACTTTGCTGCCTGGTCCCACAATGTGATCTCCAACGCCGTCAATCTATCCAATGACCTCAAAATGGGCGAATATCGTAAGCAAATCTACTCCCCTGAAACATTGCAACTGGAATCTCACCTATCAAATCAGTTAAAATCCCTCCTCGAATCATGTTTCTGACTCAGATGTATGGCACTATCTTGGGAGGGTTCATCAACTACGCCGTCATGATCTCAATCGTGACTTCCAATCGAGAACTGCTGGTTGATGGCAACGGCAATTCCTCCTGGAGCGGAGCCACGATCCAGGCTTATGTCAGTAATGCCACTTCCTGGGCTCTCTCACCCTACCTTTACAAGATTGGCGGCCACTATGCTCTTGTCCCGATCGGTATCGCGGTGGGCGCAGGCGTCGTCATTGTACATCGCTTCTTTTATCAAGTAAGTGACCCCAAGCCTTTATGTGAACCATCACAGTGACTAACGACGCGTTTTTTCTGTACATAGTTGCTTCCCCGCATCGGAGGCCTAGATGTGGCAGAAATCAACATGGCCCAGTTCATCCAATACGCCGGATACGTCCCCTACAATCAGAGCCAGACCTGTGTCATCTTCAGTTGGATTCTCTGCGGGTTCTTCATCCAATACTTTCTCCGCAATTATCACCCACGCATATTCAAGGACTATTCGTACCTTGTGACGGGTGCTTTCGACGGGGCTAGTCTCACCGTGCTCTTCATTCTGTCATTTGCTGTTTTTGGGGCCGGTGGAAAGTCACATCCGTTCCCCTCGTGGTGGGGCAATAACGTCGATGGAAATTACGACTGGTGTCCAGTTCCTGATTCTTGAGCTCCAGAACCGACTTCGTGGATTTGAGGGACAGGGACGGATTGCTAGGCTTCAGATTTAGTTACATGACCTGCTGTTTTCAGAGGCGATCTGCTCTAAATTAGTACACAATATAAGGCGTCTCGACTTCTTCGATATGACGTTTACTCGGTTATTCTGAGCACTAGATGTCCATCAGGTAGAGGATTCCATGAACCCCAAGCAAAAAAGGAAGATCATTTTCAAATTGGTGTAGGGTCATGCAGCGCCGAGGCAGGAACTTAAATATTTATTTCCGAGGCTAACATTATTCCAAGTACACTATTTTGATGTTATGTCAGACCGGAGATTCCAAATCGATGCTACAAAAATATATCGTGGCAATCGAACAGTAAGCACACCGAAATATGATTCCACATTTCCACAAACAGGTCTCTTGAAGTAGTACGTCATTCTGGAAAGCCAGAGCCAGAACCAGGCTCGTCTACTTCAACATCTCATTGTCGCTAACTTCGTATAGATCCATGGCAGAGCGTCAGCCTGGACTAGCCCTAAACGGGACACGAATGACAAATACTTCAAACGCCAAGACTCTCCGCCACACCGTTAGTGCTGATTCCGCTCGGCAGTCGGGATCATATTTGGGCAACGAATATCAGCCTCAACAGAACGCCCTAGAACATTGACAAGACTTCTCTGCAGAAACTAAATATATGGCTATGACACTTTGGATAATACGCATCGATCTGCCAGTTGAAAGAGGACAGAATTAATTGCGCAGGAATTCGTGCGAGATCTCGTATCGTCGGAAATATGCCTAGTGATACGCTTCTAGAACTCCAGATGAGCGGATACAGACTCCGCAGAAGACACGAGAAGTCAAGGAATGGTTGCCTCAGATGCAAACAACAGAGAAAGAAGGTAGGCAATGGCTCCCTTCTGATAATAATGCATGTTCTGACCATATCTCCTAGTGCGATGAGTCGAGACCAAGCTGCTCCAGGTGTAGCAAGTTTTCGTATAGATGCCAGTATCAAGCTATACTTAATGACGGCAACTTGTCGGAAGAGCAGGAGACCGCCCACCTCACAATTCCCGATTTTCACGTCCCACCCACAAGCCCCAGCATTATAGCTTCAGGATCCAGTTCGCCGCCTGCACTCCCAAGTGACCACCTTTCGATTCCCAGTCCTTCGTCTATTGAACAACCTGCCTCCTTTTCCGGTTCTGGTACGGATGAAAAGCGTCTCACGCCGAATGCGCCATCTGCCGGTTTTCTCGACGCGACGGAGCTCAGTCTACTGAGCCACTATATTTCGCACACTAGCCAGATCATCCCTGTCGACGACCTCGATCTCTATGCTCTTTCGGTCGGAGTGCCAAATCTTGCATTCAACTGCAGATGCGTAATGTCGTCCCTAATCGCCTTGGCTGCAGCTTGCAAGTCGCACGACATCGCCAAGAACTCCCAGGTTCCATTGAACACGCAACAGATAATCGAGATCCAAGAACTACTCGCGCTGGCGGAGGTCCATCACACGGCTTCCCTTCGCCATATTCAAGCAGCCGTGCAGAACTTGGACTCATACGATCATATACTCGCCAACGCGGCATTGATGGTCTTATACGCTTCCGCGAGCCACTCCATCCGAGTACATCTCGCGACTACTGCGAAGAGAAGTGGGCAACAGCTACCACAAGGGATATTGCCGCAACATTCACAGTGGATATCCTTCACACGTGCGGCACATATGGCGTCCAGTGCTGTTCTGAACGATATTGTCGATTCCGCGCACAATACATGGACGACCACCACGAGTCCGATTATGAATACAGGGCCGGAGATACCGAGAGCGGGAGTGTGTAGCTCAGATCTCTTATCACCGCAGGACGGCCCTTCGGAGAACACGAAACGCTTGTTTCTCCCTCTAGTTGCATCTACATATAGCCGGGCGCTCGAGGGGCTACGCAGGAGGGTCGAGTCGACAGTGGCTCAATTAAAAGAATCAGAACTAGACCCTAGCCATCGCATGCAGCTTGACGCATCTCTGGAAACCATGTCTGTACTAGAAAGATGTGCATTCTCAGCTCTATCCCCGAGAGAGAATAATGCCAACATCCAGACTTCCACAAACCAGCCTATATCGATCGACCAACTGACCCGGGTTTCACCCTGGGTAGCAAAATACATGATCAGCGTCACATCAATGGAGTCCCCGCAGGTACTCAGACGAATCATCATGTCATTTTTGAACAAAGTGGCAGTCGAGTATCTCAATCTCGTCCAATCGGTCCTCGACTCGCCGTACATCGAAGGTAGAGCTGACAGCTGGATGACCCGAGACTCGGAGTCTCCCGGCAGCGAGGTACCGACGCTCAGTGCAACGCATTTGCTAGCCATGGACATCTTTGCTCATTGGTTGGTTCTGGTCATGTTACTGGATGGAGTGTGGTGGATTGCCGTTATTGGACAGTGGGAGCTAAGTCAGATCATGACATTGATGAAGGCTCAGAATCCGTTGGGTCAGGCAGCTGATACTGGTGAAACGTGGTGGCCTGAGACTATGTACTTGGTTAAGCGGGAGCTTACTCCCTATGGTCGAAATTGATACTTCGATATTTACGTTACTAATTATAAGGATTTTTTGAGCGACTTTCAGTGGGAATCAAAATGGCGCTTTCGAACTGCCAAGCCCAGTATGACTGGTGTTGGCTATGGGTTGCATCGAAAGGGCAAACCTTAGGTCTATGCAGTTTACATTGAGGTATTAAATGGTATTTTTTTTAACACGATAGCATCTTGGGCAATGCTTAAAATTCTTGAATATGCCAAAAATGATTTCATAGAGTCTATATACCGCGTAAAAGAAGAACATGTAACCATGAATGAACACTTCAAGCACAACGACATCAGAAGTCTAAACCAAGTCGTCTCGCACCGCAATCAATCACACCCAATATTCCCTATTCCTTCTCTACTGTTCGAACCTACAAAGCAGTCGGCAACTCATAAGCCCACTTAGGTTCACCAGCCCACTGCAAGAATGAATTCCCAAGTCCTTGGTAATGATCCAGAGGCAAGAGGCTGTCCAGTCGGGACTCAACACAGCCATGCTTAGTCAAAGGTTGGTGCTCAAATCGATCTTCGATCCACCGTAACCAGCTCTGCTGCGCCGCGCTCATAGCAGAGAAATGACTTCCTTCCGGAACAACCAAGACTTCTAAATCCCCGGGATACTCGTTGCATGTCTGTTTGGCGATAGTCGTGGTCGTGTTGAACGGCACCGTCATGTCACCTGTTCCGTGGACAAGAAGAACAGGACCATTAAAAGGCATGTGTCCAGGGTTGGCTAGCTTTTCGAAGTCTTTCGCGTAGGATGTTACATTCCAATCAGGCTTCAAGAGCAGCTCATCAGGGCCAAACATGGCAAACGTAACCATCTGGGACCCTTCGACCTCGTTAAGGAGCTTGATTCTGTTGATTCCTAACGGAGTGAACCAGTCGCTGAGGTTAAAAGATGGATAAATCTGATCAAGATCTTTGGCAATCCAGGCGAGGAAGCCGGAAAACGCAGACCCTAATGCGTCCGCTGGAGGCGCAGCAAACACAGCACCAAGGTAGCCCTTCGCAACGTCCTTGAACCTGGAATCATTCCGAGCGAGGATTTCAGACAGACCCCAAGCAACTGCGCCACCCTGACTATGGCCCATGACGACATAATCGGTGGAGAGACGCTTGGAGAAGGATTGACGAGCGGCCCGGAGAGCGCTCAGAGCGTCATAAGCACCGGCTTCGCGAACAAAATACTGGTGTGGGATGTGAGTTCCGTCCCAAGAGGAGTCCACGCCAAGACCGGCATAATCAGGGGCGATGACTGCATATCCGGCCTTGGCCAGCGCGAATGGCACAATGTCTGCATAGAACAGGTCACGTTGCGTCGAAGGAGCTCCATTGGCGTACCAGCCAGAGGTCCCGTGGGTCCACAGGACAACAGGAGCAGATGACCCAGAGGCTTCGTTTCTCCCGCGAATAGCCCGGGGGTGGTAGGGCCACAGGATGTAGGCGGAAGCGGGAACCAGAGTACCGTTTATATCGGTCGTACTATAGACGATGCGGGACATAGCGGTCCTTGCGGGGATGGAGAATGGTGAAGGATCGGTGAACTCTTGAACTCTGATTGCTTTCCCAGGCTCCGTGGGCCATTGGTCTTTGGGGAGGTTCTGGATGTTGTAAAAGTCATCCTCGTGTGCACCGCCGTTTGCGAGCTGAGACCGGTCAAACTGGATGATGGTATTGATGATGGTTTCCATGTCTCCGGTGAGGTTGGCTAATTTGATCTGTTCGTGGCTGAGCTCGAAGCTAGAATTCCATGCCGTCGATTGCGTTTCTGCAGCTGAGATGAGCTGGCCTGTGGCTAACTTACTTCCCACAAGCAGCGAAATAAGATATTGAAAGTATGTCACCATCTTGTGTTAGAAATTGCCGACGATTGATCTGATAGACTTGATAATTTGGAAAAGCGTTTAATGATCATCCACAACGGAATTCACTCATCTTGCTGGCAGCTTTATACTCGAACCCATCGCGAACAAGTTGGTATATCCAGAAAGATTCAAGAATCTCACATCATATTATGCTATGACTGGAATAAGAATGACTGTCTCAAATCACCACCAAGTTGTCAATACCCCTGGTTTCTAGAAGGAGTTGCGCTGCCCGGGGTGAGCCTCCAAAACAATACAGAAGGGATCCACTGTCGAGATACGCAAAAGTGGGTCCCACCCGACTGCCGCGTCGTATGACTAATACGCTCGATCGGCAGTGTTTACTCTCCCCGGTTTGAGGCTCTGGTCATTCAACGTGGCTACCGTCGCAGTCGTGTAAGCTGGCCCTACTCGAGGCCAAGAGGCTGAGCAGTGCGTATGCCAAATACTTCGTTAGCCGACCAGCAAGGCTGAAGCATACCAATATTTGTAACCCAGCGTCGCAGTGACTTGAACGATGATGTCCAGAAAGGGCAGATTCATGAGTATATAAGGACCTCAGGGATCCAGCTTTTTGGCTCTTCATCACTCAGTAAGACCAGGCCATAAATACATTCAATACCACTATCTACCAAAGCCAAATCAATCTTCCACAGATCCCAGCCATCATGCTTTCCCAGACTATCGTGTGCTCTATTGTCGCGGTGATGTCCGCCTTGGCCCTTCCTGCAAATGCAGCCCCTCAGCAAATTACCAAGCGCTCAACCGCCGAGCTCAGCAAGTCTGCTCAACTGAAACTCGCGGACAAGTAAGTATCTTAACGGTATCCTCAAACAGAAAGCAAAGGATCTAATTGAGATATCCAGCTCCGCTGAGCGTTACAAGCTCCTCCCAAATGATGAAGACTTTGTCTTCAAATTTGGCTCAGATGCCTTGCCGATAGCCACCAGCGAGAACTTCCCAGTCCTGACTGGCACTGGCGTCTCTCTCAGTATCGGGGATTTGCCAGGTACGCTGGCACCCATCTCCCTAGTCTTTCTGCCCTACTAACCGATTCAACAGGATGCAGCATGAGCTTCGTCCACCTCCACCCTCGGGCTACCGAGCTCTTCTCCCTTTCCTCTGGACATGTCTTGTCCGAAATGGTACCCGAGGTGGCTGCCGTTGATTCCGAAGGCAAGCAGCGAACTATCCGCGTGGAGCTCGAGCCCGGAATGGTAACTGTCTACCCAGCCGGCTCATTCCACGCGCAGATCAACCCGGACTGTGAGCCTGCTAACTTCACAGCTGCCTTCAACTCGGAAGAATTTGCCGTGGGACTAGTGGCCAAGCAGACGTTCCTTTTCAGCGATGACGCTATTGCTCGTACATTTGGACAGAGTATTGCGGGTGAGGATATCGAGAAGGTTCGGGATGCGATCCCCACTGATATGGCCCTCAAGGTTGAGCAGTGCTTGAAGAAGTGTGGTAAAGAGAAGCGCGAGGCTTGATCGATTCGATGGTTAGCTGTGGTATATGGTGGAGTGATGGAGATGCTTCGAGGGGATGTCAGTAGTTGGCTGTACTAATCGGTTGCGACTTTTAGAAAGAGGTGGTGCTCATAGAGGTTTCATAGAAACATTTCATTTATGGCGGAACTCGGTTGAATTAGTTTGATTCTCTCTGTAGGGCATCCGTTCACACATCTGTATCCATATTGCACTTTCTTAGTTTACGTCATTTGAGCTTCGCGGAAGTTAAGATATATAATTTCTTCATTCACTATTCCATAGAAATCTACATTTTGCCTGACCATCCATTTGAGGAGAGAAGGAAAGCGATTTTCTGCAGTTACACAGTACCAACGATATTAACTAGATTTCTATTCTCTGTTTGTTACGGGCTTGGCAGTGAGTAGGTGCGCTTCTACCCGCCAAGACCGTTTAGTAGGACAGTTACCAACTGAGCTACTAAAAAGACCAGAATACCAAGTCGAAGACTTGGTATGCGCATCGCTCTATATAGTAGGCCTTGGTCAGTTCGTCACACTGTTTTGGTTGGGAGGACAAACAAAAGCACGGACATGTCCAGCATCTTGGCATTCACCGCCGATCGGTCAATCATTTCTTTCTTTGGACTTAGGTGATTAGTTTTTAATTGGGTGATTCACAGACACGCTCGAGACATATTCTTGGTTACTACGGAGTAGCGAAATAGACATTCATATTTGGCGGTAGCCATAACTTCTGCTAGGTATACTTTTGTCATTTTTCCATCATACCTACAAAGAATGCGGTGGCTGCGAAGAGTGGCGAGATGAAAATTTTCAAAAATGTCTTAGAAGTCTGACGGATTGGGCCAATCACATGGCCAGGATATGCATAGTGTTGGCATGAGTCAACTAGCTACGCTCATGACTAGTTAACTTTTAATGCAAGTGACACTCTTCGATAACGGCGAACTTTTCACTGTTTTCTTCTCAACAACTCCTTCAACATTACCGATTACCATGTCTGATGAGTCTGAAGACGATACGAAGGACTATGTTGTGATCCCCCGTCCTGGTAGGTAGTGTTGACATTTGACAATCTCCAGCCTTCCAGTACCTTGTCGCTAACGGAAGGCCCACAGGTACCAATGTCAAGGACCACGGCGAACCGCCACATGTTGTCCAGGAGATCAAAACATGGCTATCTCCAACCGATACGGCTTCGCCAGCGAGCGAGTATCGTAAGCATCTCAACTCCCATGCGACTGGCACGGGAGAATGGATTCTAGAGACCGACCAATTCTGTCGATGGAGCGAGACCGACGAAATCGGCGACCTCTGGATCAGGGGCATTCCAGGAAGTGGCAAGTCAGTAGTCGCGGCCAGTATGGTCAGAAGGTTGCAACAACGAGGAGACGCACCGGTCTTATTCTTCTTTTTCCGAGAGATCATCGAGGCAAATCGAACGCCACAGTCACTGGCACGCGATTTCTGCCACGGGCTGTTGGGTCATTCTCCCACGCTTCAGTCGATGTTAGAGAAATTGAAAAGCAAAAATCGGGACGTGCAGGCGGTCCCATTCAGTGAGCTCTGGAAATGCCTTTCCTTGGCTCTGGCTGCCATGCCCAAAGTCTACTGCGTCGTGGACGCTCTAGATGAAATGGAGTCGGGCCACGATCAATTTTTGCAGGACCTCCTCAACCTGGGGCGAAAGTCACCGAGTTCGATCAAGTTGCTCTTGACCAGTCGTCAGTTGCCACATTTGGAAAGACATCTTGGAGGCTCGTGTCTTCTTGATCTTCGGCTGGATCGCCGGAACGTAGACAGAGATATTGCCACATACATCACCCAGAGGCTGGAATCCGAGGTCAACTTGACTGAAGAGGAAGCAGAAGAAATCAAAAAGGCAATATGCGACCGAGGAAAGGGTCTGTTCTTATATGCACGCCTTGTCACCGATCAGCTACTTCTCCACCCGACGACCATTGTGTCCCAATTGAACCAACTACCAGATGGTTTAGGAAGCATGTATACGAATGTCTTGCGTGATCATGCTACTCGGTCTCAAACCACAGCGGAATTCCAGCGGTTGGTTTTGGAATACATTGTATACTCAGCGCGACCGCTGCGTTTGCTGGAACTTTCAACCATGATCGACTCATTGCCCGATCGCGGTGGCCTCTCCATGGACCAAACTGCCAAACTTGCCATCCGTAGCACATGTGGCCCTCTGTTGGAAGTCTGCGAGGATGGGGTGATACAGATCATTCATCACTCACTGACCGAGTTCCTACTTAACCGCGACGTGAGCCACATCCAGCAAGCAGCAACTGAGAGAGAATTTGCTGTCCTTGATCCCCAGGTTGCCCATGAGCATATTGCGCGCGGTTGTGTGAATTATGTTACTTTTTGCTGCATCAGCGAATTGAACCAACTCACTAAGAAAACATTCCCTGACCCCAGAACCCTGTGGCAACGATACCCTTTTCTTCAATATGCGGCAAAAAACTGGCCATACCATGCTGCTAAGTTCAATCCAACAGAAGACTTTTTATCTTTTCTGGATGCATTCTTCGATCAATCTGCCACTTTCAAATCGTGGCAAACGCTGTGCATTTACCTAAAACCAGTTGAATATAACGACTCGACTCCTTTCCATGTGGCGTCACACAGTGGTCTACATTCTTATGTCGAGCATTTACTTGCGAACGGGGCAGATACTGAAGCCCTTGATGGATATAATCGAACGCCTCTTACCCATGCCGCTATGCAGGGACATGCTGGAATTGTGCAGACACTCCTCAACCACAAAGCTCGTTATGACTTGGTTGATGATGATATGATGGCTCCCATACATTACGCTGCAAAGCAGAACTACTCAGAGGTCGTGCGTGTTTTATTGGCCATGGGAGCACATCCTTGTGCTCCGGTACAGGCAAAGACGCCAATGAAATCAGGCGCTTACAGGGGAACGTATGGCAACCACGAAAAAGGAGAAACACCTCTCTCATACGCATGCCGACTGGGTCACTTTCAGACCTTTGAGGAGTTACAGGGTTATGTTGACCCGTCGACATTGCGCCAAGGATTCCTTCATCTTGCGGCTCGACACAATCAGCCCCATATAGTTGGTCTTCTTTTGAACCACAAAGAAGTGCGCCGCGGCATTGATGATTACGATGACACAGGAAGCACAGCCTTGTATACTGCTGCTAAATATCAAAATGCCGAGGCAGTTCAAGAGTTATTAGAGAATGGGGCCGACTTCAACATTCGATCCCTAGACAAGTGCTTAAAACGCGATAAATCTAGCCTACCACAGGAAATGGACATACAGCAGATTGGTTTTACACCCGTCCACGGTTGGGCGCAACTCTGTGAAAACGACCATAGGAGAGGGGCCAACTGTAATAGAAAGCGTGAGGTGCTAGAACTTCTCGTCAAGGCAGGCTGCGATGTCAATGCTACTGACCACAAAGGACGGACGGCACTTTCTGCGTGGGCTGAGTTCCACAGTGACAACATTAACAAAAAGACCGCGGCCTTTGTTTCTGCGCTTCTTGAAAACGGCGCTGATCCTTCGCTAGAGAACCTACATGGAGGAACCGCGCTTCATGGGATTAAATGGAATACCCAGCTGGAGGAGTCCCTGAATTTGTTTGTGCAGGCTGGAGCTGATATTAATGTCGTCAGGAAAACCGATGGGATGACACCGCTTCACATAGCTGCCAAAGAGCGATTTGCGTTAGATCCGATGATCTTTGCGCGACTCAAAGCCGATTTCACGAAGCAGGACCTACATGGCAACACCCCTGTACACTATGTTTGTCAGAATTGGTGCAGACCACACGTGGTGAAACACGAGGAGTCGTGGGTCTCCTTGAGTGACTTGAGCATCCGGAATCATGCCGGACGGGCAGCGTTTTCCGAGTTTCTCGAGCATTTTTCGGGGCAGGGTCAACACGAAGACCTGGGCCTTTTCCTGAAACATGGAGCAAATTTAGAGTCTCGGGACCATCGTGGTCGCACGGCTCTGCTCACGTTGCTCTCTAGCGTAACTAGCCGTCGACGGGAATACATACCTGACCTCTTGCGGCTCGGTGCGGATGTAAAGGCGAAAGACTTTCAAGGAAAATCAGGTATGATGTATCCAATTCCCAGTGGTCGCCAAAAGTTAACGAAGATAGTCTTACATTACGTCGCAAGCAGTAACAGCATTGATGGACGTGTCGAAGACAGAATTTCGCTTCTGAAGATGCTTATTGATGCGGGAGCCGATATCCACAGTCTTGACCATGACGGTAATTCGGTCTTTCACGATACTACACTCTCCTTTTGGCGAGCGGCAAGGTTTAACATAGAGGCTCTCATTGAATTAAATGCACCTCTAAATCTGCGCAATCATCAGGGAAGAACTGCCCTTCACCTTGCTGCTGCAAATCCTAACACCGGAGCAAGGAACACCACAAAGCAAGGGTTGGTAACATGGCTCGAGTTCCTGCTGCATCCCGAGCTGGGCTTTGATGTCAATGCGCGAGACTATGAGGGCATTACTTCTCTACACCTTGCAGCTGCCACTTCCGACTTTAATACCCTGCAACTGATAGACAAGGGCGCAGACATCCACGTAAAGACCAACCAGGGACGAACAGCTCTTCATGACGCTGCAGAAGCAAGACACTCAAATACCGTAGGCCTCTTGATTGAGGCCTACGCGGCCCAGCTCTTAACCGTGGATGATTTAAGCATGAAGGGTCGAACAGCGCTGCATGAGGCTGCTAGATCTGGGAGATACGAATCAGTTAAGCTTTTACTTGATGCCGGAGCGCGACCCGATGTCTGTGATAGACACGGAAGAACACCGTTGCATGCCGCTGCCGAATTCGAAAAACTCTCAACTCCGAGCAGGAGGAGGAAGGTATATGAGTCTACGGAAACGCATGCTCGAAAGCGCCCGGACGACAAGATCGAGAAGCTCGAAGATGTCGGGCTTGTGATAAGCAGCGAAGAAGACTCTCTATCAGCTCGAGAGATTGTACAGCTTCTCCTTGCTGCTGGTGTCGATCCTGCCCAGCGAGACAATGATAGCCGTACAGCGTTGGACACAGCATTATTTCTTGGCTCATTTGATGTTGTGGATGAGTTAACAGCATTCATGGCTCGGACAAACAGTTCGACTGATGATAGCCAAGGATTGTTGGCTGCAGACCCCATTGGAGAAGCTTTATTGATCTCTTCTCGTGAGCGCTTGTCTAAAGTTCTCGACACAATGCCAGGGGATAATCAGGCTGTTCTAAAGCGCGTGATTTCGACTGGAAATGTGAGGCTAATGGAGGAGTTCCTGCGCTCATCCGATGTTAATTTGACTGAAAATGATAGAACGTCAGCTCTTCATTTTACTGCGCAATGGGGTTGCTTGTCGATGGCACGGTCTTTGTTGCCACACATCCAGAATTTGCACTGCGTTCTGCCGTCGCTTCTTGACAGTGCTACTCAGCGACATCTGTGCAACATTGAAATGATGAAGCTGCTGATACAGAGTTCTGTGAGCATTAGTTGTGACAAAAATTGCATCATTTCTGAAGGAAACTGCAAGAGGTTTGACTGCTCCGTTGCCCTGCATAGACTCGCCACGGGTAAAGAGTGGTGGTACCCTCGAGCGCTTGCCATATTACTCGAGACAGGGGCAGACATTGAGCTCCTTAACCAAGGCAAAACCCCATTACAGACTGCATTACGGGCCGGAAGACCCGATGCGTATGAAATCGGTCCCTGGTGTGATGAGGCCTTTGACATATTGGTCAAGTTTGGGGCAGACGTCAATGCTCCTTCAGCTAAAAGTCCAACGTCACCACTCGAGGACGCCTTAGAGTGCAAAAGAGACATATCACTTGTTCAAATCCTCTTGGATCACGGTGCATCAATCACAGACAAGCCCGTGGTAGCTTCCGCGATAAGGGCTCAGAATACCGCGGCGTTAGAGCTACTGCTGAAAGCGGGAGCTGATCCTAACGTCATGTACACAACCAATGAGTTCTATCAATCGAACAAGCCCGAGACGCCACTCAAGCAGGCCTCTGGGAAGAATGAGGCACTCATGGAGATTCTACTTACGTACGGCGCAAACCCGCATCAGCCCCTTCACGACGGGACATCGTCCGTCCTGCACGAGATCTGCTCTTTGAATGCCCGGGTAAACCCCATTATCAAAGCGGGCCATAACATCGAAACAAGAGACCACAAGGGCCAAACGCCTCTTTTACGAGCCTGCGTCGTTGAAAGGTACGAATTTCGTCTCGCCAGAAGTGCACGGCACGGAGAGGGTTCCGCGATTGAGCTAATTCGCGCTGGTGCCGACATCAACGCCGTCGACAATTCAGGATCAACAGCTCTTCACTATGCCATCTGCTACGACTTGTATAACATCGCCGCAGAGCTTTTGAATCGCGGCGCTTCCCCCACAGCACGCAATAACCATGGCCTAACGCCTCTTCATTCTGCCTTGACTGGCCTAACCAATCTTTCCGAACCCCAGGAGGAGGACTACCACATGCCTTCTATTGAGCTGGTCCGAAGGCTACTCGCCGAGGGAGCGGATCCACTCGATCATCTCCTGGACGGCAGAACAGCGTTACATTGCATAATCCCAGCATTGATGCAACACGGCGAGGAAGACAGATCAGCCAGAAAAGCCCTCGGCAAGGAGAACGAGAGCGATGCTTTATTCCTCGAGTACAAAGCACTCTACCAGACCTTCATCGACGCAGGATGCAGCCGCGAAGCTCGCGACAACGAAGGTAATACCCCCATATTCGCATATGTCAGCAGAATAAAATGTTATCATACCGACGTGGAGGATCGCATTGCACCTGATCTTGATGACATGCGGGATATCTTCGCAGCGCATGATATCCATGCTGTGAACAATGCTGGAGATACTTTGCTGCATGCGATTGCCAGTCGAGAAGAAGATTGGGGAGATCTTCAAGACCACGATGTCATGATTTTCAAATTGCTGGTTGAGTTAGGGCTGGATCCGACGACGGAGAATAAGGATGGAGCTACGCCGTTGGATGTAGCTGATGCTTGGGGACGGGATGAGATTTTGGCATTATTTGCTCGGGATGATTGAAATGAATTTACGTTTGTTTGTTTGGGTTTCTGGCATTTTAAACCGGGCCATCCTTGTTAGTCGAAGCATGATATATTTCTACATACAGATTGCATGCGAAGTTGGCCAAAGATTTTCCAGACTGCGGTTTCTTCTGAATGTGGAATGAATACTTTTCGCTGGAATTACTAAACGAGCATTAAACCAAAGGGTCACCTGGCTTACGGCTCTGTGTATGTGAAGTATCAGTGTGTGTTTCTTGCGTGTACTTCTTTGGTGCCTGAGGCTGTCAGGCATCCACAATAGGTAAGGCCTTTGGATGTTTGGGGTGCCTGAAACGCCAAGCATTTCGCTACACCTCCATGATGATAGTTTAACACATTTGAAAGATCTGACGGTCATGAAGTTGGATACGGATTATATAGCCCTTAGAAAAGAAGCCGCGTGTTGGCCGTTTCTCTAGGCGTAATTGCTAGTAATGTTACCCATAGGAATATCGAATAATGAAGGTCTGATTCTTTCAATCTAGCTGCACACGGTGGTTTAAATACATGAAAAATTAATAAGCAATCTAGCCTGAAAAAGGCAACTAGAAAAGATATAACTTTTGAACCATGGAAATAACAGAAAAATCTGCATAATCCTCGGGGATCGGTGTTACCAATACCGATATCCGGAATAGGAAGGTTTCCTATGTGACTAGCGGTCACATACGGTTGACACCGCGTCAAACAGTATTATCTTGTTGAAGAATTGCTGGATGTCCTCTGGATTCATACGGATGGACTTTGTTGTTGTGAGGGGTCGCGCGTTTTGCGTCGCGTCGCGTCACGGGAAGATCCGATAAGCCAGGGCGGAAGGCGGTGATGGCAGAGGGCAGCGCGGCAGATTAACTGACCGCCTTGCCATGTGGTCATCTGTCAGGGGAATTGTATCATAATATCAACCTAGAACCAATTATAGAGGCCCGTCTGAGACCCTTCCCATAGGACAAGCAGGCGAAACCGATCTCTCCGACCGCAGTGGATGTATCATATTCTACTCAGCAAATTGTCGTTTCGCCAAACCGTCCCCACGCGTTTCGATGATAAATTCAAGCCTTGACGTTCTCATCAGTTCCCCTTCAAACAACTCCTACGAACGAGGGTTTGCAGAAAGCAAAAGAGAAAACCACAAAGCACTCTTCAGCTTGTTGCTTGCTCCAAACCAAGAGGTCCGCAGAGAACCAAAGACTCCGAAAATGGAAACAAAAGACGATGGACTGACTCCAACAGTAACCCAATGGACGATACTTCCCGACAGTTGGCCGGCCAGGCATATAAAAGTCTACACGAGAATGCTTGGCTCAATGGCCTCCACATTCCGGACGACGAAATGGACGCTATGCGCAGAGTCCAGAATACTTACATCGTGCAGCTAGATAGCTCCCCGGACATGGGATACAAATTCAGGATCCATCTAATCTGGGACTATGATAGGATCTGGGGGATGTTCGATTTCGGGTGGAGTCGAGGGGTGTTCTTGATTGATCCAGGTCTGAAGCCAATAGACTGCGATGACGACGGCCAGCTTTTGCCATTTACATGGCGTGGTGTGAACAAAGCTTCTCCAGAGAATCCCTACGGTTATGAAGCTGAAGCAAAGGGAGAGATCTGCATAAATGCGTTGGAGGAAACTCTGGAAGGTTTCTTCGGGTTCATGGCGGGTAATGGCAGCGCCGGCTCTGATACAAAGTGTGCTTTTCACGCAAAGCGACATTTTGGACCGCAAGTGGTCCCCAATTCCTTGGAGAACATTGTGAAGGAATGGAACGATTATTGTCCTGATTTCAGGAAAGAAACAGTGCGCCAGAATCAGCCAGACTCGGCTTTGGCAGAGTATCTTGAGATCAACAACCAAGTGGTGATCAGAAAACCCCTACAGGCCGCCCTTGACGACATTCAGGCTACCGGAGCATTTATAACAGGTGGCAGCCAGGAAACTGCTGTCAACCCGGGTCTTCATATTTCAAATGTAGGCAACATCCGGCTTCCTATTTTCGCCGAAGAAGCAAAAGCGATCATCAAGTCCTGCCGGCTGAGCCCCTACGGAAAGGGAACCGAAACCCTGGTCAACGAATCGGTGCGAAAGAGCTGGCAACTTGACGCCGATCAAGTTTCTTTCCAGAACCCCCAATGGAATGCGGAGGTTGGCCGTTGGGCTCACAAGGCGGCCACTGGTCTCGGCCTTGAGAAGTCTGCAGAGGTCAAGGCGGAGTTCTACAAACTGCTTGTATACGAGAAAGATGCTTTCTTCTTGTCACACCAGGATTCGGAAAAGGCGGATGGGATGTTCGGCACGCTCGTCATATCCCTCCCCTCAAAACACGAGGGTGGGAATGTGATCGCCTCTCATAGGGACAAAAAACTGGAATTTGCAACTGCGCCAAAGTCGGAATTTGGCTATACATGGGCCGCTTGGTATGCTGATGTCTCACATGAGGTCAAGCCCGTCACCTCTGGATATAGGATTGTTCTCGTTTACAACTTGATCCATCGTCCGTCCGCCGCACTCTTGCCATTTCGCAGCAACAAGGCAGAGTCTCTCACTGATTTGCTCAAATCTTGGGCTCTGGGCGCCAAAAGGCCCGGGCAATACCTCGATGGCTGGGATGAGTCTGACTTCCGCGAAGCCTGTCCACCAGCCCTAATCTATGTTTTCGAGCATCAGTACACCGAGGCAGAACTGAGTTTTGCCCGCCTCAAAGGAGTTGACCGACAGCGCTTTGCAGAGCTACAGAATGCTTGCCAGAAAGCCGACTTTGTCATTCTTCTGGCCAACATTGAGAAAAATGTGACTGGTGGGGTGGACGAAAGTAAGGGTGATTATTACGGTGGTTATTATGGCGGCAGTGATAGTGATGGCAGTCCTAGCGTTAACAGTGATGGGGTTCACAGCATTCAAGACATGACTGAATGCAGTCTTGAGCTTTCACACGTTGTGAATGCTGAAGGCCAAGTAGTCGGAACACATGTACCCTTTGTTGAAAACATGCTGGTTCCAGCGGATGTTTTTGACCGCAGCCCGGATGACGAGGACTTCGGTGGTTATACGGGTAATGAGGGCGCCACGACAACTCACTTTTACAAACAAACTGTAAGTTTCGCGATACGAAAGCTCAAAGCTTTCCTACCTTCCTGCCCCTGTCCACAAAATGGTCTCACTAACTGCTATAGGGTATTTTGATTCTCCCAAAAGAATTTGATTTCCTGTTTCAACTGCAAAAGTTGAGGGGTAATGATGATGAGCTTCAACAGGCTCTTAAGCAAGGCCACCGTGTCATAAAAGAAAACCCCAATGATACGACGACCAAGGAACGTCTAAGGCGGATTTGCAGAGTCGCGCTTGAGTCGACATATTTGACAGACTCAGTTATGGAAATCGCTTTTGAACTGGATGACATGCCGCTTTTTTGCCGGAGCATGGGCAAGTTCAGGGGTCAATTCTCGATCCCTCAAAGCTCTCAGATTGCCAAGATAATTTTCCATCATGGCCTGGACGCCATTTGCTCTGCGTAAGCCAATGATTTAACGCAATGTGCTCCTCTCGAATCGACTAACTTGTCTTGCAGACTAGATGCTTATTTCTCGAGAAAGTCCGGATACATGTATAAGGTTCTCTCGTTCAGTGAGCAAATAACCTCGATATCTCGATTGGCCGCAGAATTTCAGTCGATTTGTGAGAGACAGAACCAGAAGCCATCAGCGGAAGTAACGCAGTGGTGGAACGGCAAACTGGATACTATTCTTTTGACCGAACTTAAAGGATTAGAATCCGAAGGTCCCATTCTGGCAGAAGCTTTGAGTGAATCCCCGGCACCTGGATTTCTCCAAAAGTATGTCACCACTGCTCGCAAATGGACTCGAGCGCTGACCACAACAGATCCGTCACCTTCCTGGAGACAAACATGTTGCAGAAACCGTTAATCTTGTCATTCATTGTCTCGGTTCATGAATTCTCGAAAACAGGAAACATAGACAAGGGCGAGGTGGGTCAAGCGATTGATCGGCTGTTCCCAGCGGTCATCAAGAACTTTAAGGTGGAAAGCACAACGCCTTTGGATTATCGAGACATTTATCTCGATTGGTCTCTTCACGCCCATCCACAGACTTCCCGGGTGTCCCCGGACTGGGTAATCAAGCTGGTTAAGCTAGCGGATGCCACAAACACCAATTCCACGGGAATTATGGATAAACTCGTCGAGTATGCGGGAAACGTCAAACAAGATGACACTGGAAGTACCTTCCATGAATTCCTATTCCCCATTGCTGGCGGCATTTCCGAACACATAGCAACGACAAAGCGTCCCGTTTCGCCCGGTGAACAGAAATTCTTCACGTGGTTCCTCAAAGCTTACTTGACTGGCTACATCAAAATTGCGCCTCCACCACCGCCTGACTGGAAAGAGCGTACTACTATCCGCTGTACCTGCGATGACTGTGGTTCCCTGCGCCGATTTATCAATGACATAGATGCTCCAAGCAAGGATTTCGGGATGGCAGAGAAACGCAGAAAGCACCTGGACCAGCAAATCGACAAGTCCTACTTTTTCACGAGCACCATCAAATCAGGTACGCCGCATAAACTGCGTGTCGAGAAAACCAGAGCCCAGGAAGTTTCCAACTACCTTGGATGGATCAAACGCGCACGAGCCGGGCAAGCTCAACTGGACCGGTTGTCTCAACAGGGACCCCTGCAAGATATTCTGGCTGAGAATTACAACTCGATTGTCAATCACAGGAACCTCAAAGTACCGGAGAACTTGCCCTCGTCCCTTTTGAGTTTGACTCAAGAGAATCTCTCAAAGGGCCGAAGCACTGTGCCGCAGAAACGTGGTTACCGAGGCTGAGAATGGAGTGATGATTCTCATTTGAAGGACCCGTGCGCATGTATACAAATGTTAGCATTCATAGCGTTGCGAACTAGCTACAATGAGTTTACATTAGGACACAAATTGATCGACATGTCGACAAGATACGACAACTATCTTCAGGAAAAGCCTACTATCTGATGCAAATCTATGAACCATTATGTTGCGAAACATCAGCTAAGCTCACACCGAGTGTCAATGGGGAGGGCTATCTCCCATAAACAGCTTAGCGGTTGGACAAATTGCTGTCCTTAACAGAGTGCCTTTTTCTTGAGTCGAACTCTCCCGTTCTGAGGAGGAATTTTCAAATCAGTGATCCACATCGCTGGCGGCCGCTTGCCGCCGTACTCTACCGGCAGTTCAACCTCGTAATGCCTGAAAAGATACGCAAGCAGCATTTTCAGCTCCACCGCGACCAAAAAGCGACCGGGACATCCATAGTTCGCGTGCCCGAAAGCCAGAAACTCCGACGACGTGACTGCTAACCTCTTCCCGTCGGGCCCAGCAAACCGGAAAGGCACGAACTTCTCGGGCTCGGGGTAGATGTCAGGATCTGTCTGGACCGTCCTGGCTAGGAGAGACACCGTCGAGCCTTTGGGCAAGGTGTAACCATCAGGTGTTTTGAGACCATCGACCATCACCTTTCGTGGCATGCTGTGGCTCACTAGGGTGTTGATTCGGAGTGACTCTCGAAGGACACTGTCTAGCTTGATCAGTCGGGATGCGTCATTTCTGGTCCAGCGAGGCTCTTCTTGTCTGGCTTCGCCAAAGACTTCATTCAGTTCCTCCTTGGTTTGCGATATCGTTCCGTATTCAGCGTCTGAGTCTAGCATATCAAAAATCACGTGCGGAGAGAGCATATACGGCTGTACCGCGGCAGCCAGCATGAAGATCATGATATGAACCGTGATGAAATGGAGATTGAGATCGGGGCTATTGTTTTCGTAGAGATGTCGCATGATCTTTTGAAGGAAGTCTTGTGGTTCCCCTTCCGGTCCTTCTCCATTTCTGAGCCCCCTGAGACGCTCCTCGTACGTCGGGCGCAATATGTTCTTCAGTTTTTGGACCACAATAATTCGCGGAAGTGATAGAACGCGACCGATGAATTGATGAAATATCTCAGGAATGGGTTTTAGGACTTCACTAATGGGAGTGATGACCTCCATAAATATGAGAGTCCATCGGAGAAATCTTGGATCGGAGCCTATTCTCGCATTTAGCATTAGCGTGACGCGCTCCACAAGCAGCAGCAACATGCAGAACGTACAGAGCGGAGATCCCACGATATATCGGGCAGTGGACCGAACGAGGATATGCTTGATCGACTTGGCAAGGTTGACCTCAGTCCAGTTCGTTTCGTCACTGCCGAACATACTGAGTATGCTCCGTTCAAGTTCCTCCTGGAACCGCGGGATCTCAGTGTCCATGAAGGAGCGGATAGAGCGCTTCAGAAATGCCGAATGCCACTCTTCGGTAAAGTACCTGGAGTGACCGACCGTCCATCGGGCCTGGACTGTTTCTACGATTGCTTCGCGCGAGCCGAGGACATTTTGCGGCTGGGCCAGCATCCATCGCATATAACAATTTGGCAGGATGACCATCGTCCCGAAACTCTTATCCGGAATCCGGCATGTTCGGCCATGTTTCAAATGCTGCTGGATATTAGCGACTGGGTTGTCATATTGAGAGAGGGTTGAAAAGGACCGCTCACCGTATCATAAGCCTCTCGAAACACCTCGTTGGCGTTGAAGAAATATGCGATGAATGTCGACAGTGAGAATCGCTTTTTGCCCGTGTCCCTCACCAAAGGGATGCCAGTATCTTCTTGTAGGGTGAAAGAAAGAATGAACAGGACAGTGAGAACCAGAACTGTGGAACATAGAGGGATGGGAAGCTCGCCATCCAGACGCAGTCGCATCGCCTGGATGACATCTGGAACTGTCGACATGCTACAGCAGAAGACGACCAGTTTATTGGGATGATGCAAAGGGGGGGGGAGCACAGGAACACGAGAGCAGGCCTAAATGAACCCGTGCAGGAACAGTGTGATTCCAGCTTATTCCGGGTTCAACTTGCTGAGAGCGTCACCAACATCGTCGATCCATGATCTCGCTAATCGCCCTACTCGGCGACTCCATACAGATTCTCGGGCCCAGGCCGATGGTGCAGGATCTTATGGTGGAGACCGAAAACCACTGCCAGGTGGGTCCCGGCTGAACAGAAGCAATTTGTGGCTGCGGAAGATGACTAAACTGCTTATATCATCGCCTTTCTTGGCCGATTGATTCATTGCAGTTTTATTGCATTTATACGGCATTTTTCGGGACAGTATTATCGTGATATGTCGCTTGTTGTGGCGATCAGGAAGCCTCTCAAATTGCATAAAGACCGGTTTCTTTATCGTGCAGTTAGTTGAATTAAGGCCTTATTCATTTGAATATGATCATATAAAATCGGTTGAATAATCACTTCTTCGGTAGACCCACATATTTCTGCAACACAATTTTCCCGGCTGAGGAATCTATGATTCATGATTGGAATCGAGACCGGCGAGTTTTATGAAATGCGCAGCTGCGTGAGAAACAGTCAAAAAGCTCGGTGACCCTAGCAAATAATTAATTGGTCCGGTTCAGAGTTCAGACTGACAATGTAACGCCGCCTGATAGACCGATCACGACAGCAAGTACGGATAGGATCCCGGTCAGCAGCGGCTAGCCAAAGGCGAATTTAGGGTGGTATCTCACACACCGAGTCAAGAGCAGTATTCACTTACCTTGTTTGGATTCTGTGCCAGGAGCCTGCCAATAAAGCCGTGACAGTGGGTCATACTGCTCCCAATCGAAGGTCGGTCGATCTCGGTGGCACGTCAATGATCGGCATCAGCCGGCTTAAGCGGTAAGCATCACACAAACGTGGATTTCACGAGTACCCGATCTGCTTTTCGGCTGTTTTAGTGAAGTTGCACTGCTCGATAAGCACTAGCAGTGATGATCGTGTTCCCGAGAACGTAGGGGAAAACAGATTTCCGATCAAACTCTGTCTCACTCACCTCATTTCCCACTGAGACAGGGAAAAATCAAAAATACCACGCTGAGGCTGCCACGTCTTTGGCTGAAGATGCGCCCTTTCGCTCTAAGGGTATTGATTATGACGATCGAGTATTGACTATTGTGTGATCAATCGTGCAGGCCCCAATGATCGACGCTCCTGCGCTACCGGAGAAAATCTATGATTGACCCGAGCTGCTCGAACGACAATGGAGTCTCGATCGAGAAGGCTTTACTCCATACCGAGAATAGGCCCGATATTGTCAAACTATGCACCTCGTAAAAAGGTCAGTGTGTGGCGCTTGCTAGATCTCATAGGACACGTCATCGGTGAAGCTGAAGCGGCAGGCGCTTCATCTGAACCGGGTTAATGCCTGATATGTCCACCGTACAGTCCGACCACGGATGCTACACAGGAGTTCTCCGTAGCGCAGTGTTGCAATGGTCCTTTATTCCGTGTCGGGCTCCACTGATCATTTAGTCTAGACTTGGGTTCCCACCTCTCGAACCCTTGAGGGGGAAAAGAAAAAGAAAAACCATGGCAACCTGTTACCTCATAGACAATACCCCTCCCGTTCGAAGCCGAAGGTGCACCGGGCAATTGGCTCCGACCCATAGTCAAGCTGATCATTTGAAAGATCTTTTGCCCCAGTAAGAAACAAAGGGTATCGGTGAATACTTAACCTCCCACCTGCCCCTCTGTCATGCCCTTGATCACCAACCGGGCTGCTTCTCGTCACTCGGAAAATGTGCAGCGAGTACGCCCTTAGGACTACGAGGAGGTTGAGTCCTCAGCCTCAGCTGGAGGCCGAACAAGAACAAGATTATCCATTCTCGTCCCGCGCGACGAGCCTCGATGGATGGCGGCTGACTGTGGAGGATGATGGGCTGGGACGATTAAAGTGGAAATACTTGACAACGGATGAGGAACGCGATGCGCAACCACAAGATAAGACGTCGAAATTCTTCCTTGACATACCTTTTGTCCGTCTTTCGTGCTTTGGTTTCCATTCTAAAAGCAGCCCACTGACATCCGTAGACCGAATCTCCAGACCGCAAGCCCGCCCAAAAGCCATCGGAGGCCGCTAGAAATGGGGCCTTGTTCCATAGTCAACTTCAATTGAACGACCTGGGCTGTTGGGCTGCTGATTTGAGCTGCATCTTCTTTGTAACTCCGATGCTTATCATTTCCTGGTACATTACACAATCCTCGATCGACGAGGCACACGCTATCGAACTTTCCAATTTTATTCTTCGAGCCCAGAACTCGGACGGCGGATGGGCCACCTATGGAGGCCAGGACACGACGCTTATGGGGACGATTCTAATATATGTGGCGCTGCGCCTGATGGGGTTTTCTGCAGAACACGAGCGTCTAGTCAAAGCCAGAAGATGTCTATTGGACATGGGCGGTGCCGTCTATCTACCGGGTTGGGCCAAGTTTTGGCTTGCTCTCCTGGGTCTATACAAATGGGAGGGCACAGATCCGTATCCCGTTGAGATGTGGTAAGTAAATCATCCAGCGCAAAGTTATTCTTTGTCATCTTACCTCCGTTAGGCTTCTTCCGGAATGGCTACCAGTCAGTCCCTGGAAATGGTACATTATCCCTCGGCACGTGTACTTGGTTATGAGTTATCTCTCAGCGAAGCGATTCACTATGCCGACGAACCCTCTCCTAGAGCAACTCCGGACTGAGATTTTCGTTCAACCTTACGAATCGATTGATTTCGTCGCGTTCCGGGGTGTGACCTTCCAACGCTCTCGGGAGGTGCGCAAGAGCTGGGTACTCAACGCACTAAATTGGTTTATCGACAATGTTTGGATTCCTTGGTTTCGTCCCCGTGGTCTAGCCGAGATGGGGGAGAGAAAGGTATGGGGAATTATCGAGGAACTAGAACAGATCAACAACTCCGTCGGGATCGTCAGCGTGGATGCATTCCTCAATATTATCGCATTCTATTGCAAGGAGGGACCGGACTCTAAAGCCTTACAGCGAACTCAGAACGCCAGCCTTGAATATCTCTGGATGGGACCTAAAGGAATGCAAGTGATGAGTATTCATGGCGGGCACACATGGGAGACAGCTTTCGCACTGCAGGCTTACGCCGAGTCGGGACTTGCGAATAGCCCTGATATCCAACCGGCTGCTCAGCGCGCGTACAAATTCTTGGCCGACCAGCAATATCTCAACGACTGGGACGAGAAGTCGTCTTGTGATTGCTTTAGCCGGCTGGGCGGCTGGCCATTTTCTACTGAATACCATGGATTTTCGTGTTCTGACTGTACAGGGGAAGCGCTCAAGGCGATCCTGCTGGTTGAAAGGAACACAGAGATTCCGCGGCTCACAGACGAGCTCAACTTGCAACTTGCGGTGAACAACCTGATCATGATTCAAAATCCGAGCGGCGGGTACAGCAGTTTTGAACCGATCCGCGGAAGCGAGCTCCTTGAGTGCATGAATGGCACGGAGCTGTTCAAAAATGTGATGGTTGAATTTGACTATGTCGAGTGTACATCGTCATGTATCACCGCCCTCGCATTATACCGAGACTACAATCCTACCTACCGCGCTCGGGATGTCGCTCGCACAATCGACAAGGGAATCCAGTATATCCTGAGCCGCCAGGGGCTGGACGGCAGCTGGCTTTCATCCTGGGGTATTGCATACACATACGGGGCATTCTTCGCTATGGAAGCACTAGCTTGCGTCGGAATGACCTATGGAAATAATGATGCCACTAGGCGAGGTTGTAACTTTCTACTAGGGAAGCAGCAGGCTGACGGAGGATGGGGGGAAAAGATTGATGTGAGTTTGACCTAATCATCTCTAGTTCAACCCGCAAGACTAATCTATGACGACTTAGTCTATCATGACCGAATCATACGTGCAAGCAGACCAGCCGCATACCGTACAAACTGCATGGGCTTGTCTGGCCCTAATGCATGTTCGCTATCCAGACCCAGAGCCTATCCGGAGAGGCATAAGGCTTATTATGAGTCGCCAGAAGGCAAGTGGTGAATGGCAACAGGAGAATGCAGTAGGAAGCGGCATTGTTACATGGTATGTTAAATCCACCCACGCCCTTAACTACTGCCCATGTTACCCTAGATGACCGTGTGCCGAATACTGACCTGATTTATAGTGAGCTTCTGTACCACAATTACATCTATTCTTTCCCGATACGGGCTCTATCGATGTATGCGGAGCGGTTTGGGGATGATGTCATCATGGAATAATGTTTGGCATTGGTATAGTTATTTATTCATACATGAAAGATAAACAATACATTTCACGATTCTCAATCCCCTTCATTTAAGCCATCATTGCACAGCAAGGCCCAAACAGGTGTCATGCCACCCCATCTTCTAAATTCCTCCTGTTCCGGGCACATTCCCTTGCTTATCAGAACGCCCACGTGCAATATCTGCATACAAAATGCCGCGTCCACCAGTGCCCAAGTATACCCGCCCGTAAACTCTAGGGTCACCTTGAATTAGATTGAACCCCCCATATCGATGAGTGTCATCATCAACGCGATCCCATGTCGCACCTCCATCATCCGAGCGGTATATTCCGTGAGCTGACTTGGGCGTGCGAGCTGGACGGCCCCGAATAAACAAAGCAGGCTGGTTCTTCTTCACCCCCGCGCCAACCGTTATGAGTTCGGCTACTGTTCCTCGATCTGAGACGCGCTTCCAGCGACGGCCGAAGTTCGTCGTATGATAGACTCCCTGGTCCCCTAAAGCGAGCCAGATCTCACCTGCTCGGTTGAGGTTCACCACTGGGACTGCACCATCATGTTCAGGAAGACCTATGTTCTTGGCTTTTGAGGCCTTGAAGGAAACCCCACCGTCAGTACTAACATACCACACACTCTCCGTGAATACGTAGAAGGTCTTTGGCTGAACACGGTCCGCGCTGAGGTATGGAGTCTGGACTGTTAGTCCACGAGGCGATTTCCAGGTCTTGCCCCAGTCATGCGATGAGTACGGCCCCGAGTCGGTAGCTGGGACGTTGGGACTCTGCAAGGTAGGAGCAACAACCGACATGGCTGAGGTCCAGACGACGTATTTCCCTGAGGCGTCCAGAGTCATCACACCTGGGTTTGTGCTGCTGGTGTTGACGCCCGGGATACATGTCGCAAACTTTACCCATTTGTCACCTCCGTCCGTAGAATATGCCGCTTGTCCGCAGCCATCATCATATTTATAACCAGTGGTTCCGCCGCGAACTATGATGTTGGGCTTCCTCCCAGCCCAGTCAAGGGTGTTGAGATTTGATAAGGCAGGAAGTCCAATCATGGACTGTGGGGTATCGAGATTGTCGTGACGAAATCCATTAATATCACCCACTCCACTAATCAGGTTCGCCGCGCCAGATGGAGGGCTAATCAACGCGAGAGGCACGGTCTCTTCAATACCTTGTGCTTGAATGTACCACCCTGGTGCTGAGTCTTTATGGACCTGTGAGATATTGTCCGTTGACCAAATTGTCGCACCGGTGGCGTACATAACATGGTCCGAATCACTGGGATCGATCAGAACGGCTGTCATCCACCATCCGAACTTGGTCAATCCTTTGACAGGTGACGGAGCTCCGTAACCGCCCCATTGAGGTCCCCAGTTGAAGCTTAGCCACTCGACTGTAGTGCCGTTTGCGAGAGCTGCATCCTCAATCGGGTGTCCCCAGTATCCTCCGCTGCCGGATGGAGTAGAGAGTTGGGAGACGTCCTTCCATGTGCGACCAGCGTCCCGCGAGAGATACATGCTGTCAAGAGCTGGGCCGGGATCTCTGTCAAGCGAGACCACGACAAGGGTGTCGGGATCATCCGTAGCGACGCTGAGCCCGCAATATCCACCCGCAGGGAAGGCCTGGGGCGTAAACGGAGCCGGTGAAGTGTTTTTAGCAGACGGGGTAATGTCAGTCCATTTCGAAGACGTGGTGTTATAGACATGCACGGCGCCATACGAAACTCCCCAAGGACCCGGAGCGTCCGCATAAGTCACATAGAGGGCACCATTTGACGCGAGAATTGCTTTCATCGGTTGCGGCGCAGTGCTTTGTGGTTGTGTCTCATCAGGATAGATGAGCAGCGAATCGTCCCATTCTTTCGGCTGCCCAGGCAAGGCATCCCAGGTCTTTCCTGCGTCCTTGGTGACATACAATCCACCGGGAACACACGCGCCGACGTAAATAGTTCCATCATTCTCCTGATCAAAGATCACAAAGGTTATTCCGATGCCGTTGGCAGCCGCATCCGGAAAACTGGTAACGTTGGTCCATGTTCTCGCTCGATCCACACTCTTCATCAACCCTGCGTTGCGAGTACCCATCCATAGCTCATTCGTTTTGAACGGATTGACAGCCAGCCGCTCTCCATTATTCCGGCCCAGCTCGTTCGCGCCCATTGCAAACGGGGCCTCATGTCGCGTAAAGCTCGCGCCTCGGTCATCCGACACAAAAATTGCTGTCTGGTTGGAATTCAAATATCGGCCTTGTGCCAAATAGAGACGATCAGGATTCGTGGGATCCATGGCAACGCTCTCGGTGCCCATGAGGTTCTCGTCCTCCGGGCCAAGAAAATCGGTCAAGGGAATCCATTTGTTGAGCTCTTGAGACCAGCGATAAGTGCTACCGATGTCTGTCCGCGCATAGAGAAGGTTTTTCTCCGTCAGATGTCCGACAATGCCCGTGATGTATCCTCCACCTGTAATTGCCACCGAATTGAATTGATACGCATGCTTCGCAGTAGCTGCGATGGTGCCAGTGGTGGCACATACGGCCACCGTCAGCCGTTGAAGCCAGTCTTTCATGGCGAGAAATAGTATGTCATCCTGGGGAGATCAAGTTTGGGCGACCTGACCACTTTATGAAGTCTGTAAAAACAGGCCATAATTTCACGCATCATGCGATTACCCCGGCTTCCGGACCGTTTTGGCCGCTAATTAGATCCCTCCTCTATTCAATGGAAGTTATTCGCAAGGAGCGCCCACCCCCGCACATTGTTAGCGTGTTGTATCGGAGAAAAATATGACGCTATACAAGCCGATTGGTGGTAAAACTAGTAAAGCATGGGGTCTCGGCTAAATGAGATAGGGACCGAACTCTCCGGAGTTTAGGTATTCTCTAGGCACTGCAGGATCTCGATAGATTATCTACTGCAACTTGGGGCAGTCGATATTGTAGGCATTCTGGATGCCTGGGGCATCAAAGTGCCAAGTCGACCCTTCCAAGGCCCTTAGCTTGCGGGAGTTTACTGTAATATATATTTCATGGGAGATGTACAATATCATCAGAACGCGGGCGGTATGGCATTTTCAGTACGGTGCATGAAGGAGCATTGACACTAGCATCATATAAAACAGCGACGCAACTTTCTTTTACTATTCCCCTCATGCTCTTAGACCTTGTACACGATCTTGTAGTTGGAGATGACCCCGTCATGGTATTCCTGGAACCCTCTTGACACAGAGTCGAGTCCCCCGATGAGCTTCGGGGTATTCGGCTTGATGATTCCAGAAGAGAGCAACTTGGGCAGTTCCTCGAAGAACTTCGCCGAAAGCTCGTGATCCCCCTTGTGCGGCTAGGAGTCCGATTAATAAATGACTTTAAATGTTCAATCTCAAAGATGACTTACCCGCCAGTAGAAATCCTTGTACTTATGCTCCTTCAAGAACGCCGTCCAGACAAGCACATCCGTCACCTTAGTCTGCTTGGTCACATTCTCGGTGAAAGCCTTGCCCGGACGAACAGTGCACAGGCCGCCACCCTGTTTGGAGATTGCCTGCGATGCAGTGACCGAGGACGAGTCGTTGCCGATGGTGTCGAAGACGTACTTCAGGCAGGAGTTCGTAGCGGCCTTGATGCTCTCCACCACCTTGGCGTCGCGGTAGTCGAAAGCGTGGCTAGCACCAAGGGACTTGACGAGATCGTGATGTCGGGGATTGCAAGTCGTCACAACGTTGAGGCCATAGTACTTCGCGATTTGGATGGCGTAAAGTCCGACGCTTGCTGCAATTCGTGAGTTTCTGTGTTATTGATACGCCACATGCCATCAAATCGACTCACAGCTTCCGCCCCAAACGAGAACAGTCTCTCCAGACTTCTGAGGGATATTGAGACAGTCCTTGGAGAAGAGAGCGAGTAGTGCTGTGCACGCGGCGAGAGGCACTGTGGAGGCTTGCTCGGGAGTGACGTCGTCGGGCAAAGGGAAGCAAATGCGCTCATCGGCGAGGGTGTACTCGCTATAGCCACCCAATCCCTTGATTTCACCTGCTCAAACAACAGTTTATATGATAAATAGAATGAGGACCAAGACGGTAACTGACCTCCCCAAATCAGACCAGCAATCACGGTGCCAGTCTTGATCCTGCTCACTTTGTCGCCCATCTTCTCGACTATACCGACAAAGTCACAACCGAGAACCGCATCATCGCCAAAGGCATTGGCGTCGAGTGATTGGACTAGACAGAGACTTAGCTTCAATGATCACAGAATGGGGGCGGAAACATGACTTACCATCAGTAGGGTTCTGGGCGACATGAGAAATCTTCACTAGCATCTGATGTTCACCCGGAGTCGGCACAGGAATGGTTTCCTTGGACAGCTTGCCGCCTTTAGTGACGAGAGCTGTAGCGGTGGTAGGAGTCATTTTCGATGTTTCTGGGTACTATTCTTGTCGAAGGAGGTCTTTCTTGTGCTGTGAATTGCTTTCCTGGTCTCAGCAACTGCAGCTTTTATATGCGCCCAACGCCGCCGAGCCGGCTTTCTAGTGCCTGTCTATGAGGATCGTTCATCCACAGTGAGTAAGACGGCGATGTTTGTATTTAATCTTGATTTCGTCAGAGGTGCATCGCCCTAACGCAGTGAACATTAAATTAGCCTGAGAATTTCTTCGAGAAATGGAGTGTTTAATGTACAGATTTGGCTTTAATGTATGACGTTGGCGCTTGCAGATGCCCGAAACAACACCAGCCGCGCTTGGGCTTTCCGTTTGCGATTGGATAACTCTATTTCAGTCGTCGAAAATGCCAAGACGCGAAGCATATTGGAAATATCCTTGGCAAGGTTAGGTCACCTTTTAAATTTTTTTTTTTTGTCGAGACAAGGCACTGTGCGTATTTTAATGGCTGCCTCCGTTCCTCAGCAATTGGAAAAGTCCCTCAGCCCCACAGGCCATCAGCCGATGCGACGCGCTGCCACCTCTTTCTCCGGCGCTACCAAAGGGTTTGGAGAAATTTGTCGGCAAAAATCGCGCATCGGAACGCATCAACTGGCGGCTGACCGCTAACTAATTCGCTAGGGGAGACGATTGTCGAGACACCTTCCCATAGTAATTTGGGTTGGTAACTATCGTACAATAACGGGGCAAAGATCCGGCAGGTATATAAAAATTAATTCCTTTCGTCCTCTGATATAATAGAGATACTACTCGACCTGGACCAGGTCAGGCAATAGCTACTGATATACGCACTGCCGCCCAGGACCTGCTATCTAGTGGCCGTGATCCGATAATTCAATGGGTCCCAGGACATGCAGGTATAGAAGGAAACGAAAGGGCAGATCAAGCAGCAAAAGAAGCCGCAACGCGAACACCGGGACCAGGCTGCAGAGAGATCTCACAAGCTTTCACTCGCAGAACCCGTACAGAGGCGTTAAGAACAAACACACAACACTGGCTAGAGAATAGTCTTAACTGGAGATCACAATCAACACAGAGAACCTATAAATCTGGAAGAGGCTGGCAAGTGGATCCTATAGCAGCAACAGCTACTAAGGGCCTAGCTAGCCGATACTTCCAGATGAAGGTAGGACATGCAGCTATCGGATCATACCTACACCGCATAAAATCTCGGAAAAGAGCGACCTGCCAAAACTGCCAAGCTCCTAGGGAGACAGTCTCTCACATACTAGTCAGCTGCAGGCAATGGCGACGGCAACGAGAGGTGCTATATACAGCTCTAGATAGAGCGGGAATAGCAAGGCCTTCGGTGCAAGAAAATCACCCAGAAAGCAGGCTATTCAAGGAGCCTAAAGCTACTAAAGTCCCACTGGACTTTATAGCTAATACAGGCGTGGCTCTTTCTGGAAAACAACACCAGAAGGACCAACACAGGGGCAGAGAGAGATGATGAAAGGGGCCTAGAAACTCTAGAGGAAGCTGAACGGACCGGAGAAGACTGTTAGGAGGGTGGCCTGGTCACATCTAGGCGTCACCCACCCTGCTAGAATCCCAAGGAGAGCAAACATGCTCAAAGGCCCTGCGCAAGAAGGCGGGATGGGCCGAGGAAAAGGAACAGAATGTATGCAAACGAGGGAATAGCCCTAGGAACTGATAGGGGCCTGAGGCTAGGCCTCAGGCCGACGACACACGGTCTGTCATAGCCCTAGGGGCTCGGTATGGACAATAAACTTGATTAAATAAAAAAAATACAGATACTACTCAAATGTATCTTCCCACTAACCAGTAACATTTTGACCCGGCAACCAACCCACCTTTTTAGGTTTCTTCCTACACCTCCCCTAAATCCGTTTTTAATAATGAAAGGAGTTCAAAACGTCGCAAAACGTCTAAACTATCTACTGAGCAAAGGTCAGCTATTATCTTTGGCCTAAAAACGGCATTTCGCAGTCAAAGCTAGCGAATGAATTCGAATGTAGCCGTCGGACGATCTACAACACGATGAAACGCTTCAAAGAGCATCAATTGTTAAAATGCCTTCCCCGAACCGGCCGTCCTCCTAAGCTAAGCACTCGAGCTTGCAATTGCCTCTATCTTCAAGCGGGCCGGCATCCTTTTTGGACTATAAGCAGCTTAGTGCTGTGCCACCGGGTCACTCTTCCTGGTCCACCATACAGTGGATTTAAAGTAATTCGGATTATCGAAACGGCACTCGAGACGGAAGATACCAATTAAGCCTTGCAAGGAAATGGCTAAGGTTTGTGAACAAAATGGCAGTGAGAAAACTTTCAATCGTGGATCTTTTCGGAAGAGTGTTCGGTGCAACGAACCTCAAAATCTGGACCACAATGGTGCCTTCGTACGACTCCGATGGCCTTCGCCGCGAGCATGTGAATGCGAAGGTACACGTTAAAGATATTTCACAAAGGGTTTGGGTTGGGACCTCAGGACCTGGCTAGCTGATAGAACAGAATTAATTATTATAAACGGGACGAAGACTCGCCTTCGGGGAGGGGTTATACTTATTCCTTTCGGAGCCCTAGCGGTGCGGCTTCGTTCCTGGTCTGGACGAGCTTCATATCACAACGGATGAAACTAAGTTCTGCCCGAGATTATTCCTTATACTTAGACCTGTCTTGACCCTAATATAGTTAGTGTCTTCAGGCTGTAAGATAAACATTTCCTTGCTTCGTCTAGAAATGTTAAGTCCGGTGTATGAATGATACGAGCGTTCAGATGGCTTCCATATGTACAATTTTCTACTTTAAGAATAAAGGTGAATGTTCTGTGTAATAGCAGTTTTTCCTTACTGCCTATCACTTGAACGTCTTCACCCATCATACCTCATATCGTCAACCTCGCGCAAGTGTTGGCCTTGACGAGCGGGTGACCACCATTCATTCAGTCCTAAATTATGGCAGAGACTAGGTGAACCACATTATACCACAAAGCGCATTGGAATTGGTGGCCCGAAATGATAAATAATACTTATATCTCTCTTTCCATTGACTCCTTCTATATCAATACACTTCGAGCATATGCAAATAAATCGTCACATTAAGCTTGAGAAAGACAGTCTATACAAAGTGAGGTTCCAATGAAAACCAAGAGCAGCACCTGAATATTCTTTCTAACACAGGGCCCAAGTAAGCGGATCCATGTGCTTGGATCAGCTACTCTGCCTTTTCGCTCTTTAGCTCAAGGAAATGCTCAACAACACTCTTGACCTGTTCTTCAAAGCTGAGGAATTTCAAACCCATAACTTCCTCTGACTCCTTCGCATTCATCCCGAGCTTCCAAATAGGTTGTAAGCCATTATTAGGAAGGATGCCCTTCTCCACTGCTTTGAGGAAGTGTTCAGCAGCAATCCCTGTCACATTCTGCCAAACAGTTCCGGCATAGTTGTCAGAATTGTCGATATAGCTTCCAGCTGGGACGTTAGAGTCAAGACCTTTGACATGCATGAATGCAACATCATCAACATGGATACTAGGTCCAGTGAGGGAGGTATCGGGATTGGCTCCCAGGACGGGTGCAATGGCGAAAGCGTTTGGCTCCGACTGTGATGTCTTTGGCGTCTTTCACAAGTCCATTTCTGCCAATGACAAGAGATGGTGGATGTTTACCACATCGAAAGTGGGCTTGTGGTCTCGAACAAAGGCCGTGGTTGCCTGAAGAGCGGCAATTTTGCTCGCGTTATAGGCGTGGAAGAAGGCAACCTGGATTTGTGGTCGATAGCTAGTCTATTAGGGGCATCTTTTTCAAAAACGCATTCTCTGGGAGCGATTGCAACAATAGAGGACGTGATCACAACGCGCTTGATACCAGGCGAATTGTTTGTTGCTTTCAGGACATTTTCTGTTCCCGCAACGGCAGGCTCAACAAGTGTTGTTTCATAGTCTTCCAGTTTATTTCTCCCCTGAGAATGATGGGTGACGCAACGTGAATGATATAATGTACTCCCTTTACTGCCTCATCGTATGCGCCATCAACCGTCAAGTCTGGTACAATATTGAAGGTAAGCTTGTCCGTTAGATTGAGGGCTTTAATGGATGGCGCAGAGAGTATTTCATTATTTTTGTCCTCGGAACGAATTCCAGCTCGAAAGTGGTAGCCAGCCTTCAGGGCAGTGACAAGGGGTCTGAATCCAACATGTCCGGTGCCACCGGTGATCAAGACAAGGCTATTAGACATTTTAAATGTAGCTCGAAATAATTGAACTTTGAAATAGGATGGTTATGTTCTGTATAGAAACAATAGACGAATACGAGCGAATATTTATACTGTAGTGGGGATCAGGTGACCAGGTGGTCACCTCCATATACCCTGCAGACCGCTACTTCCATGAACCAGGCTTCTTCTTCTTCTTCTTCACACTCCCCTAGGCCTCCTCTCCAAGTAGACCTCACTGCTCCCAGCGGCGTACCTGGTTCGCAGACAGGTTCCCCGCTTCAATACTTATTTCTACTGAATAATTTCCATTACTTATGACCAACCTTATAGCTGTTGAAATGAATCTAGAACCAATGAGAATGCCACTCTCCCTCAAGTCCGCATTTACGATAATTCATCTGAATAAGCAGTGGTTTTCGATTTAAAATCAAAAGAGGGATCAGAATGCGTAGAAGTTGAGTTAAGTATAGTAACTCATAGATAATTGGAGAACGTTGACATATCTACCAAGCACGCGGTTATGGTTATCTTTCAGAAAACCATGATAATTAAAGGTAAATTCATGTTCGAAGTATTTTCATCGAGTCAAGCGTAGAGGGGTGAATTGTTTTCAGCTAGAAAAAACACGCCAGATAGGAATACATGGGGACTGAAAGGGAGCCACATCAATTGTCTCAGGTAGTGGAAAATTGTTTTCTTAATATAGGTGTTAGCATGACTAATGTTGCCCGTTTTGAGCAGTGTACATACACCGGCGGTGTTCCTGGAAATTGCTTGGTGTGCTCCGATCAGATCTCCACCTGGGGTAATGGAGGGCCGCAGAGTGGATCCTTTTGAATAGAAACCGAGGGGTGTCACCGGCTTTATCACTTATTGGGAATCCGAGAGCACGGGTAACTAGTTAGTTAAGGGGTTGACGTCATCACTTTATAGTGCTTATGTAAAGGTAGCAGCGCTTACACTTTCCTCGTCTGAGCGCCGGCGTCGCCGCCAGTGCCCTTGGTTTCTCGTCGCCTGCGCACCGACATACAATGTTCCACATCCCCTGCATTTCAATTGTAAACATTGTGCCATGGTATCTTCCCCGGATAGTGGAGATGAGATAGGTGCGAGTCATCGCCCAGTCCGGAAAAGGACTAGAACCGGCTGGTGAGCTTTTTGGTCTGCTTCCTTGAGACTAAGTATTGACGAGGGGTTTAGCATCCAGTGTCGCAGCCGCCGTCGCAAATGCAAGTCCGATCTACTCTTCTTTTGTAAGAATGCGACAGAAGCTAATACCATGCAGGCGATGGGGCACGACCACGATGCCGTGGTTGTGAAGTTCGAGGCCAAGTCTGTCAATGGGGACTTAAGGCTTCGTTCCATCCCTCACGTACAATTAGATTGTCAAGTCATGAAGCGGCTTCCTTACGTGAAGTAGAAGAAGGGCGAGGGAGGAGGTCGAGTCGGCATCAGAAATTCGTTGATGAGACCAACGCCATCATCGACGGATACTCGACACCTGATCACCCTTCCTGTGGATCTGATCTTCCAGCCCACGATGAATATTTGCCTAGCCATGACTCTCGCCCATCCTCACAACTTATTCCTGGAGAATTGAGCGTTGCTGATTTTTTTACACAGCAACCGGCTTCTGACGTTCCAGCAAGCCCAAATGGTAACCATGACCTATCCCCGCTGATTCAGTCCCAGCGGATTCATTTAGTGTCCAAGCCTACAACGACAGATACACAATCTCATCTATACCCTTTCCTGCTAGGCCAGGCTAGGACAAAGGATGCAACCCCTCAGCCAGTTCCGCAACTTCCAGTCACAGATGAGGAGAAGCTTCAACTTATTTCCGCCTTTACACGGGAGACAGGTACCTGGTGCGAGACAACTGACTCCCAAATGCATTTTACCGTGAAAAGCATCCACGAAATGATGAAATCATCATCCTTTGTCGCAGCTGCGCTATCACTCGCCTCTCGCCAGCTAGATTATCTTCAGAAGCGGCAGAGACCTGTGACGTTAGAGCTATACCAATTCACCATTCAGTTGCTTCTCGGCCAGGATCCCGTACAAGCCGACACGTCCATTTTGGCTACTTGTACTCTTCTCTGCGTTTACGAAATGATGGCCTCGCGAGTCGAAGAATGGAGACGGCATTTGAAAGGCTGTGCGGGATTTCTACGGGCCCAAAAGTGGAATGGGTCTAGCGAAGGCATAGTGAAAGCGAGCTTCTGGGCCTTTGCTCGAATTGGTAAGTAGTCTCATGAACTTCAGGCAAGAGCCTAATGGCTGATTTCGTTCGTAAAAGATGTATGGGCAGCCTTTAATAGCGGCAAAGCGACGTTAATCCCAACAGAGTCTTGGGTAGACAATATGTGTATCGATTATGTTTTGGCCAACGGAGACTTGGATGACTATTGCAATCTTGCGATCTTAATCTTCGCTAAGATTGTGAATATTCTGTCAACTCCCCAGCAATATAAAAGAGAAGTGAGGGCAGCTAAATTAAGGGCCTCAATTTGCACCTTGTGGGACGAAATGCAGGAGTGGTACCAATTGCGACCATCAGAGGTCTGTCCGCTGCTAAGAGAGTTCCCTCCCACAAAGGTTTTTCCAGAAGCGCTATATATAAGATCTGCTCCTAGTAAGGTCTTACCTCATTGAACAATGAAACTGCAGCTGACTTCCTAGACTGCGGTAACACGTTCTACCATTCAGGCTGTATGCTGCTTCTGCAGACCGGCCTCGTTACGCGGGGTCCGGAAAATCTATATACATCTTCCCAAGAAGACATTGTGAGTCCGGTTCTGCTCTTGAAATTCATTGATTCTTTTAGCTCACTAGGCCTCAGGGTAACATTATCTGGCACGCACGAGAACTGGTCGGAACCTCCATTTCAAACCCATCTCAGTATGTTGAGCTGCAATCTTCCTAGACCTTTATAGTAGGCAAAAGAAACCAGGCTAATACTTCTCCCATTTCAAGTGCCAATTGGGTTAATCAGCTTCAACCATTGTTCATCGCCGGGACAGTATTTGGAAGTTCCGTAGCCTCCCCATCCATCCGGGATACTCTGTCCGTGTCTCCAGGTGACGGACCCTCGGTCACTGAAAATTATGATTTTGATGAGTTCTGCTCTGAAAAAATCCTATTATTAAAACATCTAGCTAGAATTGAGCGTGAGACAGGCTGGAAGACCTCGGATCGGGCCGCTGAGCTAAGAATGCTTTGGGGATTCGTGTGATACAGTAGACTTCGAAAACAGATTACTCCCCGGACACATACGCTTTCTTTCCCGGCGCCCCACTCCGATCGCACTAGACTGTATTCGGTCAGGAATAGTCCCACCATCTGTTCTTCAGTGTAAATCATCACCAGATTTACTCTAATTACAGGTTCTGGCATTAGGCAGACCGTACTTGCGGGAACGCCCCGCGGCCACACGACTGAATTCGAAAGATGCCCCCTCGACACTTGCTCTTCAATTCTTGAGCCGTACCGAAGCCACACTCATCCGTAGTAAGGCAGGTCGTATATAATCCTTTCCTAATAATCGACCATTTTTCTCGTAATATCTTCTAAATGGCCTTAGTGCTGCGTTTTTTAATTGTTTTCCATAGCCAAGATTCACTAGACTACATCAAAAGTGGCGTCACGATCTCTGTCTCAATTATAGCATGGAACCAGAATTTGAATAATTTGTCAGGATGAGGAATTGATGTACTGGCTAGTACTGAACATGTCTAATAGAATCAGATGATTGATTGAAGGTCCTAAGATCGGTTGAGCGATCTCAGGGGTCTATAATCGAACTATGGCGTGTATGACGCCATACTGGGGGGAAATTGGGTGAACGATGAATAAGCCTATCTCGAAGCGTCCTAACTAGTGGTATTTAACCACTCCCCTAGTTTGTCATTACGTACAAATACAAATGAAACACAGGGATCCAACGAACAATCGCGTTGTTAGTAGCGAGTCCGTTCGACAGCTAGGAGGCGGGCAAGTGGTGTGGAGAATCGCACGTGTGGCTTCTATCATCCAAACCCCCAACGGGGAATGGAAGGGGAAAGACACTACACAGGGAGAAGAAGAACATATTGAGAAATGAATCATTGACGGAAAATTAAATGATTGTGGCGAGCGCCGGATTACTAGTGAACTGCGGTTGGCTCAACTACCGCAGGTTATTTGTTTCAGGTAAAGGCAGATTATTGAGCACGCACCACCTGTCAAGTAGGTCGCACCTCCATAGATTCAATAGATCTATCAAATATCCGGTCAAAAACCTCATTGGTCTACCACGGTGACCAGCGCAATGTATTCTCTAGAATGGGTATATTGACCTGTGGTGCGAATTGTTTGATAGACGTCACGCATTCACAACGGCGAAGGGCGGTATGAGAAGCCTATTACTACATCAATATCTAACTAGCCAACATAAAATCTATCCCACGACCTTGAACTCTCAGAATTGCACATGAGATTTTGCAGAAGTTTATCATCCTCCATAAACTATCATCCATTGCGACAAGTACACTGCTACTTTCCAATCAGATTTCCCATATACATAGAATATCTTCCGTTCCGAGCACCTCAATCTCATCGGAAGAGCGAATGAAAACCGAAAAAGGCCTAAACATTTTCGCAATGCTCCTCCTCGCTTTTCTCTCTATGATTGACGCGGGAATGTTCGAATCCACTCCTGATATCCTCAGAGATGTGGCCAAACCTCATGATCTCCTTCGCCATGTTCCGAGCCTTTTGCACAGGATTACCAGGCCGCGTGAAAATGAGATCAACCTCTTCAAGTCTGAGATTGCTGGTTTCCGGGAAGAAGAAGTATAATGCAGGCACAAAGGCTGCATTACTAGCCATGAAGATAAGATATGCTTTCCAGTGCAGCCGGTTGATGATTACAGGTGTGATCATGACGACCGTAAAATTCTAAAGCCAGTTTGAACTAACGCCGATTGCCGAACCACGTGTGCGCGCGTGCAAACGTAGGATCTCGGGCACCGAGCCCAGGGAACGCAATTAGCAGTCATACCGAAGATAAGCATATAGACGAAAAGGAATGTAATGACACCGATGGCGCATGCATGCCCATTGGAACTACCAGAACGGGGAAGAAAAACAGCAACCATCAGCATAGAAATGCTCAGACCAGTGCACCCCCATATCATTGTTCTTCGCCTACCCATGCGATCTAGGGTAAGTGTAGGTATAACTGAGCCGAGCGTAAACATTAAGTTGATGAATCCGGCTAGAATCTGAGCAAGTTTTGCTGACATGCCGACATTTTGAACAAGAACCGCTTGGTGAACACTCGGATCAGTTTTATACTAGCAGTCATTCAGGTCCAGGTCAGAAGCGGGACGACGGTGGGCCTCGGAATTACTTAGCATAATAAACGAGATTGATCCCGCCAGCGTGGTTCATAAACATGACCCACCAGGCAAGGATAACGCGGTGCCTAGTTTTCACACAGTCTACCTTTAGTAGCGCTAAGAGGCCCTCAGTTTTTGTGCCTCTTGACTCAATTTTCAGTGCGGCAAGAATAGCATCTCGCTCTGCTAGGATGTAGGAATCAGAGGGCTCTTTGTCATACATTCTGCAAAGAACATTCATCGCCTCTGCATGTAGACCGTGTCTATACAGCCAACGTGGCGACTCTGGGAGTCCTATGACTGGGATCACCACGACAAGAGCGAAGATTATTTGAGCGGCCACGGGTAGGCGCCAGGCAATGGCGCCTCCAACATATGACATGCCAAAATCGAACCAATATGCAATCACTATCCCGACGTCGACAAACAGCACTTCTGCTGAGACAAGGCGACCACGGGATCTCTGATCGCAGAGTTCAGATTGGTACCTGTGTATGGAATTATTCAATCAGTATGGGATAGCATGATATGATCCAAGATGAAGATCAGAACATGCTAAACTCAGCGCCAAACGAAACTATATAGAACTGACATAGGCACAGTCGATGTCTTGATTCCAGTACCAACGCCTGTTATTAATCGGCCGACGACAAGATGAGGTACTGTAAAGGCTGAGCTTTGGAGGATAGCTCCAACAGTTACAAATGCCATGGCCAGCCATATGGTTCGACGTCTCCCCAATATTTCCCCAGCCACGTAGTTCACTAAAGGTGTCAGTACTAGGATGACCCAGGCGAGCCCCAATATGGCTCTTTTGGATTGTAGGTATACCGAGACACCCAGCAAAACATCCAAGGTTATGGCAGCTGACGATGATACCAGTCTGTGAATCCGAAGGATGGTTGAACTGGCCCAGCCAGTCTTCATTCTCCAATATTCCACCAAAGACCCCCTGATCATAGCCAAAACAGTACAAAGGCCATTAAGCAGCATCCTGTTAAGCGAGCCCGGAGGGTCTTGCCCCGACCGAGAAATGAACACATAGTGGTATGCATGATGTGAAAGGGTTGGCGCAGAAGAAAGGATGAAATTTTGATTAATTTTAGGAGAATAATGAATTATTCAGAGGGCGCGCAGGTCTTTATATATTTACATCACCCCGCAAGTAATGAGTTCCCCCAGGAAAATGTTGATGTCTGGGGTGATTCGATCTGTGGTTAGGGGGTCGCGGTCGCCCCTTCTCTCCTGTCAGTGCAAAAGGTTAGAACGTAGTTAGTGTCCAGTCAGGCTTACCAAGCAGAATTGGGGAACTCGTGAGTGGGGCAAGGCCCGATGAATCTAGAGTTCGTAGAATATCAGCGCCTGCGCTTATTATAGCCATTCCAGTACAATCGCCACTGAAAGTCAAGAATTCACCCATTCATCCGCTTGGCCGAGAAAGCCACCGACCTGAAGAGGAAATCCTTATCAGAACAAAAGATAAAAACCTGCAACTACCTGACAGTAATTCCGTACTGCATAATATAGAGTTACCCATCATGGGGTTTGTAAGAAAGGAGTATCTGGCTAACTTAACTCGGAGACAAGTATCTTTCTATTCAAGAAATTGAAATCAGCGCTTGATTCCAAATTTAGTGTAGAAAATCAGATCTATCAGGGGTGATACCGAGTGTTCCGGGTAAAATGTAGTACACTCAAACAGTTGCACTGTGTAATATTGACTCTTGGAAGTCTGACAATTGCCGTCAGTTAGGTTATCCAGCCGTAAGGAAAGGAGGCTATAACTAGGCTGTACTGTGAGCTTTAATTTTCAAATCAATCCCTATAATTTACTTATGGCCCTCATCGTCCTTAGCAACATGCCCCCGCCGCAATATGGCTGGAAATTCCTTCTGAAACCCAGGACCAAGCATCGTGAGTGAGCTTGTCCCCTCCTTGCACGCCAATAGAGATATAGCCAGTCAACCCAACCACCACCAGACAGCCTAGAACGAGATATCTCTTCGATGGTCTCTCGCTTTTGCGTAGAGTAAAGTCTGACCAATTGGGAAATATAGTGCGAAGCCAGTACTTGTACATGGGATCAGGGTAGATGAAGGTATTCTTCTTGGTGACGGAGTCCATCCACCAACTTTGGCAACCGCTGTTAAAGACAAGGTGCTGCAGTTTCCCATGAACCCAGGAGAGGTCGCGCCTCTGAGCTTCGGGTTTGACCATGATTGAGTCAGTGTTGCCTTTGAGTACGGGGCGCAACAATCGGCACGAGTAGTTGATTTGACATTCGGAGTGGAATATGACAGAGTGCTGCCCAGTCGCGGCGTTGGGGCCATACAGAATGAAAAAGTTAGGGAAGTCAGACACGACAGTCCCCTTGTAGGCTTCGGCCCCTCCTGACGCGTCCCACGCATCGTGAAGGTCCTTGCCACCGATACCTCTGATTCTTATGGGGAACAACCACTTCTGTGTTTGGAACCCAGTGGCGTAGATAATCGCATCCGCTGGGATCCGTTCACCCCCTCTAGTTTCGACATAATTTGGACCAATTTTGACAATAGCATCCTTGGTGAGCAACATTTGTGGAGAGTGCAAGCATCTCAAATAGGTAGCAGTGTTGACTCGACGCTTGCAGCCAGGCTCGTAATCCGGCTTGAGGATTTCTCGGTACCTAGCTGGTGCCTCTTCCTCGATGTACGAATAGGTAGCTTCCCGAATTTTTTGCCGCATAGCTGCGCCATTGCTGTCCATGTAGAATGAAAAGAAAGTGCTTTCAAGCTGCCAGGCCAAAATGACACGGTACAGGCGTGCGGCAAGCGGTACGTACTTCAACGTGAGCTGGAACGCTTCGGAGTACGTGGGATTTCCCTATTTTCATACTGATTAGGATAAAAAGATAAACAACACGCCAAATCCCACTTACTCGCTTTGTCCACCAGTGGGAACTCCGGACATGCTGGGTAACTTTACCCCTGGGCCCAACTGACTTTACAAGCTCGGGGACAAACTGTGTAGCTGACGCACCATTGCCTACGACCGTTATTCTCTTCCCATTAGGCTTGAAGTTGTCAACCCACTCGGCGCTGTGGAACGTCTCCCCTTGGAAAGTATTGGCTCCCTCGATAGAGGGAATGGCTGGACGATCAAGGGTTCCAATCGCACTAACGACAACAGGAGCCTCGCGCTTGAAGGTCTCGCCGGAGTTGGTGTCCTGGAAAGTTACAACCCACAGAGAGCGGTAATTGTCCCACGTCATGTCAATACACATGGCATTGAAGCGACAGTGCGGTAGGATGTTGAATCTTTCGGCGACCGAAAAGAAATCTAATTACCCATTAGCTATACGCTCTATTCTCGACGATGGGAATGTCCTTACAAGCATGGAGCTCATCTCTACCAGGATACATGGTAGTCCAATCATGCTTCAATGCAAAACTGTAAGAGTAGAAATGACTCGGGATATCACATGCACAAGCAGGATAACGATTGTGCCACCACGTTCCGCCGACATTGTCCGACTTTTCATAGAGGGTGAAGTTATTGTGCCCAAGAAGACGTTTCAACTGGACTGCCATTCCAAGACCAGAAATGCCTCCCCCAATAATGATAACCTCTTTCGATCGATCCATAATAGCCGACTTAGACTTCCCAGGGATTGAAAAATGATCAAAATGGCTTATTGGCTGATATACTCTCATCGATTTCGTCCGCAGGAAGAAAGAGGTATTTAAGCCCAACCTGTGTTTTACTCCGTAGTCACTGGGTGAATACAAAGGACTCAAGGAGTGCGGCTATACTTACCGCTTGTTCTCCATTCAAGCTTATAGTTATATCATTTTCCCCGCGAAATCCAGTGGCCAGACTCATTGGCCTTTGATCTCATATACGGCGGAATTTTGGTTTGCATTTTGCAGTTGGCTTAGATTTGGGCACGCTCCTCGAGTGTGGAAAGCCCCACATCGCGCAAAAGTGCGGCGCTTGCGCTTGCCCTGCTTCCCCCAGACGGCTCAGCTGCCCCGTTGTGAATCTAAAGTCATTCCCAACGCAACAAAATGGGCAGGCGTAGGACACTCATGGGATGTGTTGTGGGAGTTTGGGACCCACCCTGTAGCCCGCCCAAAGAACATATGTTAATTGAAAGGAGGAATTCAAATCACGCAGATCTCTCTCGTCACTAAGGTCTACAGTACTACCGCGGAAGCGCAAGCGCCACTTTGACCGGAAAGCAGCTACCGGATCTAGAGAAACTCCTCATGCAACAAAAGGGGCAGGAATAGGACAACAATGACGATTGGTACAGGACCCGCCCCGTAGTCCGCCCCGGGAAGGTGAATTGATTCAAAAGAGCCGACTATGCCGAACTCAGGTAGTACTAAAGCCTTTCTCACCTCCCAGAAGTCCTCAGCACCGCCCCTGGCTGCTTTGAACAGTGTAACCCTTTGAGCTTCTCCGCTTTCCTCTCCAGCATGGTACTCAAGTCGCCCATTGCACTGGACCAATTGAAATTCAACGTCCCCGTGCCCTACAAATTGCACGTAAACCGAGAGCTGCTGGATGTCACCAGGCAGAAGCTGGCGTTGGCGCGCTACCCTGAAGAGCAGTCGGACTTCGGCTCAAACAATTGGGCTCAAGGCGCTAAGGTCTCCCGCGTGAAACAGCTTGCGAAGCACTGGCAGGACAAGTACGACTGGGACGCCCAGGAGGTAATAAACGTCTCCCGCAGGACTATGAAGTCTACTTCGATGCTAAGACTTGTCTCTCCAGAAATTACTCAACGATGCTTTTAATCACTTCATTGTGAAACTTGATGTCCCTGGATATGGCTCTCTGGTGCTACACTACACTCATACACGGGCTTCCAGTAGCAAAGCAATCCCTCTCTTGTTTTCGCATGGCTGGCCAGGGTCTTTCGTGGAGGCACTTCGAGTCGTTGAGCCGTTGAGCAAACCGAAGAATACCGAAGACCAAGCTTTCCATGTTGTCGCCCCTTCAATACCCGGTTTCGGCTTCTCCCCAGCGCCAGTCAAGTCCGGAGTTGGACCGAACGTTGTCGCTCGCGCCTATAAGATCCTGATGACGGAGGTCTTAGGGTACCCGAAATTTGTCACCCAAGGAGGAGATTTTGGATCTTTCATTACTCGCTCGGTGGCCATCCAGTATCCGGAGTTAGTCAGAGCTCAGCACTTGAATATGTTCCCCGTGCCTCCGCCAACTCTTTTCTCGGCACCCGCCGCATATCTCCGCTGGTGTTTCTCCGCGTTCACGTACTCGGCCTTCGAGCATAAGGCCCTTCAGGTGCGAAGAAATTTCGAGCATGATCAGAGTGGCTATCTAGAACAACAAAAGACGAGACCTCAGACTCTAGGCTTTGCTTTAGGTGATTCGCCGGTGGGTTTGCTCGCCTGGTTCGTGGAGAAGATCCACGACTGGGCCGATGTGCATGATGCGTTCAGCGACGACGACACGATCACATTGGTTATGATGCACTGGATTCAGGGAGCGACCCCTGCTCTGCGATTTTATAGGGAGGCGTTCGGCCGCGGCATGCACGAAGCTGAAAAGACGTTTGAGTCATATGTTTCTGCTCCAACCGGCGTTAGCATGTATGCGAAGGAACAGCTCCATGTAAGAAAAACACCCGTGTTATCTTATTTTCCGAATTATGTTTTAACGATTTGACAGTGCCCACGCGACTGGGCAAATCAGGCCGCCAACATTCAGTTCTGGCGTGAACATGAGAAAGGTGGTCACTTCTCATCCTTGGAGCGCCCAGATATTTTCGTGAAAGATATCCGAGATTTCTTTTCATCCGAGACTGTTATTAATTCGTGGGCTCGCGCATAGCGCCGCGGCTGCTGCTGGAACCCCGCTGAAGATCTCGATAAATTGTGCTCGCATGGGCTGGATAGCGAAATCTAATTTTGTTCTGCAAGGCATAATGCTTGGCTTTAGATAGGTTTTCAGTTAGGCTATTTCCAGCGGACGTGGGTATGAATTGACTCGCTAGCACTTGTGGTTACTTTAACTCCTAGAGTAGTATTCTTTGCTCCGTAGCTCTCTCAAGGCAAATTCTTTCAGTTCGTCAGCCGCTAAATCCTAGCTAGACGCTTCAGCAAGAGGCTTGTACCGGCACAGGGAGCGAATGTGAAACACCAGCCGGATTTTTGCGAAAGTGTGAACTGCCGAGTAACGATTTAGAATACATGGAAGCGATCGCTCTAGTATACCCATGATGCGTTAATATCAGCTCTGCTACGTGAACCGACCAGCGGTCCATCGGCCCCACTTGAATTTGTTCGGATTCCATTCCCACCAGATTTTCATCCAGCGTGACTACGGCCACGACTAGGTGGTCTTCAAGGCCCGAGCCATCCGAATTTCGCAGTTGCAAAAAATTAAGACAGTGATCGGTCGTAGTAGGATTTTGACCGATGTGCTGTAAACAACAATAGAAATACGCAAACAGTGATTCTAGGATCCTGGAAAGAAGCGGGTCGGTTCACTTTCCTAACATAATTTTCACTTGCTTATGATTACTTCTTCTCACTTAAAGTAAGACGGACTATCGGTATAGCGTCTATACTAGTTACCGAGAGTTAGTTAGTTAGCTAGTTACTAGGTTTTGCAATTACAAAACAACGGGAGCGGCAAGTAGGCCACAAGAGGCCTTGATGAGGCTCTGAGTTCGTTGTCAGGAAGTGGATCGCTCTATATGTATACACTCGGATATATATAGTGAAGTGGGACAGATGCTCAAGGCATTCTGGCAGTGCAGACGGGTCGAAGCGACCATGCAACCACACACACACACTGCACGGCACCTAAGGAAGGAGCGACAGCATGGGAGGAAGGTGCTACGGTTGCTACCGGCGTAGGACCCAAGCACTGCGTCCTGTAGACAGCGGATAGTCAAAAAATGAAAGCATGAAGGTAGTTGTATTGTCTATATCTTCCTAGTGACCATCTTGAACACTACATAATTACAGCTACCGCAATCCTTGCTGCCTCGGGCACTAAGGCAGAAACATCACTAGGAGTAGCTGAATTCCCTACTAACAATAGTTGTTAGATCCTGCATATCGCTTTCAATTGCGAGGGATCAGGGTGAATGAAATCCATCCATCCATCCATCCATCCATACTGTATTTGGACACAAGGCTACTCGATCCGAAATATTTGATCTGTTATAGAGCCATAGAATACAACGAGCACTGTGAAGACTTTCTAGGAGGCATTTCCCAGTATGGATCTAAAAACTCAACAGTAATCCACTCTAGAGCAACCGTACCGATATAGACATAGATGTACTGTAAGGTTGCGGACCCACTAAATGCCTGTAAAACGCACTCGAATCATTATAAATCGTCACTTACCTCCCAATATGGCTTACGGAGTGAAGAAAAATCGCATCTGCTGGTCTCTACAAACAAGATGACTCTGGATAGAAAAGTTTTTGATCGGGGGAAGGGATTTATAATGGAAGCATCTGGAGAAGGAATAGACCGTGGAGGGGCGTTCGCAATATAGATGCTATGGATTCGCAGCTGATGTCGCAAAGATGATATTTCATCTAAATACAAGAGAAAAGAAATTCACAGGAGCAAAATAATAAAACGGAAGAATTACATCATCCACAAAACATAAAAAGGGCTCGGCTTCCTGGCCTGCCATATCGTTCAATATGGCTAGGCGCAGGCAAAGGTTGACATAGCAGACGCAGTGGACGAGGAGCTAGAAGCTGTAGATGACGAAGGCGTCGAAGTCGCGGGAGCGCTCGAAGACGGGGTTGCGCTTGTGCTGGTTAATGACTCAGTGTCAGACGTGGTGCACGATCTGCCAGTCTTCAGCCCATTATCCAGTAGACATTTAGCTTCATCACCATTCTGATTGAAAAAAGTGACTTCCCCGGTCCGGTCGACCTGAACCAAAGCAACAATTTTGCCGTTCGCTTGGCCACATGCCGCAACATCAATAGTAGCGAGGTCTATGCGGGTGCCGTGCACGACGACCTCGCTTATCTCTGAGATAAACTTTGATCAGCTTATCGTGCTGGAATAAAGCTTGACCTAAAGACTTAGCTGAGCAATCGTCTCCGTTAAGTTTCGCAAATGATGCAGAGTAGCCGGTGCATCCATGGTTATCGTTAGAGTATATTTTACACTAGAGGTTTTCGTCGATGACCTGGAGCGTCCCTCCTAGGGAGATACGTATAAAAACTCCAACAAGAACCGCGGGGATTGAAGGACGCATATTTTTGGATTCGGCCTCGATGAAAATAAGCCGCGCGATGCCGTGTGAGAAGTGAAGATCATCATACGGCCTTTTATATACTGACTTCAGGTGTTCCCCCATATGCGGTGATATAACACTGCGACACTATTTTCGATCACCCCGTCTGCATCCTTTTTGGTTGGTTGGTGAGAGGGGAAAGCCATTCGATTCGTTTCTCTCAGCTCACCCTGAAATTGTACTAAGCGAAAATTTATCCTGCGACACCATTGAAGGAAAGAGAAGAGAAACGAAGCCGCCGAAATATAGAGGGCTTGCTCCGGGAACATCAAAATCAGCAACCATCGAAAACACGTCTTTTTCTCGCGTCATTCGAATCGCAGAGGCCTCTAGGCCCTAAAAAAAACCGCCATGGAGGCCCTGGAACCCTATGGTAGTGGTGTTTCACACGCGTCAACTCCGCGAGCGCGACACGTGGCCTCTCAATCCCCTGAGATCCTAGGGGCACCAGATACTCCAACACCCAGCTACCGACACTCCCAAGGCTACGTACAGCCTCATACAGCTCTAAATAAGCTAGAACAGCTAGGGCTACCCCAATCAGGGAGCCAAGGGTCCCCAGAAATTAGGGGCTCGAGCAAAACATCCGGCTGAGCGGGCGAAACGCACAATGCAATTAAACGACGGAAAGCTCTGCAAAGAGAGCCAGCAAACGGATATAGACCCATACAGAAATCGATCAAGCAAATAAATGCCTTAGCAGGAGCTCTCGAGCTGGCCCAATATGAAGGCCTAGAATGTATACGATCGCAGCTAGCCGAAGAGCTGAACAGCTGAAAAGCCCAACAACAGATCCGGGAAGACCTTTATCACGAACGCATTAATATTCTAGAAATAGAGGTCAGCAAGCTTCGGACAGAGCTTACAGCAGTTTAACTACCTTAAAACGAAAAACAGGCTGTACCAGCCCAGTACCCAAACCAGAAACCTGCAAATAATCAATCCACTCGAGCTCAAAGAAAGATAACATATGCAGATCTGGCAGCTCTGTTAGCGACAAAACCAGAAAGCCAAGAATGGCAGGAAGTTACAAAGAAACAGAAGAGACAACTACAAAAACAGCCAGAACAGCTAAGCTTAGGGGATATTACGCCAATGAAAAATGGCCCTAAAGAAGCCCGAAGACTACTATTCTGCAGAGAAAGTGGAACAGAAGCGCCAAGAGCTAAAAGAGAAAATGTAATTCTAGAAATTAACTAGGCACTTGCAAGTGCAGGCTTTCCAAGCTTCATACGAGTAATCGATACGGGTTATACCAATACAGGGGCAATCAGTATCTTACTAGAAAAAGGATCTACTGGATCAATACTGCTAAACTATCGAGACCTACTAGTAAAAGCAGTACGTTAAGCTGATCCAACAGTAGTCTCAATAGAACTTCCGGAGCAATAGTATCGGTTGAAGATCTATAGAGTCTCGGTCAAACGATATCTGAGCTGCGGGCTCAGCTTAGCCCGAGAAAAGGTTGAACTGGGAACTGTCTTTCAGCTGAAACGAGATCCTACATGGCTAAAGAGCCCTAAGGAGCTTAAAGATCAAATAGGTTCTACAATAGTGATCACTGTAAGATCTCTAAAAGAAGCTCGCAAGCTTCTTACTAACGGAATCTGTTTTGGTAGAATCCGATACCGAGCAGAGCAGTACTGGAAGATAGGATCAGATACGGTCTGTCCCTGATGCTGCAATTTAGGTTATCGAAGCTTTAGAGTCTGCAAAGATCGAGGACCATGTTATTTTATATGTGCGGGCCCTCACGAAGGAGCAAAGCATATATATAAGATAATAAACTGTACAGTAAGGCCAGGAATTGCCTGCCAGCATACACCAGCGAAATGCGGAAATTGCCAGGGCCCGCATATGGCCACTACAGAAAACTGTCTAGCAAAACGAGCAGCCAGGAAACAGGAAAGGGAAAGAAGAGCTCAAAGAGATAACCCGAAACAGCATTACGCTCAAGCCAGCTAAAACCTACAGAGGCCGGCTGTTGCGGAAGTTAACAAAAATCAACAGCCCAGGCAAACAAGAAGCAGCTCAGTACCGGCCAGCCCGCGAACTCCGACGGAAGAGAAATCCAGTTGATACAAACCCCAACAGCCAACCGCAGGAATGATATAGACATGGAAGAGTATAGGACCCCCCGGGGGCCTACTACGGAACCGAATAGCTTCTAATGCTGGTAATATAGCATAACTGCCGCAAGACGTACCCAGTCACAATTGCGACACTAGAAGTAGGGCTAGAGCTAGGGGTAGGCCTAGCATACCTACAGGAACCCTATGTTGATACAAACTTTCGACACGGGGCATATCAAATATACTGGCTAGAGGCTGGTAAACGCAAAAAGCAGAGAGTGGCAATTGCTGTCCGCCGGGATCTTCTAAATAGGCTGGTGATAGAGGCCCGCACGGACCTAATAAACCATCCTTATCTGATGGCCCTAGATATCTGGGAGCTAGATAGGGGCAAAAAGACCTGAAGAACCCGGATAGTCAACTGCTATAATAACTGGATTGGCAAGAATTACTGCTGGCAAGGTATCAGTGAGCGTCAAAGAAGAGCGATAGAAGATATTCGGTAAAACCAAGTTTTAGAAGGAAGATGCCTATTACTGGAGGACTTTAATGCGTATAGCTCTCTATAGAATCCCCAGGCAAGAGTTCTAGTGAATGCAAAAAATCTAGAAAAGCTGATTGAGGACCAAGGTCTCTATATCAATAATGAGACAGGGGTCGTAACAAGACCGAAGATAACTCCAGACATTTCTATTATTGATCTAAGCCTCACTACACAGACCATGGGACCACTGCCAATGTGGATAGTAGCTCGAGAACATCCTACAGGGTCAGACTATGAACTAATAGTAATGGAATGGGTACTCCTGGAGAGAGAGTCCATCAATACCTCAGCGGAAATTACAGGCTGGCAGATTTACACTCTACAGGCAGACCCAGAAGCCTTAGAGAAGACAAAACAAGCTTAGAGCCATATATTAAGCCGGAAAAAATAGCTTGATGACACTTGCTAACATGATCAAGTGGCTTAGGAGGCCTACTGAATCCAAGAGAGTCTTACAACTGTACTAAATTAACAAGCAAAGAAACTGAGGGTAACATCTCGATCAAAACGATAGTGGAACCCAGAGATAAAAAAGGCCAGACAAATCTACGCCCGAGTAAAGCGGGCGTAGACGACACAGGGTATCCAGGACAGCGAATACAAGGTAGCCCGAAACATCTACTACAGCGCTATCCGAAAAGACAAACAGGAATGCTGGGAGGCTTTCCTAGTAGGGCCGCAGAATGGGGAGACAGACCCTAGCGAATCGGAGAGGTGCTGGCAAGCATTTCGATACACCAAGATCAGTGGGGCTAGTATTACACTAGTCTTATGAGGCTCAGAGGGCCAAACAGCAGCTACTATCGATAAAAAAGAGGCCTTAGTACGAGAAACAGCATTCCTACCGGCTCCGGAAAGAGAAGATCCCGAGCGACTACCACCAGGGACCTAACACACCCAGATTGATGAAGCGAAGGTCAAACAGGCACTGTTTCAGCAAGCTATTCAAAAGGCTCCCGGTATCGATAAGCTAAATTTTAGAGCTCTACGGTTACTATAGGACTGGGACAGTCCCCGGCTAATAGCTCTAGTAAGGCAGTGTTTCAGGCTAGGCATCCATCCGGAAACATAAAAAATAGCTAAAGGTATTCTGCTGCGGAAACCGAATAAGCCAGACAATACAAAAGTTAAGGTTTACCGGGTAACCAGTCTACTCAACTGCCTAAAAAAGGTAGTAAAAAGGTGGCAGCAGAAGCTATAGCTAACTATCGCGAAATTACCCAAAGCTTATACCCGGGTCAAATGGGATCCAGAAAGGGCCGAAATACTATAGATGCTATAGTCTGTCTGATACAAAGAACTCATCAGGTGTAAGGCCTGAAACAGCTAATAGGAGCCCTCTTTCTCGATGTAAAGGGAGCGTTTGATCAAGTTAACCTGGCCAGACTGATAGCCCGGATGATGGAGCTTAATCTAGATAGGGGCCTCATACGCTAGGTACAATCCTTTCTAACTGACCGAAGGGTTCAGCTAGTTATCGATAATATTCTGTGTTTGGAACAGCCAATCAACTCAGGTGTCCCTCAGGGATCACCAGTGTCCCCAATTCCCTTTATCATCTATCTCAGCTGGATCTTTGAGGCTATAGAAATAGCAGTACCAGGGATTCAGGCCTTATCATTTGCAGATAATGTAGGTCTTCTAGCCCCAGGGTATTCAGTGAAAGAAAATGCGAAATGCTACAGCGAGCAGCAGAAGTAGCGATCAGTTGAGGCCAGATACATAAAGTTCAGTTTAACGCAGAGAAGACAGAGGCAGTCCTCTTTACCCGAAAACGGGACCAAGAATTCAGAGCCCAGAATCAACGAGCCCGCATAGTGGTCGAGGAGCATCAAGTCTCATTCAACCAAAAAGCTAACCGGTAGCTAAATTTATAGCTGGATACAGGCCTTAATCTAAAAGCCCACTACAATACGTGCCTACGGAAGGCCCGCACAGCGGAAATCTGGGTGCAGTCTCTGTGTCGCAAACAGGGCTTATCCCCAGGCCTAGTACGCAGGATCCAGGTAGCTGCAGTGCAGTCAGTAGCTCTATATGGGATAGAGCTCTTGTAACAGGGCCAGAAAGATCGGCTCGAAGGGGTACAGCAACTACTTAATCGACAAGCTCAGGCAATTACGGGAATGCTCAGAATTACCCCTATCGGCCCCCTTATTCGGGAGGCGGGTCTAACACAAGCGGAATGTCTACTAGAATCTAGACAGCTAGAATATACTATCCGGCTTCTAGGTCTACCCGAGAACGACCCAGCAAGGCAAATTCTTCCAGTCAGCTTTAGAGAAGGGGATCAGCGGGTACAACCCGACGAACAGCCAGAAGAGGACCGAAATTGGGCAGAACCAAGCCGGGGACCATGGTCACTAGGCCCACACCCACCTAGCACGCCAGCTAAATCAGATTCTACTAGTTGACCCCTCAGGAGGTTTTGAAACCTCAATACAGATCTCGAAAAACAGCTTCCCAGGCCAGATTATTATTGAGTCTCCGGAGGAAGCACTCCAGGCAGCTCAAGCAGCCCGGGCAACTCAGACTATCTAGATAGATAGATCTGGGCTAGAAGACGGGAAAACTGGAGCTGGAATAGCATGGCAAGCCCAGCAAGGCTGCTAGAAGCCAAAAACATCCCCAATAGGAAAAGGACAAGAAGTCTTCGATGTAGAGCTTCTAGGAGTCTACCAGAGACTACAGCTAGCGAGAGAGATAAAAAGCTAAAGACCAATTACCATACTACTCGATTTCTAAACAGATATACGCAGGCTATAACGCAAGACCTGGATTAGGTCAGACAATAGTTACTGATATACGCACTGCCGCTCAGAACCTGCTATCTAGGGGCCCTGATCCGATAATTCAATGGGTCCCAGGACATGCAGGTATAGAAGGAAACGAAAAGGCAGATTAAGCAGCAGAGCAAGCTGTAACGTGAACACCGGGACCAAACTGCAGAGAGATCTTACAAGCATTTACTTGCAGAACCCGTACAGAGGCATTGAGAACAAACAGACAACACTAGCTAGAGAATAGTCTTAACCGGAGATTACAATCGACACAGAGAACCTATAAATCTGGAAGAGGCTGGCAACTGGATCCTATAGCAGCAACAACTACCAAGGGCCTAGCTAGCCAATAATTTCAGATAAAGGTAGGACATGCAGCTATCGGATCATATCTATGCCGCATAAAATCTCGGGAAAGAGCGACCTGCCAAAATTGCCAAGCTCCTAGGGAGACAGTCTCTTATATACTATTCAGCTGCAGACAATGGTAACAGTAACGAGATGTACTATATATAGCTCTAGATAGAGCGAAAATAGTAAGACCCTCCGTACAAGAAACTTACTCAGAAAGCAGGCTCTTCAAGGAGCCTAAAGCTACTAAAGCCCTACTAGACTTTATAGCTAATACAGACGTAGCTCTTTCTGGAGAACAACACCAGAAGGACCAACAAAGGGCAGAGAGAGATGATAAAAGAAGCCTAGAAACTCTAGAGGAAGCTGAACGGACCGGAGAAGGCTAACAGGAAGAGTGACCTGGTCACATCTAGGCGTCACCTACCCTGCTAGAATCCCAAGGAGAGCAAACATGCTCAAAGGCCCTGCGCAATAAGGCGGTATGGGGCGAGGAAAAGGAACAGGATGTATACAAACGAGGGAATAGCCCTAGGAACTGATAGTGGCCTGAGACTAGGCCTCAGGCCGACGACACACGGTCTGTCATAGCCTAGGGGCTCGGTATGGACAATAAACTTGATTAAATAAAAAAAATTGATGAAAGAATTACACGTGCTGTGTGACGTACTTTCATCCACGAATATTAGAATACGCGGGAGTAAGAGAATAATAATATCTCAAAGAGCTCGCTCTCGCTACTGGTCCCGCCTTCTTTACCGAGATTAGGAGCCAAAGAACTCTTTTTTGCTATATGATAAATATCATGTGATTACATTCCCGGGAATGGCCGGCTTTAAGTAGCCTCCTCTCTCCCATAAGATTTTTTTAACTGGCATAAAATCATCAAGGATGTCCTTTACAGAATCAGAAAAGAGGTAAGCGGTTTTGTGTGGAGACAGGCCTAACTCTCCGCGACCGTAAACGTCCCAAGTTCGAGACTGTTACGCTAATTGGACTCGGGGGACTTCTAGCTGAATAATTATTATCATCAACGAACTACTGCTAGTGAGGCAGAAATACACTTCTGAGAGCGGCTTTTGCGTACAAAAAATCATTCTTTCCAATTGGAGTTTCGAGACACATCCTGCATTCCTCATAAGTCCGAGCGCATAAAAACTTCAAGAACAGCCAAGGTGGTGTTTGCTGTCGCGTTTGCGAGCTTCATTGCCTTCTCCTGAACCCGATAGGCTTCGAGGATTCTCATGTCTGCAAGGAGGAGCTCCACGAGATGCGCATGTCCGTTTCTTACGGCAAGTATCAAAGGACCATTGCCGTTCGGGTCTTCAGAAACTGGATCAATATGCCGTTCACGGAGCAAAATGTTCACTATGTTGGCGTGTCCATTTTCGGCCGCGACGGAGAGAGGGGTTCTGCCACAGGCATCACTGGAATTGATTGACAAACCATCGAACGCGAGCAAAAGTTTCGGGACCTGGTCGTGTCCGTTTTTAGCTGCATGATGAAGCGATGTTTGACCGTTTTGATCTGTGAAATTGACGTCTACTCCCTCGTGCTTCAGAATCAAGCTCACAATGCCTTCTCTCCCCTCACTAGAGGCCCATAAAAGGGGACTAAAGCCCATTTGGTTTGGAAAGTTCAACTCAAGTTGCTCCTCACTGAGAAGCAATGGAACTATTTCAAGGTGACCATTATTGATTGATTCCCAAAGTGGGGACTCGGCGATGTGCGTATATTTGCAGTCGAGATTGAATTGACGGCATCGCAGAAGCACTTCCACCATCTTCAAGTGACCATGAGCGGCCGCAAGAGATAGAATACTCCTTCCGTTACGATCTCGGTAATCCGCTATGCTGAATCCTCGTCCGATAAGAACGTCTATCATTGCTGAACGCCCGCGACTGACTGCCTGAAAAAGAACATGAAGGCCCTGATCCTGAAAGAATTGAGGGCCAAAGTGCAGTTTTTTAAGCATTTCTGACGCCTGCTTATCATTTCCTTGTAGTCCTTTGAGCCACACCTTCACGAGGAGAGTCTGAAAGTCTTGGTCATTGAGTCTCGTGACATCCAGGAGTGAATCAAAGCAACCTTCACATCCATTGCTGGCTGCGCATAGGAGCGGTGTATTTCCGCAATGGTCCACAGCGTTAGGATCAGCACCATGAGCGAGCAAAAGGTTTAGAATATTAATGTGTCCGGTTTTCGCGGCAACATGGAGTGGTGTGAGTCCGCCCTTGACTCTGAAGTTGGTACTGGCCTTGAGGTCACAGAAAAGCTGTACAGCCTTCTCATGACCACTTTGCACAGCTCGAAAAAGAGGTGTCTGATCACGAAGGTTTCTTGTTTCGTAACCACACCCAGCCTGAATCAGACGCCGTGCAAGCTCAACATCTCCAGATTCTGCCGCCAAATGAAGTGCTGTGTTCCCAAGTTTGTCTCGGTGGTCTGGCTTGGTGGAGGAAATTTCCAGTAACAATTCCACGGCATAATGAAACCCGTGAGTTATTGCATGAAACGACGGTGTTTGGCCACGGCCATCTATTGAATCTGGTTGAGCACCATGACCAAGCAGTAACTTCGTGACTTCTGCATGGTTGTAGCGTATAGCCAGGTACAAGGGTGATTTTGAAAGATTTTTGGACACAACAGTGGCACCACCTCGTAGTAACACACCTACAATCTCAGCGTTACCATTTTTCACTGCCAAAGACATTGTTGATTGGCCTAGAGCATCTGCTGTATTCGGAAGCGCATCCTTCTCGAGTAGTGTGCGGACGATGTTGAGATGCCCATTTTTGACAGCCCAGGATAGAGGCGTTCGACCCCAATACTCGTCCCTGAAGTTAACATCAACACCCTTGGTATGGATCAAAATCTTGAATATTGCCTCATGGCCCTGCGTAGCTGCCCAAATTAGTGGTGTTCGGCCAAATGAATCTATTCCATCAGTAGATCCTTCACGTGTTACTAGACGTTCTGCCACTTCGCTTAAGCCATAAGCTGCAGCAACATGTAGTGCGGTTATGACATTATGAGGCCATGTTATACTCAAATTCGACTCATTATCCCACCCATTCTCCCACCAATTCTCCCACCAATTCTCCCACCCATGCATAATGGCTTGGATAATCGTCGGTGGAATTGTCAACAAAAAATTTTCAACCTCCGTGACCAACATAGTAGCATGTCGTGCATGGTGACCCCAGTTCTTGGTAGCGTATGCATACAAAGGATCATTTCTGTCACAATTTTGGAAGGACAGGTATGTCGTGCAAGCCTCAGCTATAAGCAGTTCTCCATCAGGAAGCATTAACCCTGTCTGGGTTTCTTTCGTTTTCAAGAATTCTTGTGCAGTGTGATGAACCAGTCGAATAACCTGGCTCTCTTGATCAACAACGACAAGGCCAGCACAGATAGAAAGCATATCTTCGATATGTGGATAACATCGACTATCAATGCTAGAACTCCAGGGCTGAATGGCTAAAGCATAGGAAAGCTCTCGCGTGGTCAGTGGCCCTTTGGCGTGGATGATCCATGAAAGCATTCGTTTTGCCAGGCTCAATTGTTCGGGGTTCTGATTCCAAATCCTTTCCAATATGCGATTATATGCTCTAGACAGTAACTCATATTTTTCCCCCGAGAGACTTGCATACTCAGCGCGAATTTCGGCAAGTGTGTCATCAACTTTCTTCTCCGTTGTACTTGACTCGATGGCCTCCACGTACAGCTTAGCTAGAAGAAACCTGTTTGAAAACATTAGAAGTCAATATCTGCTTATATATTTCGGGTTTAACAAATACATTTCACCGACTATTCCAGCTATTCCAATCCTGATTCTCTCTTTGAGTGCTGAGTTATTTCGTATTACCGCTGATGATGCAAACTGGAGCTTGGTGTTGATATATACAGCCACATCTGCTTCTTGAGCACGGATTTTCAAATTGATGCAGTCCTTGAACTTCTCAGTGAGACTCTCAGTGAATCTGGATGTGACACATATGCTTGCTCTATGCTGCGTTTGAAGTTGGAAAAGAACGTCAAGTAGTTTGATGCGGTACTCATAGGTACTGCATTCATCCAGGCCATCGATGACGATAAACACGCGCAAGAATTGGGCGAAAGTCGAGGATAAGGCCTTATAGATCTCTTCGGAAGCGGGTCTTGTTTTCTTCTCGGTATGTTTTAAGAAAAGGTTTGTTGCTTCGTTCTTTGATTGAGCCTGGCTAATTAGTTGCTTTAGTAGACTTAATACCGGCGCGTCTCCGCTGAGTCTGTCCTGCTGATTATAAGACAGATACATGTATGCGATACCATATTGTTCGTTCACGGTACAACGCGTGAATAGATCTTGGATCATGACGGCGCCGATAATCGTCTTTCCGGCCCCAGGAATCCCCTGACAAAATAGAACCTGTCCGCTCGTTTCCAACCATTTTTGATACTCCTTTGATTCTAAGATCCACTGACCGGTGCCAGCTTGGTGCGTTTGCAGGTTGCTGTAGTGTTGGGGACCATAGTCGATGTCGGTAATCCAATCCAGCACGTGTTTCTCTTGGATATCCTTGAGTCCGGATCGAATTTGCCGGACATTTTCTTGCGTATCTGAAACGGTCGATAGTGCTATACAGACTTTATCAATAACCCACTTGTCTGCTGAGGAAGTAAATACGAACTTTTGTCAAGTACGTCCCTTATCCTTTCAGATGATTCCACATCCTGGGGCATGATGTACTGTAAAAGCTCTTTGGCGTACCCCGCTGCGACGATTGCCGCATAGTCACGCCAGGTATCGTTCTTGGTTGAGTCCGCATAATCACATATTCCCCTTATTACGAGACATGGAAAGTTATACAAGAGGCCCGCCGCTTCCATTTCAACACACAGTATCTTGTCGTTGAATCTTCTGTTCAATTCATCGCGAAAGCTCCTGTCTTTGATCACTTGATTTCCTGATGCGATAAGGCCGTAGTGGATCTTTGGGATATGATTTTCGGGCCCTTCGTCTTCGACAACGGAATTCTCTCTCGGTTCCCTCCATATCGATGAAGAGTTTTCTGCGGGTGGGGTGAAAAGCTTCGACAAACGTGGCGCTTTCTTTCTCACCCCTTTTATGAATTCCTCCAGCCTTGGCCACCCGAGGTCTCGGCGAGCATTCAACGTGGCTGCCGCAGAGAGCAAGATATTGGGTGGAGTATTCAGTGCACCAGTCGGACGGAATCCCGTGCTCTCTGCTTTACCCAAATCGCTTTGTACGACCCCCGGATAGACATCATCAGGTGTCCCAACCACTACATCTCCCAGCCGGATGCCTTTCTCGAAGATCCCGCCACCAATCCCAACCAGCAAGCCAAATCGAACGGACTGGAAGTGCTCCAACATTTGAGTTCCAACGGCCGCGGCTGAATTTGTGCCATACTTACCCAAAGGTAAACATGCAACCACAATGTTGTGCTTTCCGATCGCGCCTAATGTGTATATGTTCCTTTTTCCAGGGAGGCCTTTGTGTATCTCGTCCAGCATGACCGTTGCTGCCCTCAGCTCTACATCCAAGGCACAAATCCATCCGATCGTATAATCCGCTTCCGTGAGCTGTTTAGACATTGCGGGTGGATTTGGGCATTTCCTACCATGCCAGGTGGAGTGAAAGAAGAATAAACTTTCCAGTGGAAGAAGGGAAAGAAAGGTTCCGTCGTGTCTCACGCGTAGAGACGAAGGAGACGTGACTACTGCATCAATCGGAGGACGCAACCCTGTCAGTTACCATACAGGACTAGCCTCTCCAGCCTGATTCATAGTTATCATATTCCTCTGTAGAGGGACGGAGGTAAGCTGAAAAGGACAACGTCGGGTTCAGCTCACAACAGACTGTCGCCAACGACACACGCACGCTAGGGGTCGTGAGCTGCTGGCGCTTACATGCAGGACCCTCTACCTGGCTGGACGACATGATTGGGGTTGATTAGTGCCAAGAAACCGCCCCCACATTGCCCGGTGATGTTGTGAGCCTGCAGGTGTCCCAGAACTGGAGGTTTAGGCAAAGAGTGAGCCAGGTCGAGGCTTTGGTCAGGTGGCGAAGCATGAAGATGTGGCCGAGACGTTCTCCCCGAGGAGCCCGCAGACGGCGACAGGTCAGTGTGTATCGGGCGGATGACTCGCCAGATTTGCATAGCGAATACGGCCCCTATATGCATGTACGGAGGACGTTGTGGGCTAATAGAATCCTACACAGGTCGCAAGATAGGTTGTCACCGTCGCACAGACCCCCGGATTTATTCGGACTTACTAATATACCTGCATTAGTTAGTTATTTTAACGTTTTATCTTCACTATTCTAGAGGAATACCTCGACGTGTTCGTCATCGTATACCTTAATGGCATCCTCGTATTCTCTAAGACTAAGGCAGAACACGTTAGACATAACAAAAAGGTGTTGTAGAAACTAATTATAAATTATATATATATATTTACTTTCCCGAGCTATATGCCTCAAATAATTGGTCTTTATATTTGCCGTTCGATATAAATGATAAATATTAAAATCAGTACGATTTATATACTGAAAAATATCTTGTTTGTCCAGCTTTGCAGAGCTAAAAGTAAACCTTTAGTAAATACTAGGTAGTCAATTGATAATCAGTTACTAAATATTTACTTTTCAATTACTGCTGTTAAGGTTAACTGCTTTCCCGCTGCATTAGCCTTATGATGAGACTGTTCAGCTGCATTAGTATAATTCCGAATAGAATCATAGACTTAGACAGGAATATTTGAGCAATTTTTATTAAGCTCAGCTTTGATAACTGAAGACTTCTTATGGGTCGCCCATATTTGAACCTTTTCATTCTCATGCTCTAAGCAGCTGTTAATCAGTTAATAACCATCTGTTAAGTACTTGATAAGTACTTACCAATCAATAAATTACAGAGCTAGTCATAGTTATCTTCTGACTTGTAATCAATTAAGCTGGCCATCCGACTCCATATACCGGAACCTTTATTTGCACTCCCAACTGCTTCTGTAATTGTACGAAAGAAATGAACTCGACAGAAGATAATAATTCCCTGTAGCTGCTACAGTACTGGTCGATGCAGAGGATCGATTTCATGAAGGTATTGATTAAGTCCTAAATAGTTAGTAAGTAGTTCCTAAGTACTTAGTAAGTGGTTAAATATCGGTATATTGCTTTGTATCTATATCTATTACAATCCCGTAGATGCCGTTAGAATGAATAGAATTAAACTCAACAGCTTGGCCGGTAACTTTTTAAATAAAAGTAAAAACTCTTTTAAATAAAAGGTAATAGCCTTCCGTGGTTTCCCGATCGGTAGAGACCCATAGGAGTGTAATAACTTTTAGTAGTTAGTAAGTACTTAGTAACTGCTTAATGAGTACTTACTCTTATTATACGCTGGTAGGTAAGTTACAAATACAACCTCATTTATTTCTTTTTGTCGAATGCGTTTATAGGACATATCAACCTCAAAAGAAGTCAATGTATTGAGAAGCTTGATTTGTTCCTTAAAGCTACATAGAATTATGGTTCTATCAGGACTATAGTGTTTCTCTTGAATGTATTCCTATAGGCAGTTAGTAAGTATCTATTAAACAGTTAGAGAGTACTTGCCTTAACAAATGGATTGGTATTGTATAAATATATTACCCTATTAAAATTTTGACCAGCCGGATAAGAAAGAAGTCGCTGTTTTTGAATAACTGCGGAAATCCGATCAGTGTTCGATAATAAAGCATAAATTTCAGCCGGTATTAACGTATTATATTGCTGGCAGAAAGCCTCTAGCTCTAGACTTCGCAAGAATTGAGCTAGTAACCAGTTAATAAATAGCCTTAAAGTGATTAGTGTCACGGACTGTGACCTGCCTCCGAGGACCTTCCTCGCGATACCCTATAACCTAACTCCCCGATAGAGACTAGCGTTAGAGCTGTCACACATATCGCAGCCAGCTCCTGAATAGCTTTATAGTTTAACTTAGTTTCCTCGTTAAATGCATACCTTACATTCTCACGATTCTCTATCGTCAGTGTAGCCGTTCGTTATATTAAACTAAGCTTATCTTTTATTTTATCTTTTCTACTTCTAGCAATAACATTACATTAAGAAATTGCTGGTATATGTTAGCGTATATACTCATTTAATTCTTTTAACGGAATCGCTTTACCTACCGAATCACAATAACAAGAACAACAATTACGGATCGCAAATTATAAATTATAGTATTAGTTACCCTCTAAAAGAAAACTAAAGCTACTGCAGCCCAGAAAGGATCCAATAATAAAGATTATAGAAAAAGACAGAATGCTTCTGGCCGTTTCTCTGATAATAACGAGTTTGAACGCAAATCTGACAATCTTAATCTTCCAAGAACGGAAATAGAAGAGGTAGTATCAGAATCTGCAAAATCTACTAGAGATAAAGTAGTTCGTTAGGCTTGCAGAGCTTGTCGCCTTAAAAAGTAATATCAGACCGAAAAAGATCTCGAACTTAATGACCTGACTAATTCAATAGATATAGATAATAACTTGAATATCTTATAGTTTGCCGTAGGAGCTGAGCCCGAAGGCGAACTTACTGAATAATATCGCAAAATGTTTTACAGCAAGTTTTACAATTATCTAAAAACAGCAATTAACGAAATTTAAATACTTATTCAAGAGCTTGTTCCGTTTAAAGTTTAAATCGCGGGAATTATACAGAAGAAGGAACAAGCTGAAAAGGTTATTACTGAAATAATTTAAGTAGCTAATATCAAAGATATTAAGATTGAGTAACTTATAGAGAAAAAATAGAGCTATATAAACCGGATTATCGAACTTAATATAAAGGTTGCTGCCATAGAAAGGGTTTAGACTAGAGATTGCAATTAGCTAACTGCAGGCACTAGAGACTAGCGTAACGAGATTTCTCTTTCCGGTACTAGCAATATTAGTTACCGTTCGATAAAGATATCCAATTTTTCTCTCTTTGATAACAGCAAAAAGGTCCGTTTCGATAATTAACAGATCCGAATCTACAATAAACTAGATGCGAACGCTAATTACTTTAAAATTACTAAAACGGAAATAACTTACGTAAAAAGTTACCTGGAAAGACAAGCAGCGGAACATATTATTATACATTTCTGTTAGAATTCATTAAACCTTTATAAAAACGTTAAAAATATTATAGATTATTTCTATTTTATTTACGAAGATCTATACCGCAAGACTAACGCTTAGAGTAAATTACGTTAATTAACTATAAAAGTCAGTAACAGATTTATAAAGTTTATTTTAATTTTTACCTTTATTGTTTCTAAAATAAAGTTTGTAAAAGAAAAATAGAAAAAAAATCTTTACTAACGTTTATTATTCCGTTTGCAGATTCAGTTAGATAACCCAAATAGCGATCCTAATGTTAATTATAAGAATTTCTGCCTGATTATTACGTGCCTTGATAATTGCCAGAATTAACGCTTTTCTTTTAAAGCTAACTAGCGTACTACAGTTTTAGTCCCTTCAAGTAAATCGACCGGTAAACTAACAACTATAGATACGTTTCCAGCGGCTGCAGTACTAATTTAATTTTTTACAAAATTAATTAGTTTGGGTTACCTTGCTCTAAATGTAGAGAAAAAAAAGTTTTTAAACGAAAATCATTACTTTTACTGCAAGAAAGTAGAATACGTTTCTCGCATATACCCTAAAAAAACAGTAACAAATGCTATCAGTAAAATTGAAAATCTAATCAGAAAGCAAAAGAAAGAAAACACTTAACTAGTAAAAAATTAAATGCCCTGAAATATATTTCTATCCCAGAGTTAAATAGATCGATCAGTACAATTAACATAAAAGAGATAATCGGAAAATATAGCTTTAAAGTACCAGTTATAATTTCATTCAATGGACTCTCTACTAAACAGTGTACACTGGCCGATTCTGGAACAACCGGATACTTATATATCGATACTATAATAGCGCTAGACTTGGTTAAACGATTAGGCATTCCGATCAAAATATTACTACAAGCGATCTTAACTGTTAGATACAATGATAAGGCAGGCAGGCCATTGTAATATTACATCCAGTTACACCTGTAAATAAATGAATGACGATTCCTGAGTGAGCCGATATTGATCACTCTACACGCGAGAAACGTGTCCTACTTTCTTGCAGTAAAAGTAGCGGCCTTCGTCCGAAAGCTTTTTCTTCTCTGGATTTAGAGCAAGGTAACCCGGGCTAGTCGATTTTGCGGAAAGTTAAGTTAGTGCTGCAGCCGCTAGCGGCGCACCCGTAGTCGTTAGCTTACCGGTCGGTCCACCTGAAGGGGCTGAAACCGTAATACACTAGTTAGTCTTAAGAGAAAAGCGTTAATTCTGGCGATTATCAAGGCGCGTAATAATTAGGCAGAAATTCTTATAATTAACATTAGGATCGCTGTTTGGGTCATCTAACTGAGTCTACAAACGGGATAACAAGCGTTAATAAAGATTCTCTTTCTATTCCTCTTTCGCAAACTCTACCTCAGAAACGATAAAGGTAAAGGTTGAAATGAACTCTATAAATCTGTTACTGACTTTTATAGTTAATTAACGCAGTTTGCTCTGAGCGTTAGTCTTGCGGTATAGATCTTCGTAAATAGAGCGAAAGTAATCTATAATATCTTTAACATTTCTGTAAAGGTTTAACGAGTCCTAACGGGAACGTACAATAATATATTTCGTTGCTTGTCCCTCCAGGCGACTTTTGACGTAGGTCATTTCCGTTTTAATAATTTTGAAGTAATTAGCATTCGCATCTAGTTTATCGTAGATTCGGATCTGTCAATTGTTGAAACGGACCTTTTTACCGTTATTAAAGAGAGGGAAATCGGGTATCTTTGCCGAGCGGTAACCAAAATTGCTAATATTAGAAAGGGAAATCTCGTTACGCTAGTTCTTAGCTCTTACGGTTGGCTGGTTGCGATCTTTAATTTAGGCCCTTTCTATGGCAGCTACTTTCGCGTCAAGTTCAACAATCCGGTTCATATAGCTCTGTTTTTTCTCTACAAGTTGCTCAATTTCGATATCTTTAGCATTGGCCGCCCAAGTTATCTCTGTAGTTACTTTTTCAGCTTGTTCCTTCTCTTACATGATGCCCGCGGCTCGAACTTTAAACGAGACAAGCTCTTGAATAAGTGTCTAGATTTCGTTAATTACTGTTTCCAGATAATTGTGAAACTTGCTGTAAAACATGTTACGATACTGTTCGGTAAATTTGCCTTCGGGTCCAGCCCCGGCTGCAAGCTGTAATATATCTAAGTTATCATTTATATCTATCGAATTAGCTAGGTCGTTGAGCTCGAGATCTTTTTCGGCCTGACGTTACTCTTCGAGACGGCAAGCCTTGCGAGCCTAATAGGTTACTTCATCTCTGGTAGATTTTGCAGATTCTGATGTTATCTTTTTCATTTCCGCTCTCGGAAGGTCAAGATTATCCGATTCGTGTTCAAACTCGCTATCATCAGGGAAACGGCTAGGGGTATTCGGTCTTTCTCTATGATTTCCGTCACTAGGTTCTCTTTTGGCTGTAATGGCTTTGGTTTTCTTCCGGGGTGTGGCTGGTGCCATCATTTGTAATTTGCAATCCGTGATTGTCGTTCTTATTATCGTAATTCAGTAAATGGAACGATTCCGTTAAAAGAATTAAGTGGGTATACACGGTGGCGTGTGCCGGCAATTTCTCAATATAACGTTATCGTTAGGAGTAAAAAGAATGAAGTAAAAGATAAGCTTAATTTGATGTAACGAATGGCTGCACTAACGATAGGGAATCAAGAGAATGTAAGGTATGCATTTGACGAGGAAACTAAGCTAAGCTATAAAGGTATTCAGGAGCTGGTTGCGATATGTGTAACAGCTCTGACGCTAGTCCCTATCGGGGAGTTAGGTTATAGGGTATCGCGAGGAAGGTCCTCGGAGGCAGGTCACAGTCCGTGACATAGAGTTGCGCACCCGACTTTTAGAGAAAATATACAGCCAGCGCTCGACTGCCTATCTGAGACGCATAAAGACCCGCTGCCTTTTTCAGTAACGATTTTACTGGCCGGGATAGGGTCGAGATATAGACTGCTATATCCGAAACTGTCAGTATCAAGTAAATAAGGTCCCTAGGGACAAGATTCCCGGCTTGTTCCAATCGTTACCGGTTTCCGTTCGGCCATGGTAGCACATCTCTATGGATTTCAAAGAGTTCCTGAAGGACAAGAGCGGATTCGACATGGCCTTTGTAATAATATATCGATTAAACAAGCAGCCAGTGTCAGTCCCTTATCATAAAGAGATTGAAATACGGGATATAGTATGCCTCTTTATTGAATATATTTATTGATACTATGGGGTACCGGATTCTGTTGTCTCTGACCGGGGACCGCAGTTTATCTCTAAGTTTTAGCATAAATTCTGCTGAATCCTGAGTATAGAGTTACGGCTCAGCACGACTCGACATCTGCAAACAGATAATCAAACTGAAACAATTAATTAGTATATTAGAATACGTTTATAACCATTTATAAATTACTATTAGAACGATTGAAAAAAACTGCTGTTAATGTTGGATTATACTGCCGTTATCCTGGTCCAGGAGTCAATACAGATGACTCTCTTCGAGGTAATACTGGAGTACCAGTTCTAGACCTCGTTTGATTAGGATTGACCTACTGATAAAGTTCCGGTCCCGGCCCGAATTCGCCTAAAATGAGAGGATACGTTTAAACATATTCGGATACTGCAAAAAGAATAAAACTTTGCCCGCAAGCAGATATTAATATCTCAAAAGAGACAAGCAGTCTAAATCAATAAATACTGTCGGGAACCAGATTTCGGAGTTAATGATAAGGTCTGGTTATCTATAGAAGGATTGAGTACAAGTCGACCAAACAGGAAACTGGATTACCAGAGGCGTAAACCTTATAAGATTACAGTACAGAAAAGACACGTATTTAAGCTGAATCTACCTCCGGAGATAAAGATCTATAATAATTTCGTACCAGATCGTTTCTGATTAGCTACAGATAACTTATTGCCCGGCCAGCGACCCCCAGTGACGGAACCGGTAAAGATACACAGTAAAAATAAATGGGAAGTTAACGAGATCGTGGCAAGCTGACTCTACTACAAAAAGCTGCAGTATTAGGCCAAATGAAGTAACGCAGATGATGACCCGACCTGGTATCCGGCGAGCAACTTTATCGGCTGTCCACATTTGGTACAGGAATATCATCGGCAGTATCCGGACAGGCCGGAACCCCCGAGACGTCTAGGCGCCTGGTTGGAAATATACAAGGGAGAGAAAGAATTCGAGATTACGCGAGAGGATGAATTGCCGGTTTAACAACAGCGATCGAGAACGATCGCGAGCCTAGAGAAAGGGATAATGTTACGGACTGTAACCTGCCTCCGAGGACCTTCCTCGCGATACCCTATAACCTAACTCCCCGATAGGGACTAGCGTCAGAGCTGTCGCACATATCGCAGCCAGCTCCTGAATAGCTTTATAGCTTAGCTTAGTTTCCTCGTCAAATGCATACCCTACATTCTCACGATTCCCTATCGTCAGTGTAGCCGTTCGTTACAATTAGTAACTGCTTGTAGAGTACTTTACATACCTAAAGTTAGGCTAGGATTTCTCATCTGCCTAATAACCTGTTTAATTCCTTTCAATATTAATTCCGGCAGTTTATGTGGAGGAGGAGAAGGATGCTGATAGATCCTATAAGATATAAAAACAATAAAAGGACAGTTTTGAACATCAACTGGTACAAGTGCAGTAAAGGTAACATTGCACTTAGTATGTTCCAGCCTACCCGGGCCCTGGATGTGATCAAAATCTGGATGGTTTTAAGTACTTAGTGATTACTTATTAAGTACTTCTTAAGTACTTACCACAATACTTGCGTCGTGATGTCAGAGGTTCAATCACACCACATTCTTCCTGTAACGGTAGGATTAATTCATTAAATAATTTTTCCAGAAACTCAAGATCCATAGAGGCATGTCCTTTTACTGAAACAAAATAATGCTTTTGTAAAAAACTTGGCAATACATTTGAACATCCAATATATGGATGGTAGTCACCATTCACATCCTTTAAAATAGTTAGTAAGTATCTATCAAGTACTTATCAATCACTTACAGGATATAAATGACGCCTAAACTTCGGCGTGCATGTAGGTAATATTTTCAGACATGCACGTCTTTGCTAAAAAAATATCTTCTTTGATCGGTAAAGACTATAATTTCAAATACTTAATAAATAATTAATAACTGGTTAGGAAGTACTTACCTATATGCATTTCGTTTCTGAATGTCATTTTCAATAAGATCAATATTTTGACGTATATTCTGTATTTTTGCTCACATTGTCTCATCTAAATGGGTATAATGCAATGTCCGAAGACTCAGCTTCAAATATTTACATATTAAAGTCCCAGAGCACTTCCACATCCATTTTTTTACAGAGCAATTAAGAAATGATAATTTAACATTTGACCTTGTACCACGGATACTTGATCGGGAGTATTGTATCTGATAATCAGTTAACAATCAGTTAACAATCAGTTAACAAGTACTTATATCTTGTATTATATGTTCTGCTTCTTGCAATCGGCTACCAAGAGATACAATATAAGTATATCTGTTTGGATCGGTTCTTGAATACTCTAGCAGATTATCTGTATACTCAATAAAAAGAGTTTGAAGAGGATTTAATTTTGCATCCGTCAGTTGAATTAAGGCAGTTAGTTGCTAAGTACATTAGAACTAGTTAGTAAATATTTAACAATTTGGTCAGGTTAATTACCTCAATATTATTAACATGAGAAAACACATCATCAATTTCAAAGTTGAAGGGAAAAGCCTCGGAATCCATTATAATTTGGCTGGTTTGAGTACTTAATAACTGATTAACAAGTAGTTTCGAAATGAATTGGAGTCGAACGCTCGGCAGCAAGAAATTTTTTAGGAGGTAAAAACTGACATTGAATTTCGGGGTATGTAGTACTGTATTTAAATGGTGAGGTGCCGCGCTGCTAGTGCCAAGGCTGTGGGGCCGGCTTGCCACTAATTTGAAGCGGCACCTGACCTGTGTACTCCGTTGCCATTGATTGTTCTTGTGAGAATCGGCTTAGTCACGGATCCCTCGGATCACAAGACAGGGAAAATGGTCCATCAGGCCAGCCGCTTCCATCTCAAAGCAATGCAATCCTCGTCAAGGTCAGCAAAAATCCGATCGCGCGCAGCGGCGTCTTTGACAATTGTGTTGCCAGATGCGAAGGTCCCGTGGTAGATTTCGGGGTCAGAAGTATCTCGAGGATCACGTTGAATCTCATCAGCAGTATCATAGCCTCGACAATCCGGACCCGGGACGTGGTCGCATGAAACTATGAACAGGCGGTCGTTGTCGAAGCCCTGATGAGTATAGGCGGGATTTTGCTTAGTTCCCCTGCCCAACTTCGGGTTCTTCTTCAGCATCTCTTGAATGAAGAAGGAAACCCTGGAGTCTTTCCGCTCGTGATCGGCCTGGATGCTGCCGAGGACATTAAGGAGGACCATCGGAGGCCGTCTGAGGAAGCCTTTGCGCTCACGCTTGTCATCTGACTTTGCTTTGATTAAGCCATACTGGCAGACGCCACCCATATTCCCACAGGGCTGGCTCACGACAACGTCACCTAGCCGGATGTCGTGGCCCTCGTCTGGGCGAGCGATGCCACTGCCTATGCCCACCAAAGACCAACACGGATGGATGGCAGAGATGCAAGCAGGCTCGAGGCCGTAGTCGCGGCCGAGGTAGTTCCGTAGACTCCTGGAGCCAGAGAGGCAATGACGATATTATGCTCTTCTACGCGACCCTACGTATAAACGTTCGCGTCGGTTTAGTGTCGAGGGAAACCGATTGGAGCTGCATGTTCCTCATCTAGCACCGCTTCTGCAGCGGCCCGCTCGATGGGAAGAGCAGCTATCCAGACGATCGCATAGGAGTCGGGGCCGTCGAGGGCGTCATGCGATGCCATAGTGCGGAGGGCAGCGCACGAGGCTATCAGATATGCTTCTAGAATGATAGGGTTGTTTGATTCTCTTCCGTCGATGAAGCTGGAGTTTATTCACATACGGAGAGATGGAGGATGTGACTGTGGTGTGTGTATCACTATCCGTCAAACGGGCAACCTTACCATTTCTCATACAAGGCCGCCTATGTAATATTGGCATTAACTAGATTCATTCTTAGTCCATCCCACTCTAGCAGAGTAGAGGCGAGCCTGAGCTGGATCATTGAGATGCACTTTGGGGGCCGTTGGGTGTTTGCTGTGGGCGCTTGCATGCAACACCCTCCTATGCCGACCAATTATGGGACGCCATTTGCACTAATAACGACCGAGGCTGAGTCTTGCATTGGCTTGCTTGGTACGCTAATGGCCAATCATTTACCGCCCAGAAAATAGTGATGACGTCTGCATGCATTAGCGGAGGCTGGAGTCGCTCGTCTGGTGATCGCGAAGGGAAATAGATTACCCGGGCGCAAGTCCCTAGTTATGGATCTTAGCTCGGGTATTCTTTCGTATACAGATGGTTTTCTCATGGAATCTGATTCAAGTAGAAATTGCTGCCTGGTTTGTAGAAATGGAAAGTTGCTATCAATAGTATGTGAGTGATTTTGTAACTAGCTCCGCCTGATGAGAGCTACTGAAACAGCGAGCCGTTAAAGCTATAGGTACTACTACGTGAACACCATCAAAGTGTTGTATGTATTTTGCAGTTTTATGAATAGTAGGTACATGAATTAGAAACGAACATAGTAGTTGGTATTAAAACTCGCAATGAATCCAAGATACAGAAAAAAAAAACGATGTCACTAGAAGCAATCAAAAAGAAAGGACCGAAAGCTATTCAGTAGCGAGGGCATTGATTTCCAGGGGGTTGCCTAATCTATGACACTGGTAGGTCATATCCCCAATCAATCGGACCAAGGATCGTATTCCTCCGGCCATCCAAATTCTTCCGCAAAATCTGACCATCGGATATCGTCAGAATAGTCGCTATGTTTCGTACTATATTCCCAAGCTCTAGTAGGCTGGGAGGCAGGCACGTTGTTCTTCGATCTACCCTTGCGGTGCCTGTTTAGACCTTTCCTGAGCCTACACTCTTCCTCCCGGCCACGAGCATTTTCTGCCCACAATTTCAGTTCTTCTGGGTTTCTGATACACCAGATAGCGACTTCCCGTGCTGCATATGCGTCTTCTAAAGCGCTATGCCCACAATTGCCGTTCTGTATCTCCAAGCTCAAGAGATCCTTCGCAAGGCTCTTCAAACCCCACATACGAGGTAATGGCTCGGTGGAGATAACAGAAGGGAAGACGGTCTCGGCAGTTAGAATGGCGGTGTCAACAATCTTTGCATGGCATATGCCTAGGACTTCAAGATCATAATTGAGAGACTGGCCAACCAATATAGTCGAGTTGTCCATAAACTCCCATAATTTATCGCGCGCCTCTCGCCAACCACTAAATGCTGCGCCAGAGCAGATGGCACTGTACATGATGCCTTTAGTTATTCCACTGAACTTAGACCTCCAGTCAACCACTTCCTCTGATGGTACAACGTAGCGACTTATAAGCATTTGGCCTGTCAAAAAGTCAACAGCGCTAAGAAAAGCGAGTTCTTGGCGGCCATCTCGCACTCCGACCATCTCACAGTCAATAGCGATAGCCTGACAAGAACCCCCTGCTTGTCGATCCGAATAAGGTGTTTCTCGAAATTGATAGCTTTGAATGGAGCCCTTAGAAGGGCGCTGTTTATTCCTCGTGGAACCAGGTCCTAAGATGTATTTTTCGGTCCAAAGACGGTTCCATGAATGACACCTGGAACGCAGATATCTCAAGATGAGACTCTGCTCTAAGGGATCTAGAACAGTCGGAAAACCTGGGACTTCAATTTTGACTCCTGATAGAACTTCTGTGATATTGAATGTAAGCTTCGGATATGCCAGGGATCAGATTTTAGATTAAGTACCTGGGACAAGGCTCTCTTCGAAAGCAATTGGTGGCACAGAAGCTAGGAAACTGGATGAACCATGGTCATCGGGAATATTCATTCTATATCCAAATGGTTTTACCACTGTGGGAGAATTTGTTTGGAGATCCTTTGAGGGCAGGGTTGGTGGTGATATTTGTTGCGTAATGTTCGAAGTGTTTGTTGAAGCGCACTTGGACTTTTGATAATGTTGTATAACCCCCAGCTCATCTTTGAAGACTCTTTGACATATGGGACAACTCAAGGGGTGGGATTCTTTTATGAAGTGATTTTTGACGCCAGTCAAACTCCTGAAGTTCTTTCTCTCGCATCCAGGACAGGAAAAACGTGCCGAGGTTACCATATTTACAACTGAAGATTGTGTCGAATTCTAAGTTTCACATAATATTCAGACAAAAGAATCAAATTCAAAAGAAAATTTGGGGCTCCTCGCCCTTCTTATTTTTCTGCCCAATACTCTGACTAGTACTCAAGGCATACACGTAGCCCCCCTCGTGCATTACGTCGCAGGATGTTATTGGTAGGTGCAGGGATTTGAAAGCCACACGCGTGCGGCACGCCGCTTCATCAGAAACTTGTAGTCTACTCAGCAGCGAGACGAAAGTGATTTCCGGTAAGGTTACCGTTCGAAAATTAGATAACTGCTCACCCCCTAGGTCGCGTTCTCTAGACAAATCAGAGGATTCATCCAAAGGAGATTAGCGCCTCGAGAAAACCTTTTACTTGCTTCTTTTTATTACATGCAGATTGGTCTCTCCTCGTAAATACTTTTCCCTTCTATCATCATATTTCCTTGATTTCTGTGTGATCCTTGCTCTTGGTCATTGTCATTGTGAGGGTGAGTGTTGATTGTTGGGCCAGCAGAGCGAGGTGGGATGGAAGTCTGAATGGTGAGAGACCGCTGCTTGACGCTCCCAGCGCGTGCTTATAACTCATCCATTGTCGCCCTCCATGTCGGCCGCTCGCGAGATCTTTCCCTGTGCCATAATGTGCAAATGTGACTTTTGACAGCCCGCCCTTCACCCTGGCCGGTTTTCGGGTGAAGAATATTCAGGTGGGTGAACTACCGCCTGAATCCGCCTGAAGGACACCTAGATAAAGCGGCGAGTCGCCCAGCACCGAACGATGGGCGCTAGGTGAGGTCGGCCATACTTTTGGCTGTTGTATGTTTTTGCTTGTTTTTTGTTTTGTACGCAGAATAGATGTTCTTGCGTTTTCTCGTTTTTGTCGTTCTTCGCTGGCCGCCGCAGGGCTGCCGTCTTGACCCCAGGGCCCAGATAGAGACTATTTCGCGCAATGTTCGGTACGTCCGGCGATGCTGACTTTCTTACCTTAGTTTATGAGAGAAGGAGATAGCTTTGCCAATGCCGCAGTCAAGAACGAGGAGAAAGCTGAACGTCGGCTAATAATATCATATCGTTGGTTACATAGTCAGAGCAATGGTAGTCCGAGCGGGAATAAACCTGAGGGAAATAGACGCTCTGCATACTTTTAATAAAGATATAATATTCAGTCTCTTTATTGAATTATTCACTTAACTCATTAATTATAGAAAAGCCGCTAGAACTCAAAATTCTGAATAATATTACTGGTCCGAGAAAATATCCCTAGAAAAAAGAGGGAATATAAACCTAAGCATCTCGTATTTCCAGGATCCACATGTTTGTCCGATATACCACATATCATGGACGTATACTAATTATTTTTGAACATGCTGGCGGAAGTTCCACCTTTAAACTAATCTCGGAAGTTTTCTAATGAGGTAATTCTTGCGAATATCGCCATATTACCAGATATGGGTACTTTATATAGATCACATCTAAACGCGGTGGGTGGTCCGAAAGACTACGGATATTATATGAACTAGGCTCCCCTTAAAATTCATTTAAGCGCTGGGCAGGCTCGTAGCTTTCTTATATATACTGTACTGGTCGATATCCAGTTTGTACCAGGGTACTGATCCCCTCCACTATACAGTAAATCTTTATAAAGACTATGAAGCATATGCGTGTTATATTTCGAGGTAAGTCTATATAGTGAGCCTACTGCAGTCAGGACCGCGTTGCTGAGATACAAGGCTATCTTGAACAACTCTGGCTCTACTAACGGCTCGCCTTGTCGCTAAAGTCTAGGTATTAAGTTAACAGCAGGTACATAGCAAAAATAAGGGCATATACGGAAAAGTTACGAATCAAGTCGGTGTAAATCATGAGTATTAACAACAATGAAGTCTATGAAGAATTGAAGATGTTCAACCGAAAGTAAGAAGGACGACTACGTATACTCGCAAAAAGACACAAAGAACATGATAAGCAGGAAACACATCAAAAGCAAACGCAACTGACCCATTAATACGAGAACTCCAAGACGCACGCCCCCCACCCACCCCAACCATCCTCGGGGAGTGCATCCTCTGACCTACCCGTTGCGCAACAGCTCCAGAATCAACCTCAACTGGAAGTTCTCAGTGCCAAACTTGCGCTCCATTTCACCGATACCCTTCTCCATGTGACCGTACAAGACCTCCAGGGTGTCCTCAGTAAACTGCAGGCTTCCGTTTCGTTTCATCAAGTCCAGAATCGTCTCTTTCTGGGCGTGCGTAGCGGTGCCGCGGACGCGCCGCTGCATCCAGACATTCCGTAAGACATAGTTATCTGGAATGGTTTGAAAGAGATGAATCAGTGGAAGAGAGAACTTTCCCTCTTCAAGGTCTTCGCAAAAGCCCTTTTGTTTCGTGTACTGTTTTTGGTCGGTGTGGTCAGTTCCCAAGCACACCAAACGGAAAGGGGTTTCGGTTGGAAAGGAGACATGGAGAAGGGCCCATACCTCAGCAGAAACCAGATTCTGGTAGTCGTCACGGGTCTGAAAGTAACGTCCGAGGCGATTGGAGAAGTCAATTATATCGACTTTGACGGGATTCGTCGAGTGAAGTGCCATGAGGCGACTGAAGAGCCTGACGAGACCGCCGGTTTCTAAATCATTGCGTTAGCGCCATGCTTTGCTCTCGATTGGGGGATTCAGCACTCACTGTGCTCTACCATCCGAAAGTACTCATTGATAGAAGGACAGATAAGATTACTGGTCCAGTATAGGTCCATGGACTGGCCCACATAGAGGTAGTGCAATTCCTCTTCAAGATAACAAGAGTTAGCTGTGGCTAGGTGCCATGGGGGAATTTGTGACGCATACCGGTAAATACGAGTAAGCTTTTTGGATCTTCTAGTTTCTGGACCTCTTGCAATGCACGGATGAGCTGATAATTCGCCGAATTTACCGTCTGACCGAGTCCGAAGATCATATGGGTTGATGACTTGCCCCGTCGAAGCTCCGATCCATCTTCCAAGTCATCGAGCCTGGAAATGGTCAGACAAGTGGCACTAGAGTTAAGGAGCATGAAGAAAGAACAAACATCAAAGACGCATTGTGGAGAATTGTTATAATGGATTTGATGATGGATAGTTTCTCGGCAGGTACACGAAACCAGACATTCAAGGCATCGATTGCATGCTCACGAATTCCCTTGGATGGAAGAGCCGTGATATATTCGTATGGGGCCTGTAGAACCTGTTTGATTGGATTTTTCCGTTCAGCAAATTGCGGATGCCTGGAGGAAGCAGCAATGTCTCCTACCTTCGCATCAAGATCTTGTCTTTTGGGCGGTGATTCTACCTCGATGTCATGGCCTCCATGTTTGAATGATTCAACTTTGATGTCATGATCCCCAAGCCTGAAGCCATCACGGCCCGACAGGTGCTGAGTGATAACAGCGCTCAGAAGGCTTGTGCCACCATTTGTAAGTCTATTGGTATTTCGTCCCGGGACTGAAGCGTGCCAGCTGTTGTTCTCATTGGCAGTGCCATCTCCATTGAGAGTGTCATGACCTCCGGTACCATTTACTTTGACCGTATGATCTCCATTAACGGTACGATCGGGGACTTTGACCCCACTCTGATCCAAACCGGACGCGCCACCCTCAGGCTTGTGTGCCTTGGGAATGCCGTTATTCATCCACTCGAGCTGGCGCTCGCTGAACGATGCGTCGGTGTAATATCTCGGGCTGTAGAAGCTCCAAACCACGTTTCCGCTCATGCTGTACAGGACTGACTCCAGATAGCGTTTGGTATCAGAAGAGAGGTCGTCGCGAGCTTTGATCTCCTGGAAGACTCGCAGGTAGTTGATGGTCGCCTTTTTAATTTCCTGACGACATCGTTCCTGGGCCTGATCTTCGGAGATCCCATGTTCTTCCATGGCAACGAAGATGAAATTGGTCACATAATCTTTTCCTAAGGCGACGGCGCTCTGGCGTTCCTTGTCCCAGGAGACCAGGTCGTTCACCAACGCCATGTGGAGGTATGCAGTGGTGGCAAGCTGATGACATATCTCCAGTTCATTTTCAGGAATGGTGATCGCTTGTGCGAAAGTGAGCAGGCCATACCAGAAACTAAATCTCACAGATTAGTCTCGGTCTAGTATTGATCCCAAAACTCGGAGTAGGAAAACGGTGGGAAAGGACAGAGAGAGAGAGCGAGATAGAGGAACTGACAGCATCCCGACATCATGAACCCGGTATTTCAGGTACTCGTCTTCAGAGTTGAACCTGTAGTCCTCCTGTCGTCCTGCCTTGTCGAGGAAGGTCGACCAGGCCTTGAGGGATGTAATTGCGCGGTCTTTATCAATGCTCAGCATCCGTTTTGCAACGTACGCCTGCAACGCGCGCTTTCCAGAACCGGCATGGTTTATAGTTCCGGTGCTGATCACTTGATCAAATGCCGCTTTGAGATCGTTGTTATGTTCGTCGCCCTAGTACTTTATCGTTAGTCTACTCTTCTTCCTCGTGTTTACACGGAAGGGAAGATTCATACGTATTTAGCAATATCGGTGACATCTGACCCCGGGAACCGCCCAAATTCGTCAGTCTCCCAGCAGCGAGCAACAGAAAGACATAACATCGACATAAAAACTCACCATCATGTAGAAACGCAAGCTCATTCGCGTACGAGACAATTCCAAGTCTTTCTGGAAGGGCTTCCGGAATAGCAATGCTCATCCCGCTCCATGGGTGTCCCAATCCACCCTTGTAGAGCCCCAGGGGTCCGACCTGTTCGCGCCAGTGCTCTTGACACCTCAGACAATCGATTTCCTCGAGCTCGGTGTTCTTGTGGTATCTCACGGTGAGGCCATCGCACAACCCTTGCGTTTCATAGGTGCTAGGCTCTACCACCGTAGAGAATTTGAACTCCATGCTTCGGAAAAAAACAAAAGAGGTGAAGCAGTAGAAGAAGATGAGGCAGATATGGACAAGAACAATGTATCCAAGGGTTAGGTGAACTGGGTCAGTTTGGTGAAATGGACGAGATGTAGGCTGTGACATCGAGGAGATAGACAGATGACAAGAGGAGAATGCTGTATTTAAATATTCCGTCCTGTGAAGCTGATTCTCCTCTTGGCATGAAAAGTGCGAGGAACTATCCTAGAGTGGCATACTATACCGAGCCGAGGTCAATACCACGGCGTATATGACTGTCGATACGCATTCTTACTCATGCGTTGAAGGAATAGGCTATGCGCTTCGACAGGAATCTCATGAGGGGTCGAATACGGTGAATTCTTGAGCTGATTCGTGGAGTGATGACATCACAGTCTTCTATCATCACGCACTTTTATAGAATTCATATGAAATAATCGGTTGTTTGACAATGTGATGCAAGCGTAATAGCAGTTGTAATCAAAATTAATGGAAATTATTTGTATTGATGGTTCCAGATGGCTAGCTGAACTGGTGGGGATCGGAGCAGTAACTGAGAGATTTGTGAGCAAGAAGGGCTGTCTTTTCTTTTTCATCTTCAGCCTTGAAGATGATGTTTGTTGGCTGGATTCATCCTCGGGTGTACTCAGCTGGGGCTGGCTGAGGTCTACATAATGATAATGCATGATAATGCGTGATGCTGCGGGTAGTTGTCTGTTGTCACACCCTGTACAGCAGGTACCGCTTCTCCATATGGCAACCCTAGTCGTCTGGAACCGTCAACACAAATCATTTTCATTAATTTGGATTGCAACTGCTATCATGGTTGATGCGCATCGCATTGACTCACAATGATTGTAGAACTAGCGGCGAGACCGGTCCTGCTATTTTTCTTGAATTTCTCTTCAGTGATAAAGTTGGTGGCGACCAGATAGATGGCCCCAAATACGAGCATGAAGGCGAGTATGACCGGACAAACTACGTGTTATAGGCAGGGAATCCTGGAGTTTAAAATTCGACTAGAGTGACTCGTATATTCTATGTCCGTGTAGAGAACTGATTACATTACCATAGGTACCCACCAGCTCAGTGGCCATTTGCAGAAGCCGTGCCTGCTGTATAGGCTATGATAATAGAAAACTACTCGCGGCATCACACATTATCATGCATTATCACACAGTACCACAGATATCAAACACATCGGGCTCCGGACATACTACGTGTTATAGGCATGGGAGCCCGGAGTTTACAATTGGACTAGAATCACTCTAATATTCTATGTCCATGTGGAGACACTTAGTGCATTCCCATGACCAAACGCAGGCGGAGTGATGACCAAGGTTGCCATGAAGACATAGTTGTAGTTACCCATTGCCTCTCCGGACCCCACGTCTTTTTTCTTGAAGAATTCCTCCCTTGAAAGTGAATGTTACTACAAGCATAACTTGGATATTGGTTTAAGACTCAGTTCAATTTCCAAATCTCATCTCTAGTCCATCCCTCAGAATCAACCTCAAGATGACAAATTCAGTCGGTTTCCAGGCTGTCCATACGCTCTTCTTCAATTTCTATAGCATGTATGGAATATACGGGATCCTTCTCGCCGTGGTTGCTCTGTATAGCGTGGCCCTTGTTATCTATCGCCTGTACCTGCACCCGTTAGCCCGATTCCCCGGGCCCAAAATTGCTGCTGCCACCGGGTGGTATGAGTTCTACCACGATGTCATCAGAGGTGGAATGTATATTCACGAGATTCAGAAAATGCACAGAGAATATGGTAGGTAACCCAACTCCAGGTCTCAATCTATTCTAATCCTCCTGTTAAAGGCACTATAATCCGCATTAATCCATATGAAATTGTTATCAAGGACCCGGACTACTATAACACCGTCTATGTTGCCTCGAATACACGCCGCTCGGAGAAGTGGTATACCCTACAAGGGACAGGACTTGACGGCAAGACATCTTTCTTCTTCTACTCTAAGCTTGTCGTACGAGAACGGGTATAACTGACCAGATCAAAGGCGCCATGGGTATGACTATGGGACACGAATTGCACCGTCGCCGCCGCAAGTACTTCGATCCATTCTTCTCGCGTCTTGGCGTCACGCAGATTGAGGGGGTGATAGTGGATGAAATCCAGTTACTCACAGATCGACTCGAAGAATACCGTAAATCAGGCCAGACTATCCAGATGGAACATGTTATGGCTGCGTTCACTGGTGACATTGTGACAAAGATTTGCTCGGAGAAGTCCCCTGAAATGATCCGGCACCCGGATTTCGGCAAGCAATGGTAGGCTTCGTCAACCATTTTGGAACTGGTGATAAATTACTCACAGCAGAATTGGCAGGTATGTCACGATTCACACCTACCAACACCAGGTGCACCTTTTCATGCAACTTCCTTATTTGATCTCGTGAGTACTCCTGCCAATTTTGCTTTCTCTTTTTTTTTTTTTTTTTTTTTTTCTTTCTTCATTTACCTAACGCAATAGCCAGCCTCACGCAGCTAATCCCGCGAGGACTCGTGATGCGCTTTTCTCCGGGAGCCGCGGCGTTCAAGAGCTTGCATCAGGTCGGTCGTTCCTCTTTCCCTGCAAGCCCGTCTTCGCTAAAGATAGACTAGTACGCGTTCGACCACATCACTGGGGCGAAAAAGGACATGGTTCGTGCCGAAAAGGTTCAACAAGAGGCCGGTCGAAGCTCCGTATTCCGCCACGTGCTCTCCAGCGATATGCCCGAGTCGGAGCGCGAGACCGAACGGCTTGCCCGCGAGGCCTTGCAGCTGTTCGGCGCTGGCACAGCCACGTTAGTCCGCGCCTTCAGCATGATTTTCTATCACGTCCTGTCCAACCCGCAGATGCGAGAGCGGCTCCGAGAGGAGCTGAAGGAAATCATGGCGGAGTATCCTGCGAAGAGACCCACTTGGCAGGAATTGGAGCGGTTGCCGTACTTGCACGGGACCGTGAAAGAGGGCTTGAGGTACAGTCCCCTGCGAACTCCTCTTTTCAGACCAGAATTAAATAGCTGATACGAGGGGTTTTGCTTCCCCAGACTGAGTTATGGGGTCATGCGTCATCTCGCCCGCGTCTCGCCCGATCAGGCGCTGCAGTATAGGGAGTGGACGATCCCCGCCGGCACCCCAGTGGGAATGTCCTCGCATAGTCTCCACTCCGACCCAGAGACATTCCCTGAGCCGTCCAGGTTCCTCCCCGAGCGTTGGATGAAGGACAAACATCACCCCAACATGAATCGGAACTGGGTTCCCTTCGCTCGGGGTTCGAGGATGTGTATTGGCATGAAGTAAGAGATTTTCCTTTGAACCTCCTTCTCAAGGGCTTCGGACCCCTGGCACATAGTCTTCGTTTAATTTGGCTGACACACAAACACTAGTCTTGCCTTGGCTGAAATGTACTGGGTGTTGGCTGTTTTGTTTCGCCCGGGGGCGCCGGAGCTGGAGCTTTTCGAAACTGTCGAGGCAGATGTGGTTCCGGTGCGAGACTACGTGGGAGGGGTTCCGGAGTTCGGGACTAAGGGGGTGAGGGTGAGAATGGAGTAGATGAGGTTGTGAAGGGGCAGAGGAAGGTGATAGGGAAGGGGTTGTATTACAGAAGTGTTGGGTAGAGGAGCAGGAAGATTGAATCGTGTAGCTGATAGAGTATATGCAGACGGAAATTCAATTTCCTGGCGCGGAGCATCTGACTGCCGAGATTGATTATCGTTTGCTAGCACCCATTTGGCTACATTTCTCATTCACTTACGGCCTATACTGACTGAGCTTTCATCTTTCTTTTTCCGCCACACACATCTCGGATAGGAGAAATAAAGATTTGGGAGAATATCGCCGCGATGAAGTTCCCTTGGCGTTTTCCCGGTGAGCCCGATGAATCCCGCTTGGCTTGTAGAAATGATGGTTATGGAATGCAAAATATTATCGATGGAATGCCCTCAGCTAGCAAATCCCCAATCCTGTCGCTGAGCGTGGTAAGGGGCTCACCAGGATGATCCCGGAATGAAGCTTCACTGCATGGAAACTATAGGACCCGGAACTACGATAACAAGAAAATGACAAGAGCAGAAACGGTAAAGAGCTAAACGGAATTGAATCAGAGTTTCTTGGAAGAAAAAGCGAGGCCCAATTAATGAGTGGCAGAGGGGCATTTATTGATAACTTTGCGAAAACGACGCCTCTTTCAATATATTCAAGTTCTGACTGACACTCAGTTGCACGAAATGGGGAGTGGCGAAAATGAATTATTACTCCTTGCAGGGAGAGGAACAAGAAGGGAGGTTGGATTCTTGAAGAAAGCAAACAACTCTGCATAGCAAACATTGAACGCATGTGAACGAGATGGATTTTGATGGTACCCGTAGTTTTGGCTGACCTTGGCTGACCTTGGCTGACCCTGGCTGATTCTGGCTGATTGTGGCTAATGTTGGCTGACGGGAGCCACACTGGACCGAGACAAAGAATATTGCCGTGGATCACGTTGCCTAATATGACCATCAAACGTAATTGTCCGGCCAAACAGTCAATAAGCACAGAAAGGGGCTCTTTTACAAGAGCAGTGTAGGGCTGGATCTTAGGTCGTCTGCTCTTTTGCCCTTCTACTTAAGACTTTTCTTCAACTATCCTATCACTATAATTTGTTCTGAGTGATCACGTTCAGGTTGGTGCCCTCAGCTCCGAACTCGCAGTCATGACCGACGACTATGAGGTCGAAAGTGACCTCGGTTGTAACGTGGAGAAAAGGGCAGAAGAGGTCCATCAACTGGCCAGGCAGTTCACCGAGCAGAGTACTTTTTCTACTACCGGACAGAACCCCTTTGCTGCCGAGGCAGGATCAGCCCTCGATCCCAACGGTAAAAATTTCAATGCCTTATCATGGTGTAAGGCCATGCTACGTGTTCACACCCAGGATGAACAGGCACATCCACTGCGAACTCTTGGAATCGCCTTTAAAAATCTCAATGTGCACGGGTTTGGTTCCGACACAGATTACCAGAAAAGCGTTGGCAATGTCTGGTTAGAAGCGCTGGGTCTGGCAAAAAAAGCGCTCGGTACTCAGAGACAGCGCAGAATACAGATCTTACAGAGCCTGGAGGGCGCCGTGGAGGCTGGCGAGATGCTGGTGGTTCTTGGTCCTCCTGGCTCGGGATGCTCGACCTTCTTGAAGACCATCGCTGGGGAGACGTATGGATTCCATGTTGATAAAGAATCTAGTATCAATTATCAAGGTATGTCCAATTGACCCACGAAGGAGATGACTCGTTACTGATTGCTGCTAGGTGTGAGCGCAAAGCAGATGGCCCACGAATTCCGAGGGGAAGCCATCTATGCCGCCGAGGTCGATATCCACTTCCCGAAGCTCACCGTCGGAGATACCCTTTATTTTGCGGCGCGCGCCCGGGCACCACGGCACATTCCTGGCGGGGTGGATGTGGCCCAGTATGCCAGCCACAAGCGAGACGTGATAATGGCCATGCTTGGTATTGGCCACACCAAGAACACGATCGTCGGAAACGACTTCATTCGTGGTGTATCGGGTGGTGAGCGCAAGCGAGTCAGTATTGCCGAAGCTTGCCTCAGCAGTGCTCCCCTGCAATGTTGGGATAACTCCACCCGTGGCCTTGACAGCGCAAATGCCATTGAGTTTTGCAAGGCGCTGCGTATGCAGGCAGATATCAACGGCGCCACTGCCTGTGTCTCGCTATATCAAGCCCCTCAAGCTGCCTACAACTATTTCGACAAGGTGCTGGTATTATACGAGGGTCGCCAGATTTACTTCGGTCGGACAGACACCGCGAAGCAGTACTTTATTGATATGGGCTTTACCTGCCCCGAGCGACAAACCGATGCAGACTTCTTAACATCTATGACTAGTCACCTCGAACGTGTCGTGCAGCCAGGTTACGAAGGCCGCGTGCCTCGAACACCTGATGAATTCGCTGCACGATGGCAGGCTTCACCACAGCGAGCACGGCTTCTGAAAGACATCGAAAACTATAATACAAAGTTCATGCTGAATGGAGAGTTCCTGAGCAAATTTAAACATTCTCGCCGAGCTCAACAAGCCCGGGTCCAGCGCGTATCCTCACCCTACACTCTATCCTATGCAGAACAGGTGAACCTGTGCCTATGGCGCGGATACCAACGCTTGAAATCTGATCCCAGTGTTACTATATCGTCGTTGATTGGAAATGTCATTACCGCTCTTGTGATTGCCAGTATCTTCTACAACCTCAAGCCCAACACCAGCACCTTCTTTCAGCGCGGTGCCCTTCTATTCTTTGCTTGTCTCATCAATGCCCTTGGTTGCGGCCTGGAAATGCTGACTTTATATGCGCAACGAGGAATCGTAGAGAAGCACTCGCGATATGCTCTCTACCACCCATCTGCCGAAGCAATTTCATCAATGATTATGGACTTGCCGTACAAAGTCCTCAACGCTATCCTATCGAATACAGTTCTCTACTTCATGACCAACTTGAGGCGAGAACCTGGGGCTTTCTTTTTCTTTATCTTTACTTCGTTCATCCTGACGCTGACGATGTCGATGTTTTTCCGGTCTATGGCATCGTTGACGAGATCTCTTGTTCAAGCTTTGCCCTTTTGCGCGGTTGTTCTTCTCGGTCTCTACTCTTATACTGGGTTTGCGATCCCGACAGGGTATATGCTTGGGTGGGCGCGTTGGATTGCCTATCTCAATCCTATCAACTATGGCTTTGAGTCCCTCCTGATCAATGAGTTCCACAACCGTGACTTTCAGTGCATAGCATATGTCCCATCGGGTCCTAGCTATATGGATCTTCAATCTAGGAACCATGTGTGCTCTACCGTTGGATCGAAACCCGGCCAAGCATTTGTGAATGGCGATGCCTACATCCAATCAGCATTCGACTACAACGTCTCGCACAAATGGAGAAATATTGGGATCATATTCGCCTTCATGCTCGTTCTTGGGGCCATCTATCTGGTCGCCACTGACTTTATCACTGAAAAGAAATCCAAGGGCGAGATACTAGTGTTTCCCCGCGGGCATGTGGCACTCAAGAGCGGCAAGCCTGATGATTTTGAAGGGGGCAGTGACCGCAGTGCTTTTCAAGAGAAGTCTACGTCCGACCCTGATGACCTTATGATGATCGAACGCCAAACTGCAATCTTCCAGTGGAAGGATGTTTGTTTCGACATCAAGATTGGGAAGGAGAATCGCAGGATCCTTGACCACGTTGACGGATGGGTCAAACCAGGAACCTTAACCGCTCTGATGGGGGTCTCTGGTGCTGGAAAGACTACACTCCTGGATGTTCTAGCTACACGTACCACTTTAGGCGTGATCAGTGGTGAAATGCTTGTCGATGGTAAACCGCGGGATGAATCCTTCCAACGCAAGACCGGCTATGCCCAGCAACAAGATCTGCATTTGAGCACTGCCACAGTGCGCGAGGCACTTGAGTTTTCAGCTCTTCTCCGTCAACCTGCTCATGTTCCTAGCCGAGAAAAGATCAATTATGTGACCGATGTCATCAAACTTCTTGATATGGCAGACTATGCTGACGCTGTTATCGGCGTCCCCGGAGAAGGCCTTAATGTTGAACAACGGAAACGTCTCACAATCGGGGTAGAGCTTGCGGCGAGACCGGCCCTGCTTCTTTTCTTGGATGAGCCAACATCGGGGCTCGACTCCCAGACATCCTGGGCTATCCTCGATCTCCTCAATAAACTGAGGAAGAACGGCCAAGCGATTTGTAAGTTTGGATTCATGCATTCATCAATCGTCACTAACATGATCTCAGTGTGTACCATCCATCAACCGTCTGCTATGCTTTTCCAGCGTTTTGACCGTCTCCTCTTTCTTCAAGCCGGCGGCCAAACCGTATACTTTGGAGACATTGGCCAGAACTCGCATATTCTAATTGATTATTTCGTGCGTAACGGTGGCCCTCCCTGTCCCCCAGCAGCGAATCCTGCTGAATGGATGCTTGATGTGATCGGTGCCGCTCCTGGTTCTCACACGGACATCGATTGGTTCGAGACATGGCGGAATTCCCCAGAATACGCACAAGTTCAAGCGCACCTCACCTCCCTCAAGCTCGAACGCTCCCAGCAAAGCCCACTAGCCCGCGTCAGCTCCGGCACAGAGCACGAGGACCGAGCCAGCTATCGCGAATTTGCTGCTCCTTTCTGTGCCCAGCTCCGCGAAGTGCAAACCCGAGTCTTCCAGCAATTCTGGCGCTCCCCCATCTACATCTACTCCAAGGCGATTCTCTGTGTCTTGCCTGCTCTATTCGTTGGCTTCTCTCTCTTCAATACCCCCAACACAATACAGGGCCTGCAGAACCAAATGTTCAGTATCTTCCTGTTACTCATCCAGTTTGGGCAACTCATCCAACAGATCATGCCGCATTTCGTCACCCAGCGGGCATTATACGAAGTCCGCGAGCGGCCGTCGAAGACCTACTCCTGGAAAGTTTTCATGCTCAGCAACATCGGCGTCGAACTTTTCTGGAACTCAGTCATGTCCATCCTCATGTTTCTGTGTTGGTACTACCCCATCGGGATGTATCGCAACGCCGAACCCAACACAGTACACCTGCGAGGCGCACAGATGTGGCTGCTGATCTGGACTTTCCTGCTTTTCTCGTCTACCTTTGCGCATTTCATGATCGCCGCGCTCGACGCCGCGGAAAACGCCGGCAACCTGGGTAGTTTTCTGCTGTTGCTCTGCCTGCTCTTCTGCGGGGTGCTCGCGACCCCAGCCCAGCTGCCCGGGTTTTGGATCTTCATGTACCGCGTCTCCCCATTCACGTATCTGGTTAGCGGGATGCTGTCGGTGGGGATCGCGGACACGACCGTCACCTGCGCCGACAACGAGTATCTGAGTTTCGACCCAGTCAATACGACCTGCGGCCAGTACATGGCGCCGTACATCGCTCAGGTGGGCGGATATTTGCAAGAAGAGACCGCAACGGCGGACTGCCGCTTTTGCCCGGTCGCGGACACGAATACTTATCTGCGCGCGATGGGGGCGAGCTATGCGGATGTCTGGAGGAACTTCGCGCTCATGTGGGTATTCATCTTGACGAATATTTTCGCCGCGTGTCTCTTGTACTGGTGGGCGAGGGTGCCGAGAGTTAAGAAGCCGGTTATGGCTCCTCAGGCCTAGGGTGACCCGTCCCAGGCTTGAGTTTTACGCGTCCCAGTTGTTATGGTTGAGTTGTTATTGTGTCTTTCTCCGGCTTATTACTTGTATTAATATCGTATGAGGGTTGGCAGGGACGGTGCGAGAATACCAAAAAATATGCCGTTATTGAGGGAGAAGTGATTTAGGAAATAGAGCTCAGCGATGTCTCCTTTGAACCAGTCAGACTAGCACCGTGGACTCCACTAATGTATACGAGGTCTAGTTGTGATGATAGCTATACGCGCGAAACACCGCCCATACGAACCCATGTTGCGAGGCGGAAATATGAGATGTGTCAAAGAGATTGTTCGGAAACGAATGTTGTATCAGTTTCCACCTGCGAGAATGATATCCTGGGCATGACTGTTCGAACAGCTCTTTAGCAGTCGACGCCTTCGGGATTCTCCATTCAACGGCTGAAATCGGTTGTGATGAGAGTGACAGGCATGTTTCGGGATACTTACTGTACGGAGAACTTGGAAGGAAGGCAGGAAAACAGAAGGAACTTCCGTATGGTATCGAAAAGGACAAATGCAGCGACGCGTCTACCCCACCAAAACCATCCCGTACTATCTTCGATCAACTCCCACCCCCAATCCCCAGGGCCGAACCTGCTGAGATTGGGCTCAATTTATCGGCGGGTTCCGTTTTCCTAGTAGGCCAACTCTCGGTAACTACTGAGGCCGGCAACCCCGGAAGGACGCATCCACCAGCTGCGGAAGGCCATGTAGGCAAAAGCAACCAAACCTCGGTACCACCTTTCCTCTCTATCCGTGGGGCCGCTCAGCACCCGAGGCAGAACCTCCTCAAGGGAGTAGGCAGGGAACAGCGTTGGGTTCATATTTCATTGCATTCACCTTGTATTAATACATAGCTAGAGCCTTTCTTTTCGCACTGTAGAATTTTACAGGATTCCTTACATAAGAGGGCAGGTCAAAGCTTATGGCGGGACTAGCGATGGGCCCTTCAATAGAGGGGGTTCCCACTTCTGATAAGTTAGTCGAAAAAAGAGCATAATGAAACCAATTCCCTCAACAGAAACAAGCTCGGTTTCATGTGGTGTAAAAAGGTCAATATTTGCTTTTAAAGTGTGCATAGGTGGGAATGGCCCTTTTGAATTTTTTGCACGACGGTTTGTAGGGTTTACGTCCTAGTTGATCCGCTTCGACTTACCAAAGTCAGTATCAAGCTACCACTCAACGAATTCCGCTGTCATTTCTGGTGTGCAGACGATAAATTCGTTAATACGGTCGGGCTTAATTCGCGTAAGGGTACTTAGGGCCTGAGGTACTAGGCGCGATCGATAGTTTGGAAGGTCTAGAAGGTCTGGACGCCAGAGGGCTGAAACATAATAGATTCAGTAAACTAGAAGATAGTATAATAATGAGGGAGATAGTAAGGAACTTACTGATTTATTTATACGAAAAGATGAGTGATATTCTTGGGGTATCCGTTTGACCCTGTTCTATATACTAAAAGGAACAGAGTGTATACAAACGAGGGAATAGCCCTAGGAACTGATAGGGGCCTAAGGCCTAGCCTCAGGCCGACGACACACGGTCTGTCATAGCCCTAGGGGCTCGGTATGGACAATAAACTTGATTAAATAATAATAATAATACTATCGAATATTCCTTATAATTTGTAGGTGACCATGCCTACTGGTTACTTCGACATAGCTATCTCTTCATAATTCATCATGTTGATAAAGTATTTAGTAAAATGTCTACAGGTTTACAGAACAGCTGTAAAAAACAGAGATGAATCATCAATTTTATCCAGCCAAAAGAGGAAAGGCGTCAAGAAATTATGTATATGTAGGTTCATGCGGGTCGATGAGGTTGAACCTCAACGAGCCTCCTTGAGGTTCAGGTTAGGTTCCGGTTCTGGGATTTGGAACCTATGGGCGGTTTAAAGCCAGGTCTAGACGTACTAACTCTAATAGAATAGGATTGACTCGCCACGGCGTCCCAGGTACTTTTTAAGACCTCGTTCTTTGGTTCATCGTTAGCAATCAAGCTCACACTCTTGTTTTTTATCCCTGCAATTAAGCTTCGGGCCGTGCGTGGTGTGCTAAAATACGAAACTAAGTTCGCGGCCCTGGATCGATGCAATTGTTTCGGACTCCGCAGTAGTCCAAGCCCGAGCCTTGGTGCAATACTCATGGGCTACTTTGCCAGTCCCAAGCTGCCACCAGGGAGTCCCAGAACCCCATTCCCAAACGGAAGCATGAAATTATTTCTAAGAGGCTAGGCTGTCTGGGATACCCCTCTTGAGACGATTGTCGTCCCATGACGTTCTCTGACACAAGCAGGTGCTCTTGAAAGATACTGGGGTATGAGAGGGAATTCTCAAGAATGTTTGGTTCTCAAGATGATCTTCTTCCGGTCTTAGAGATTTTAAGAGGTTCCACACGAGAAGTTCCTGTTCACGAGACGGGATTCTTGACCCAAGACGAGTTTTGAGGTTCTCTGCGTCCATTATACGCAACAATGTGGTAAAAGCAGTAATCAGATTGGTGAATAGGATTGCCTGTGCCTAGAGGCGTAGCCATCGTATAGATGTTCATTCTGTTTCTTTTCGATTTTTGATTCATTTTGAATTTTGAGGTCGTTTACATTTCTATGAATTGAGCAGGATGCTTTTCGAAGGCACTGTATTCGCAAAGGAATGATGAGGACCTTGCCCTGCTTTGCCTCTATGCCAGAGCTCCCAATTTTCCTTGATCACGCGGCGTGTGAGGCAAATTCCACGAGCCTGGCTAGTATAGAAGATATATTGGCAAAATAGAATCATTTTCATATCTCACAGCTGTTGGTATCTATTACATATTGGGCTAGTTGTGATTATGTTGTTCGATCTGGGCAAGAGTTCTGGACATTGTGGGCGTTCATCTTTCCCGAGGTCCTCAGTTCTCCAGGCTAACATAGTCCCTCTCAATACGCCCCAGCCACTCCTCAAACGAGATAACCTCCTCTCCACTCGGCACCGTCCCGGGCGTTGTGTATTCAGACGCGTCCATTCGGGGAGCGTGGAGAAATTCATGATCCTTATTACAAACTGCAAATGGGAGCGAGTTCTGCTCAATCTTCTGAGCACACTCTTTCTCATAATTGGACCCGATACAATCTTGACACCACTGCACCTCCTCGGACTTGTCCCAGCTGCGGTTGCAGTCCCCATCGCAAGAGATGACTTCCGCGTTAGGAAAGTTTATTACCATAAGTGCCCGAGTTGCCAACGCGTTCTCCAGGTCCCCAAAGGCGACGAACACTGCCGAGAGCTGATTGAAAGCCGGGAGGTCGTTTCCTTCATCGTCATCAGAGAGGATATCTAAGCACCGTTTTACTATGTCTCGAGCAATCTGCTTCGCCTGGACTTTGTTGCCTTTTCTCCAGTAGTACCGGGCAATGTAGACCGTTGGAGGGATGATAATATCGCTTTCCGGAACGCCCACAGGGAGAAGGGTTTCGATTTTTTTGAGATAATTCGACACGGATTCGGTATCAGATCCAGCCGCGTCGGCCTTTTGCAGGTAATACGGGGCTATCAGGCTGATGAGCAATCCCAAGAAGTAGATATCATGACCGTCGAGGGCCCGTCGCCAAAGTTTAACCGCCTTGGCCGAGCCGTTCTGCATCGCGTGGGTCACTCTTCCGCATTGGTACAAGAGCTGACACGATGTAATGCGGTCCCCACGCTCATCAGAGAGTTCAATTGAGCGCTCGTATGCCGACACGAGGAATTCTAGCTGTTCTGTTTGAAGAGCCGCTTGCAAAGCCGCTGCATGAGGGAACGATTTTCCACCTCTCCAAGACAGAAATTCCGAGAGAACGTGCAGATGCTCTGTAGAGTGCTCGTCGATCTTTCGCAGAATCAGCATGATATCTGACCACATTTCTTTCTTGGCATAGCACTGCAAACACGTAGACAGACGGCTGTAGTCAGCTGTATCGACTTCCACTGCCCTGATCCAGAAGCCCCTGGCAGCATCAATCTGATCTTCGTGCCAGCTGTGCTCCGCAAGAGTAAACAGCATCTTGGTAAATCCCACGCGTTCGAGTGGGGATCGTCTCCATTGGCCGCTAGACTCAAAACTCGTTGCGACAGGCTTCAAAATTGCAAGTCCATCACGCGGTTGGACCCGACTAGCCAATAGGGTAGATGCCATCCAATTCTTTGGATCCAATGCCAAAGCTTGCCGGAATCGGTCCTCCGCCATCTTCATGTGTTTCTTGACCTGAAGAGTGCTACCTATTTGCGTGTGCCACAGCGAATCTTTCTGCGCTTTCAGCACTTCCCCACACCACCGCTCGACCCGTTCAATTCCATTCACAGAGCCAAGGGCGTACTTTTCGTCACTGGGTTCGAACTACAGCCCGTCGTTAGCGATTTCTCAGACAGTCAATATCCCACAGACCAAGAGGTAACTAACCTTGTCTAGGAAGGCCACGATAAAGTTATGAGCACTCCAGTTGAGTGGTACGAAGTGGTATTCTTGCACCAGATGTGTGGCCATCCACTTTGCAGCTGGCAGCAGTAGTTCTCGGTGGTCCTTGCTTTGAAGCAGACTGGTCACCCAATCACGAGCCTCATTGTCAATGTCCAGCGTCACCGCTGTGTCACCCAGCCATCGAAGAATGAGCGTAGTAGTATCATCCTTGAACCACAACTGACGGATAATTTCGCGTTGGGTGAGCGACTCTCCGGGTAACTCGTTAATGTTCAGGGCGATGTCGATAGAGGTATGATTTGTGAACAGTTTGATCAGAAGAGGCCCAAACCGTTTCTTGTATTCAATGTCTAGGAGCGCCAAGTTGACGGCGGAGAGATGTTCCAGGAATTTGGTTTTCGCATACGATAAGAGATCTTCACTTGGTGTCTCTATCTCCCCTGTGATCAACCGCAAGCAAGTGAAGGCTATTCTGGCCTCCTGGATATGCAAGCCATGTTTGTAGATTAGGGGTTTCCGGTCCTGCTTTTTGTCATTGAGGAACCCCTCAAAGTCTAACTTTTCGTATGTTTCCCGGGGACAGACTGTTGAGAGGAAATGTTTGACCATGGCCATCTCACCCGGGGAAACAGCTGTCTCCGGGGTGTCTGGTTCCTGCGTAGAAGATCGCTGCTTGTCGGGGATGGATTCCTCAACTTCGGGAGCCCGAAAAGCCACCTCGCCTTTGTTGGTAATTTTGAACAGAGGGTATTTCTCCTTGATCTTATCCGCCAAAGTCAAAAGGGATGATTCCCCGACCGCGGCTTGCAGAGCGGCGGCCATCAGATTTTGCGATAATGATTCGCGGTAGCATTGAATCCAGACAATGATTTCATTAATCTCGGAGATCTCCGTCTCAGAGCAGTTGTGATTGAGTTCTTGTATTTCCCTATTAATTTGTGTGGTACGTCCATCACCTGCGTTCTTGAGGGCATTCAGGATACCGGAAGGGTATTGCCGCTTGCTGATATCATCGAGAGCCAGATTGATTCGGAAATAGTCACCGTCAGTTGCTTGATATAGCTCTCTGCAAATTCTCGCCCTTAGATCCACAATATCGGGGTGGTTCCTTTTCCTCAATGCAAGCATGGAGTCCATTCTCGACCGGATGACCATTTCCACGTCTGGTCGACTTTTGGAGCTAATCGGGATGGAATTGAGAGTGACATCATCAAAAGACGCCAAGTGTTGGAAGCACTCTGAGTCGACCGTCAAGAGTACTCGGACATGTTGACCCTTTACAGCGGATGCCCGTCTCAGAAAGCGAAGCATGCCTTCTCCCACTCTACCGCTTAGGCCGTCGATGACGATATAGAATGTGACATTCATATCGAGCAGATCGGGATTTTCAAACAGGAGCTCACTGGAAATAGAGGAGGGGTCGATTTCTTGGGACTCCCTACAAATCTTCGCAACCGACTTCTTGTAGTTTCTTTCAGCCTGGGTGAGCTGCCAGACAATAGATTTGGCCGCGGTCTCCAGATTGTTTGCATTCTTCACAGCGTCCCGTGCTTCCCCCTCGAAGAAATAATATGCAGTAGAAAGTCGAGGTCCCGTTTCTGTGGCCGATTTCTTATGCAGGAAATGCTGGATGATGGCCGACGCCAGAAAGCTCTTGCCGGTACCATTGCCTCCCTCGATCGCAAGGATGTTGGCGTCAGATTGGCCTGTCTCCCAGCTGGCAAATGCTGGCTCATTGAAGACCCACTGACCTGTCTTGGGCAGTCTAAGACTCAAATATTCACGGTATCGGAGGCGCCATGGTGTCATTGGCTCTTTCGGAAGCCCTAGGGCCTGCTTGATGGCGTTTTCTCTGTCGACATCCTTGTCTCTTGCGTGCATATCGGTGACAACGTTCTCCACTCGCCTAGACAATTCCAAGTTCTTCTGAGCCGCATCGGCTGCCTCGCGGGAGGATAGAAAGGTCTGGGCTTGGACCAATTTTCGCTCTTTTTCGACGAGGCCGGCCATTTCTCCCAGGAAAGGCTGAATACCGTCGTCTGCCAGAAACATGACCTTAACCGCCATCTTGAATTTTGGGCCGTACGAATAGCGAAGCTCCAGGGCCTTGTCGCAGACCCTAACAAACAAGTCCATTTGCATGGCCGCCAGTTTAGACAATTTTGCATCCATATTTCCCCGGACGTAGTACTCCAGCCGATTGAGATAATCTGTACATTCTTCGAAAAGCTCACTTAACCCCTCGAATGCACCCTGGTAGCCCTTATACGCGTCGATGAGGAAGCTGATGGCATTATAGCATTGTGCTGCGGGCGCAAAGACCTATTCCGAAATTAATCGTATGCAGCGCAACGAGATAAGACTCGAGGAGGTTGCGAGAGGGGATGTTTACCTGCGACGCGGCATCTGCGACGAACCCGCCAACCTTTTGAATGACAGTCAAGGTGTCATCAAAACACTTCTTAACCTTGTCTCTCTTACTTGGCCGCTTTGCTTCGAGATTCGCCTGTACATCGACTAGTTCCATGTTTTCATTGACGGTTTTATTCTCTCGCGCCGCCATTTCGCTCACTTTCGCTTGGATCTTAGCCCAGAGTTCCATCAAGTCTGGGTCCATTTTCGGAACACCTGGAAGACCCGGGTGCACCGCTACATCTTTGCATTTGCTGTCCGAGCTTTCCACGACGTCTGTTGGCGGTCCATTGGGCGGCGCCGACTGGGGCGATGGTGCCGACGATGCCTGTGTTGGCTCTGAGGGTCGTGACGCTGGAGGTGGTAAGGCTGGTTTTTCAACAGGTTCTTGTGGAGAGCTCTCTTGGGGCTGTGGGCCTCCCGCAGCCGGTGGCCCTGCCCGATTTTTTTTCTTCCATTTTAAGCGAGGGAAAGGCATGGGCAGTTGCTGGAGGCAATAATGGCGAGGAGATTTCCGTGACCAGCATCAGCTACCGAAATGATTATCAACCTCTTTTTATCTAGCCAGCTCGGGGCTCAGCTCGTCACGTCATTTTAGATCGATCGACAGCCCCTGATGCAAATGCGCAGAAACGGAACCGATGATGAGCACACCGTTTACTATAATCGGCAGCTCGGCAGGACGATGAAGGGATTCGAACTAAGACTAAATGAACTACGTACAGAACGCGAGCGAACGCACGAACCCATGGATCCACCTGTACCAATGGACATGTTTACTTGTTTATTGATCTCCGGAAGGAGTAATGTGGGGCGCACATTTGGCAATACGTAGATTAAGATCGTCAGACCATATCCGAGCAGATCTCAGTGGGACTATACTATAGGGTAGTAGGGTGACATTTTTTCTTCCAACCAGAGCGCCTGCAAATACGGTCGGAAAGTTGCGAATCGCCTCCATAGCGTGATTCTTTTTGCTCATTGGTGTGTGACTAGGATAAATTACAATGCTACGCTCCTCACACCGCTTTAATACTTCTGCTTTATAACTCTACGTGATAGGTAGGGGATATTGTTTTTAAGTCGCGTACGATTTGATCGTGCTGTCGTAGTGTCCCTTCAACAACTAGTATGTTGTATGTACCCCGGACATGTAAATATACTTCGCATGACAGTACCGCTCGTTTTGCGCCTTTCACATCTGCCGATGCGATTTTCGGCGATTCCGGATCTAAGTCAAATGGCGTCTCGTCTCTTTAGAAGCTGTCCAATACAGATGCTTCTCCCTCATCAGCAGCTTGGGCTGATATGCTCTGAGGTTGGGCGCTCCTAGATTGAATGCTTATAGGCTCAATACGTTCGATCTTGAAAAGCAGGATCCCATCAGTATTTGCCAGTCCATTATATGAAAGAAGTAAAAGAGGTGAAAGGAAAACCTTACCGAGGCCGTCGTCGAGAAGTCTGGCTTCATTGTATACGTATACTGGATCGGCTCGATAGTGACGTGCTCTGTTGTAGTTGTGTCTGGTATGGAGGTTGTTGCAGCATTCTTTGGTGCGGTGGTGGTCTGCTCAGTGGGTTGCTGGGCCTCAGACTTTGGTTGCTCTTGCTTCTGCTCAGAAGACATGATGAAGATAGAAAATGGCGTTACGGCTAGAGAATAAATCAAATTGTGTTGAAATAAAAGTGAAAAAGGAAAGAAAGATATGGAGAATTTGTACATCATAAATAGTATTCCAAAATTGGTGGTTCCTGTGGCTCCAGCTGAAAACCCGAAGTCCTGGAGATCTTCATGGGGACAGATGCACTTGCTCCGCATAGGAAGGCGGGGTAACCTTGATCCCCACCATCTCCCCCAAAACACTCGCCACAAATCGTCGATTGGCTTATCTTGCGGTTCGTGGCGACTCACTGTATAATTTACAGAAATTTACGGAGTACATCTACCGTCCTAGGGAGAGAATGGTCGAGACAGCACGCTCAAGGACGTGGGGGTCAATCTACATAGAAGTGATGGCACCACGTCATAACACACCGCAGAGTGTGCGAAGAGAGAGGAGATCCCACGGGTTCGATGAAAGAGCTTTAGGGTTTCTATTTCGATTGAATTGTCATGGTTCGCCGAAAAATGACTCGTATTGTGTACATGGACAGCCCAGCCAGGGAGCCCGGGAACCCGGGAGGGTAGGGAATCAGCCGCAATAGGGAGCACGGTCCTCGCCATAAGCTCCACTCTCAACGCGTACATTACAAGTTTACAACACACATACTGTTAACACTGTTGTCTCTCTTGCCAGCTGATAATGACGTATGCAGTGGAGTATTATGCACGGCAAAAGACTGCCCTTGATGGACCCCGATCCTCATTGCGGAATAGATCTTAGAGGGGAACGCTCGAAGGCTAGCATGGCCAAGACGTGCGCGTCGAGACAGCAGAACACACCACTCAGGAACCTTGGAACAAATACCACCCCATACTAGTACGTAAAGAGGGGAGGTAGCTCCCAGGTCCATGGCGCCTAGGGATCAGACTTGAGCTTGAGACTAGAGATCTAGAGACCATTGGGATGTATATTTTAAAACTAGTATATCCATGGATGTAACTGTGGGTATAGGTATGTCTTACTAGCCGTCACCTATGCGGGGTACCTTGGGTCTCTTTCCGACCTCAATATATCCATGACAAGTTATTTTCCAAGTCCATGTGGTAATTTTTCTAATTTTACTGTAGCATCTTCAAGTCTGAAATATCCATGGTAGTCGGTCGCTTGCTCCTAACGTTGAGCTACTTGGTTATCGTGGATTGTCGTGCGAAACCTGGGATCTCAGGATGCGGCAGATTGTAGGATTCGGAGAATTGTGGCCTGTCTTGAGATAGGTAGTATCCAGAGACTTCCAAGTTAGTCGGATAAAGGAAAATTTTGTACCAATCAGGGCTCATCTCGTCTTCCCCTGCTCTATATGAAACGCAATAAATTTGCTAGGTTCCTCCTGGCACAACTACACTTTGAATCCTTGGTTGAGAAGACATCACTCAAGGCAGGCTGGGCACCACCTGGCCGGACTCCGCTCCAAATAACATAGTTCCACCGCGATCAGCGATATCAGATACTGCCTGCGTATGCCCAGGATAGGATCGTTCTCTCCTGTGTCTTCCGTGGAGCGACAGATGCTATCGTCTTTGAAAACTTTATAGGTCAACTTCTGCAGCATTGTGGACGGTGGCCAGAACTAATTTCTGATTATGAATTATGTATCGTTCCACTATTCTGGGCGAATTGCAGAGATGTGTGCAGATGTGGGGGTGAAATTGATCTACCTGCCACCCTATGCACCGGATCTGAATCCGATTGAAGAGTTTTTCGCTGAGCTGAAAAGCTTTATTAAGCGTCACTGGAGTTACTACGAAAACGCTCCTGACCAAGGGTTTGATGTCTTCCTGGAATGGTCTATTAATATTGCGACAAGGCAGAACCAAAGTAGATTATTCCACGACATGATTCTGGCTAAGGAGAGAAGAAGAGAAGGAGAAACCAGCTGATTAAATGCAAGGGTTTTCTGACCAGCCAGGCAGGCAATCAAGCAACCAAGTGCTGCCCAGACAACGCGGTGGGCACAGGACTCCCATCTAGCGGATGATCTAGTCTCTCCCCCATGTTGGCAATCTACCAGAGGGACACATTTTCCTCACAGGAGCGACTGGGTTTGTCGGCGCATACTTACTGCATCAACTTCTGTCCATGCCTAGTGTGAAGAAGGTTGCCTGTCTAGCCCGAAGCCGTGGCTATCTCACGGCAAATGATCGCATCCAGAAAGCGTTGGAGAAATATGACCTTTGGGATGGCAGGCTGGAGAGCACCCAAAAGATTATCACTCTTGATGGAGACCTAACAGATGTCACCCTAGGCCTGGGAGAGGATAAGTTCAACTGGCTCAGTAACTGGGCGAGCGTAATCTTCCACATTGGTGTGCGAGTGAACTGGTGTGAACCGTACGATACTCACTAAGTGGTAGGTAGAGCATGCATAGTCTTTGACTGAAAAATGCTCTCTAAAATGGAAGAATAATATAATCTACCAGACGGATATGGCTTCAGCGATTTACATTAAAAAGGGCTTTGCATTAATAGTGGTTAATTCCATAATGTGACAAGACGAGCATATAAGCTATACAAAGGACCGTAAGATCCCAATCTATTCTAAGAAATACCGATAGCAATGCTAAAATGTCTTCTTAAAAGAGTATTTGTTTCATTTGTATTCATAAAGAAATATCTAGGCGTATGTGCCTTCACTGCTCCTAGGAAATCATCACAGGCATATTAGATTGACACCAAGCCTGGTATCCCTATTAGCTGTCATTATCCCAACACATCAAGATCTCTATTGCTCACAATCAATCAGACATGAAGACGAAATGACCATCTTGATTGGTAATTCGCTCCGACAAGTTACAGTGGGCGGTGAACACGCCATTGGAGCGGTGTATGTCAGCACGGAGGACGGGGTCATGTCTACCTCCCTCAATGGCGAAGTGGATATTACTGGCAGAGTGAGAAAAGTTTTGGCAATCCCACTGTAACAAACCTATGAAGTGCTATCATCAGTTCGATAAAGTCATCCTTTGGGTTAGAACACGTTTATAAGTACAGTGCCCTGGGCGGACACCGCTACACTTGGCCGCAATTCATTTGCAAGCCCGTGACAATAATGATGTATGGGTCCCACTATGGGAACTCGGAGGCCCAATGGAAAAGTGCATAAGATCCACAAAAGTACCGATCTTGTTCCCACTATATTGGCGAGCTGCATAGATCTTTCAGCTTGAAGATCTTTCAGCTTGCAAGAACCAGTGGATCCATCATTCGTAGCCATTATAGGGTAGATGGGGCCTCGTTCAGATCGCTTCCTCGGAACACCGTGATTCATCTATGGATCGCTTCGCGTTTGCAGCCCGTCATACTACACGAACTATGGTTGAAATCATACTTCAGCTGGATTAATAGTACGGAATATAGATGGCAAAATGGTCGTTGTATCACCGAAGGGGGAAGCTGTGGATTGTGTGAATTTCTAGCGAGCTAGGAAGCATGAAGGGCGGTGTTCGGGCTCTTCTCAATGGATATCATCAGCCTCTTTTAGGAATTTATGTGCTCACTGACGTCTCTTGCAATACATGTGTATTGAAAAATGTCGATCGGAGAGACTGATATTAACTAGTTACAATCAGGAGTAGGATGATTCAGTAGATGACCAAGCTCCTTCACTGCCAGGTGGGGGGCACTAATTAACACGTATTCCAAGGCACTGCCATCCCACCATCGGCTACTTTCCCTGATAAGGTATAACCCTTTTTTGGCTCAGCTGAAACCTACAAGAGCTGCAGTACAAAGCCCACTCACCAGCTGTGAAAGTAGTGCAGCGCACAAAATACCGAATATAATCAAATCAGAGAAGGTTGCGATCGCTACCGCTGGTGCAAATGGCTAAGGATGATCTCAGCTCCCCATCTACTCCGCCGATCCTGCGCTGTAATCGGGTAAAACAAATTTGATTTACATGAAATGGCTGGCGCAACTGAAACCTCAGCTGAAGTTCCTGAATTTGTCTACAAATAGAGCCTCACGCATTCTCATTTACCCTATTACTTACCATCCTTTTAACGGTCACAAACTAAAATACTCAATTTAAGACCATACCAAGCCTAGTATTCTCAAAATGCCCGTCCAGACCCTCCAAGAGTACGCCCGGAATTCTTACTCTCCGTCTCTATTTCAATGAACTAACTCCCATGTCTTCTAGACCCGGCGATGTTTTCGAGATAATTACGCAGTCCCCGAAATCAGTCGTTGTACATTACTGGGCTCCCTGGATGGGGGCAGAGTCGCCATTTGTTCCCATATTTTGGGAGGCGGATGAAAACCGTGGAGGGGATGTTGACTTTGTCATTGTGGACAGTGGATTTATTCATCCTCAGCATAGCCCAGATGAGATGCCCTTGACGGTTCTCTATAGAGGTGGTGAGGAGGTAGATACTGCTCCGTTTGATCCCAATGAGATTCAAGTGCTTATTGGGAAAGCATGATAAGGGGCTGGTCATTGCAATGATATTGTGCGACGAAATATATCGAGGGAACCAAGCTTATCAATATAGCTAATATTACGCTAAAGTTTCTTCTTAACTATGCCACTATATGTTAGGGAATCATCACGTATAGCGGGACGCGACTTTTCCCATAGACCAAAAAGGTCAATTAGCCGCTATGTCTTGCGTAGGAGAGAGCCATTCGTACGCGCAGGTAACACCAAGCAATGTTGCCCCCAGCAATCTGTCACTTGCACATACATATGATGGAGATGTCGCCATTTCCAGAATTGGCTCTGCCGGCTGCGGATCGACTACGTGGCATGGTTCCGCACGCTTCGCATATGTTATACATGCCGACGCATATTGATGCCGCCGTCGGTGACTATCGCCATGGTATCGACTCCAACCATGAAGCGATACTTGCCGACAACATCTACTTTGCCCGAGAGACGGGTACAACTATGTACGTGGCCTGCCGGGTGCATTACATTTGTGCAAAATTGTATTCTGCTATTATGTCTGGCCGATTCACGGACGCGATGTCCGCTGCAGAAAAGCTCGAACATGTCATTGATCCGAACCTGCTATCCGTCAAAAGTCCCCCAATGGCAGACTTCATCGAGAGCTTCGTGGGAAGTAAGGTGCATGTGCTAGTGCGCGCTTTGGTCGCTGGGAAGAGATTCTTGACCTCAAGCTTCCCGCCGATCGCGATACATATTGCGTAACTACAGCCACCATCCATTATACTCGCGGGCTTGCATTTAGCGCACTTGGACGGGTTCCAGAAGCCGAAGCCGCTCAAAAGGAGTTTGAAACAGCGCGTAGCATATGGCTTCCCCAGCTAGGTCCTCTGGTGAATCCAATATCGTACATTGCGGTGAGACCCCACCCTTATACAGTATTGTCTAGTTCTTGTCTCTTTTCCTCTCATATCTTCTCATGGAAACCTGATAGAGTTCTTTCCCAGATTCTTTGGCCTGTTGTTCTTGTTGAACGTTTCACCTAGTTGTAGGCGGTGGCGGTGGTCCGCCTGGCTTTTTGACTCCAGTGGTGTCATATGCACCCCTTCCAATTTTGAACGTGGATAGAAGATCTATGGGCGTTCTAGGGGGTCAATATTTGGCGGTCAAGTATTCGGTGCTACAAGGAAGCTATACTTACTAGGTGTTCAAGTGGAGAGATATATGAGAGGGCGGGGGAAGGCTTGTAGGTGTAGATGTCTTGTCTTTTGTTTATGTACCTTTGCCCGGCACGTACTAAAGTGTCACATAATTCCATCAGTCATATGTGTGGGCTCTCTCCCTTTCTTACAATTCCCATTCACCAGCTATGCACTGGTTGTGAGCGGACCCCGGAGAGGCTATGCCATATTATATCACAGGAAAAACTATTTGATCAATCAATCAACCTGAAGCAGGAATTCTATTTTTGTAGACTTGGTCTCGTAGACGCCTTACCCTGTTGTTTACGGTTTATAGTGGGCCGTGGACCACCCAACCCGTGCCTTCTGTGATATTGTCGAGGATAAAGAGTGTGGTGTTAAACATATCACTGGTGTCTTTAGGTTTGAGACAGGACTTGTGACCGCTTATGAGATCATACATAAATTGAAAGATAACCTTGACTGTATGTATCCAAAGTATATCTTATGTATTCATATATAATGGACTAAGAAAACAAATCCGTTCAATCTGAACAAAAGTCCAATGACACAATCAATTCTAGACCCTACTAACAAAGAACTCGAATCGAAGTAGTCACATATTCACACTGATATTCCGCTAGATCCCAGATAAAATTGCGAGCGTATGCTGCCCCCCTGTTAATATCCTGTAAGCTTACTTGAATGTAGCTAATCTGGAACATACCGGGTTCTAGATCCCCAGTGCAAAAGGGTTATCTTGCTGGAGGAAAACAGACAGAGCAAAATGATTGCTTGCAAGGAAATTTCACTTTATATGGATCCTTTCGAATCAATACCGCGCAATTTTTAACGGTACATGGAGAAACACGGACTTTGTGCCCCAGGTAGCCGCAACTGAATTGACGACGACCTTCTAAACACATCCTGTAGGGCGGCAATGTGAGCAAAGGTAGCAAGGATTATCTAGTCTATTCACTTTATTCAGTGCCGTAAAGCGAAATCCTCACGCAGCAATTAGGTTGGGCGACAAAGTTGTCTAACAACTTAAAGTTTGGCAAGACGTGCTTGTGAATGGATGATAGCAAGTTGACAGAAGGGGGGGGGGGGAAGGCATCGGACTATATACTGGTTGGCATATCAGAAGTAGAATCTAAACCTATTCAGCTTCGTTTTGCCGCCATCTCGAGTCCCGATTATGTGGCGAAAGGTTCTTATCGTTCACCCTTCACTTTTGGCTCCGAGCCAGGCAGGACTGACCAAAGCAGTGGTAGATCCAACATCAAAAGAGCGCGATCTGACATAGATACCCTGTTTCTACAATTTGAGATGAATTGATAGAACGAGCCTATCCAAAACGAACGAATCTAAATCACACAGCGCAACCTCCTGAGATCCAGTGGTATTGAAAGTTAGCATGAAGTTCTACCGCCTTGCCTGCGCAAAACACGACTTCATCCATATCGCAGTCGCGCACACAGATTCTATATTTTTTACCCGTCGTAGTAGATCTAGATCCATACATATTGATGATTTCATCATCAGTGTATAGCTCCGTGTCCGGATCCGGGGGTGGGATGACTTGATCATTCGAGAAATTTCTTGGAGCAGGATACGGTGAGCCTAAGCGAAGTGTCGAAGAGCTGAGAGAGCTACATTCTTTTGCAGATTCCAATATTTCGAGTCCTCTGGGTCATTTCTTTCGAAAGCTCTTTTTGACTAGACTCTCTGTTTGCAATCGCCTTCGGCGCATCGGAATACTGCCAATCGGGCTGTTGAGAAGCTCGGGGTTGGTTGATTGGACTCGGGGGCTGGGACTCATACGCCGTTGGTTCTGAATGCGTAGGCGTACCTTCTGTAGGTTCTTCGATTTCCTGGCCACATAGGCAAGAGATGGCCACATACAATTGATGTAGCAAGATTTGAAGGATCATAATCAGATGTTATTCAGTGACATGCGGTGAGCACATAGAGCAAGGATCAAGCGCTGCTGTCAGACAAGACTCCGTAGAGCCAAATCCAAACAGGGAAAGAGATCATGCGCACGCTGAAAGGAGCAGCAGAATGAGCAGGAGCGGTCTCGGTCTACGCTCAGGAGCCGAAAGACAAGCAAACAAGAGGCCACCCGCACCCCGATATGCCAAGGACCAGCTAGTATAGCTGTATCTCCGGAACATCACAACTGAACGCCCCAGCAAGAAGCTGAGTTCCTGGTTCACTGACAGTTTCATCAGACGTCCGGATAATGCATCTTGTCAAATCGAGACAGTACTTCAATAGTCAATTGATCACCCATGATTTTGGCCAATTGAGATGCTGTGTAGCCGTCATGGGACTTCTCCTCTAGGGACGCCCCTTGATCTAGGAGCAGTTCCAGCATTGCATGTTGGAGATTTTCAACCGCTAACATCAATGCTGTATATCCACGTTGGTCGATTGCATCCAGATCAGCTCCGTTCTCCAAGAGTAATTTCGCGATATCTTCCCGTCCGTAAAGTGCGGCGAAATGTAGAGCTGTTCGTTCCGAATAGTCCTTGGAGTTTATATCAGCACCGGATGTGATCAAGGACTGCATAATCAAAAGATTTCCTGTCTCTGCAGCCAACATTGACAAGGTCATTCCATATACGCTGGCGTTCACATCTGCACCATGCTCAATGAGCGTAAAGACAACATCCTCATTTTGTTGCTGGATAGCGTAATATAGAGGGGGGCATTCATCGGATCCGCGGAGGTTGACGTCTGCTCCATGTTCTAGGAGTAGCTGCACAGCGTTCTCATGTCCTTGAAACGATGCCAATTCCAGTGCAGTGTAGGCTGCCGCATCCTTCCCGTTAACATCCGCACCCTTCTCAAGAATCATTCGAAGTCTAGCAACTTGGCCCTCTTGAGCAGCAAAGCGGAGGCCAGTCAAAACCGTACTCCCCTTCGCTTTCTCCTCCGCCATTTTGACGAGGCAAGCCTTCCCTTTCTTGCTTTGCTTGTTAATTGACTCCAGTATGGTCGTTCCATTGTCCACTTTGTCCAATAATACTTCTATAGTACCCGTATGGTCTTTCACGCATGCTCCATGCAGAGGTGTCCACCCATCGATGTCGCTCAAATTGGCATCGGCGCTGTTCTGCAGTAATAATTCCACCATGTCCTTGCGCCCTCTGATGGCTGCTTTATGCAGTGCCGTACTGCCCTTCTTGTCTTGCCAATTGACTGGCGCCTTATTCTTGAGCAGGACCCGAGCGACTTCCGTTGTACCACCTTGTGCAGCCCAGCACAGAGCGGTCTGATAACTGTCGTTCTTTGCTTGTACATCAGCTCCATTTTCCAGGAGCAATTGCGTAATTTTCTCACTTGTGACGCCCCAGTGCAAAGCCGTGTTTTCATATGCATCCCGAAGATGAACATTGGCACCGTGGTGTAACAGCATGCGTACAGTCGGTTCATGACCAACCGAGACTGCAAAATCCAAAGCAGTGCTTCCCCATTCATCCTTTATATCAATGCTGACACCACTTTCTATAAGCTTTTGCAAAATGGCTGTTTGGCCTTCTTCAGCAGCCAGGAATAATGCGCCATCTCGGGCACTGTTATCGGCATCGAGGTGCAAATATTTACCAAGAAACTTTGCAACTAGTTCTATATCGCCATTGATGACAAACCAGTTCAATGGGGTCCAGCCTTCGTTATCCACGAGAAGGCGTGCCCCTCCATTGAGGAGCAGCTCTATGACCGCCCTGAAGTTGTTCTTTGATGCGCAGTGTAGAGCTGTCTCGCCAAATTGGTTCTGCGCGTTGATATCTGCACCTCTTTCCAATGCAGTGTGCGCACAGTCATATTTGCCCCGCCCAGCTGCTATGTGCAGTGCTGTATTCCCACAGCTGTCAGGAATATTGATATCCACGCTCGTCTGCAGGACAATGCTGAGGATTTTCTCTAGGCCCCAGTATGCTGCGATGTGTGAAGGCCCAAACCGTTTGGGAAAACGGTTAAACCAATCTTTTGCTCGATGAGTTGTCACATGTAATACTTGAATGGAGGAGGATAGTTTGTGGTCATCCTCTACGTACTGGAGGACCAAACGGACAAGCTCGGGCGTTTCATTTCTCACATGGTAGCCCCAATAGTGTGAAACGTAGTCCAGTAATTGGTACGTTTGCAGCCTTTGCACCAATGCTTCACCGTCACTACTTGGGCCGGTCCCGAACACGTCAAATGATAGATACGTTAGACACACTTTCGCGACATCGGTTTCCGTAACCGGACGCAGAGCAGTTGGGTACTTTTCTAGATATTCCTGTAGAGTATGGTGCGCCAGCCCAATTATCTTGCTTTTTCTGTCAACTCTGATGAGGCCTGCGGAAGCACCTACCAAAATCTCTTGTGCAGGAAGTGCATCGTCATACAACTCGCTATCTCCCTCTTCGACAGCAAGGGCGTGACAAAGTTCATCCACAGTTAGAGGTCGTCTTGCGCAAAAAATAAAAGAAATTGCTCTTTTGACATTGTAAGCATCTGGTTCACCTTGACTTTCGATTCGTTTGATGGCTTCGCCATAGTATCCCGCCAAGTCAGATGGCAAGGTGCTCATGGCTTTTCGTAACTGCCTAACATTGTTGAATTTGGATAGGGCATCTATTTGAAGATACGCAAGCAAAAACCTAGTTCATGGTAAACAACTCCGAGGATGAAAAGTAGGGACGTTAGCTTCAGAGTACTCACATTCCGGCCGCATTCCCAATGAGACATTTGATAATATCTTTTTTCAGATTGGGGTCACTTGCAGTGAATCTAAATAGTCTGGATCTCGATTTTATCTCGGTTTCGAGATATTTTTCGATGTCACTGGTCGAAGCAGTTACCTCGACACGCTGGATTTTGGAAAATTCGACAGGAAAGTCTATGGGTCGTGACGTTAGGAACAAGAGAGCCGACTCTTCCAAGATTTTTAGGACACAGAGGAATTCATCTCTATTTTTTTCAGGGCACTCATCCTATATGAATAATCAGTCGGCGTATACGAATCACGAGCGACAGGACGTGCTTACCAGAGCATCTATAAAGATGTACGTTTTTTGAAACGGACGACTGAGCTCCTCAATCAGAGATATCCATTCCTTCGAAGTTGGATTCCGTTTTTTGTCCGCATTCTTATCCCTGAATTTTATCACGGCTTCTGGAATGCGGACGTAATGATTGGCAAGTTGTCGAGCTATACTGGATAGAAGTTCGAATTCGGAATGTGTCCTTTCGTCTTTATAGTCGCAATATATGTACGCAATGGCGACATTTAGCCCCTCTGTAGCCTCGCTCACATAGTTGACAGTCATTGAACTGTTGTGGCCACAGCGATTAGGCCCTGTACCATAGCAAGTGATGTAGATGATCACTCACGTCAAGACAGTCTTTCCGCCACCCGCTAGATATTGTCAGTTAGGGCGGTTCCTTCCAATCTGACTTCGCCGACAAACCACAATCGGGGTGGGAACTTACGGATTCCATAGCACCAAAGAGTTTGACACGTCACACCCTTGAACCAACAGTCAAATTCCTGGCACTGGAGCAACCACTGACCTGTGCCTTCGCGGCGTTGAGAGAAAACATGTTTTTGCTTCTTATCAAAGTCCAGAGACGAAAGACTAGTCAGAATAGCTTCTCGACTTGTAATGGCTTCACGATCTTGAAGCATTTAGCAATAGACTCAAGACAACGTGGTGAAGACTGACCTTCCAGATGTTCCATTTCTGTTTTATGCTGTTGTCCGAGTTCTTCCTTCAACTGCTGAACGCTCATAAGCGTAACATTGGCTAGCATTCGCCCTTCCTGGTCCACCATCTTGTGGAAGTGAGAATATGCATTGGTAAGTTCATCATCCTCTCCCGAGACAAGATTCCGAAAAGCTTTCACTAAATGTTATCGAATTAGCCAGCATACTTCTGCATTGGGAGGACAGAGCTGCCGATGAGATGTAAGACGGGAAAGTAATTCTTTTTAGCGCAATGTACTCACTGATCCTGTTTTTCCGAATGTATTTCGCAGAAATCCCGCAAAGTACTAGCACAGATGTGAGAATTCCGGCAATGGTATGCCTTAGCTCAGGAATCGGAGGTATATAGGTCTCTAGGATCTTCAAGCGTTTTAGGTATCTATCCAACTCTTCGAAAAATTCCGCAATCTTATCGTAATCTGCCGAGACAGAATTGGCTGTCTTAAGAATTGTAAGCCTCAAGAAGGGACACAGTCATCGAATGAGATATCATACAGCAATCAGGAGTCGTGCTGCTGTGAAGATAGCCATTACAGGGGGGAATGACTGCCTCCCCAAAGGCATATGTCAACTTTGTCTAGTGAGAATGGAGCGCTAAGGCTTACACCTGTACCCGCATGGACAGCTATCTCGCTGAGCTTCTCAATAGGTTGCAGGCTTTTTTTCACCAGCGTCCTAAACTTGTCGATTTTAGAACCGTGATGTCGCTTGAACTCAAATTTGCTTTCCTTGTCTTTTATTTCACGTAGAACGTCTTCTAGAGTTCGAGCTCTCACCAAGGAATCGAGACTCGTCCCTGTGGCCGCCTCATAATCACATATCGCAGTTTGCCAAATCTCCTCGACATCTGTGGTGCGATTTGTATCCGGCTGGGGGCTTGAAGTTGCCGTCATTGTGCCAATAGGCGTATAAAGAAAGCAAATAATATCGATTATGCCACTTCCGTTCAGGCTCGATCAATTTATGACACCAGACCCGCAAAAGCAGAGAGAACCTTGGAACGGGAGATGCAGCCGCGGGGGCGTACGCCTCCAGTCGAGAAGTGGGTACGCCTCTAGTCGAGGAGTGGGTACGCCCCCAGTCGAGGAGTGGGTACGCCTCCAGTCGAGGGAGGTCGAACTTGAAAGGGTAACCTCGATTGCACGCGTACGCTGTCGCTAAAGCGTTCACAACGGCCTATTGATCCGCATTATCGCGTCATGAGCGATATTTTCGTCCCACAGCAACCTGTCATTATCAGCCAGAATACACGAGCCTCTTTTACGCAATACCTTCACGAACATCCAAGCAGTCGTCGTATATCGCCAACAGAGAAAGAAAACCTGATTGAATGGTTAACGAACCCCGAGAAACGCCCGTCATCGCAGCGCGAATTCAGCCGCCGTAACTACGCGAGAAAAACTTTCATTTGGGGCAACGAGACGCAAGATCTGCTAGCGATAAACAAGACCCAAGAAGGTGGAAACCGCATTGTGGTTGCAGAAGACAGGATAGCAGAGACTGTGGAGTTCGTGCATAATCGCAATGGCCATGCGGGATGGGATGCTACTTGGAAAGATGTCAGCACGTCTTACTATGGCATTTTGAGGTCAGATGTTATATTCCTACTTAGGAGATGCCAAGTTTGCCGGCATAATCCTGCAAAACGCCCCAAAAATTCTCATAGGGCCTTCGAAAATATAATCACGGTGGATCCGGATGGTTTTGACCTTCTAAACCCTCAAGAATTGGAGGACGCTACACTGTCACCGCTTAGAACAGACAGTCCAAACCCGCCAAACAGACAGTATTGACTTTGACGGGTTTTTATGCCTCCCAGGCCGTTAGATGACTCCTTATTTGGTTATTTTTTGAAACATAAACTCGAATGGTTGAACGAATTGTAAATTATGCCGAATACCGTATTCCCTATGTCCAGTCAATATGGGTATGACATGTTCATACCCTCCCTTAGCTACAAGACTCGTCCACTGGCCAATTATCCCGTGCTGGCAACCTGGAACGCAATGTTCCTTAGTAGCCTTGAGATATCACCCAATTAATATACCGTCACAGCTCTGTTTATTGCCACATGAATATCGTCAAAACAAGCGTATAAATGGGGCGGCAACTGCATCTTATATCAATCACGAATCGTTCCATCTAATAGGCCTGTAAGTATCATTCAAGATAGTCTCGCAGAGATCTCTCATCTGAATCCATCTCTTCAACAATGTCGAGAGTTTCAGATCGTAATGTCCACTCTGTCCATCTAATTCGGCCAATGGAGAGGCCGCTCTCATACTCTCCAAACTTCGAATCGTTGAGACACATTCTTTGAGGTACGTGCCAACCCAGCCATTAATTGTATTCATCATCAACTCGCGATCAGTAGTATCAATCGAACGGTGAAGGGCGTATTCCTGCCATTTTTTGGGACTCATAAATGTCATACACGCAGCATCTCGAGTCCGTGGGCATGGGCCATTTCGCGTGAATTTATAATCGCTTCGGTCAGAGATCATATTAGCTGCATAGGAAGAGTCTCAAACGGCCTAGGAATGCACACACCCATACAAGTCACGCATTTTCAATTCTTCCATCCCGGATGCTGTAAGGTCCTTGAAAATTAAGTTGTCCAGGAATATGGCGTCATGTGGGTTGCGGTCCGGGATAAAGCCATCTGCTTTGTAGTAAATATGACAAATCGACGACATTCTCTTGCATACTAACACTCAACGAAAAGATAATCATTAGGATGTGGGCCGTAGCTGATGTAAACTTCTTCTCCCTCCTCTGGGGTATTCAGTTAGAATCAGTCCTTTCCTGCGTAAGATTGTTGGCAGCACCACATACCGATACGCCTGGTCGCATTGATAGTATAACCTTTCTTGTCGAACACAGCCATGCACGCCTGTATGTCGCCGATGTCAATAAATTGCGCTGTGATATCCATAAGGCCATCAAATAACCGACCTCATCACTTGCGTGATTGAAGTAATCGGCGATAGGAACTAAGCCAACGGCATCATTCCAATCCTCCGGTTCTTCCCTCCCCGGCGTCACATAGTAGAAGCTCCTCGTGTTGATAATAAACCAATGGTAGCTGAACATGTCCCAGTCTGTGTCCGGGAAAGCCTGTAGAACACATTCCCACGCCGAAAGCATTCGCCTCTTCTGCTTTGGGAGAATATTCTGGTAGGTATCTTCAGAATAAAACCTTATTGAGTCTTCTTTTATGATGTTCCAGGATCCGGAAGCAGCAGGAGGCAGTGGGTAATGGCTTGTTCCCAACTTCCCGTGTTCCACGCGAGTTGATTTAAGCAAGTTTCCCCATGAGATAGGCAAGCAGTTTCTGAAACTTTGAAGATCAGGCCAGGAGTCACGCCACTCTTTCCATTTCGCCAGTAAATTGGTGTCCCCATGTGAAAGAAACGCTGCAAGAATCCCGTGTGTGGATGTCCCCTCGGGGAATAACTCAATGAACGTCTTGGGAATGCAATCAATTGTCAGCATCATCGAAGAAGGAACACTAACGAGTGCTTCATCTTCCTTGCGCTGAAGTCAGTTACTCTCACCAGCATAGAATTGATAAAAGGCTTACTTCAATCACCCTTGTGGCTACCATCCCCAGACCTAGACCAGGAATTTCGGTCGGAGCGACACCGTATACTTCAATACCATGGGCTGCTGCCCACTGCATAGCGTTAGAATACAGGATCTCTGCTGCTTTTGTTGTCATTATGTTCTCTTTTGAGCATAAAAAGATTATCTTGGGGACCTAACCTCCATTTCTGCTTTCGCTCTCAGGTGACGAATGTGGCCGCGGGAGATGACTAAGCCGGCATTTCATCACCTCGCTCAACCGAAGGAATGAGAGATGTTTGAATAATGCTGTATATCTGCATTTCATTGTTCTGATCCGCATTATATTGATCCTTTTGTAGCACAGCAAATTGCATAAATACGAGCTCTTTTTCAAGGTTAGAACAAAAATACCTTCATTCATATGGAATCGATCGAGATCACGTGATTCAACAACTTGTCAACTCCTGCCAAGCCCTCCAAACTGCCACGACTATTGTTGGAACATCGGGACGTACCCTTCCGCCTGCCCTGGGGTTCGACCTCGCTTAGTCATCACTTAGTAAGCTAGTTAGATATCTTAGATAACCACACCGGCCACCCAATTCACACACACACAAGCTAACCATCGCTTCCCTCACGCAGAGCATTCCCACAGGATACCAACTAATGAAATTATGGTTTTCTAGGTCCCCACTGTGTCGTATTATTTGGCGCAGGTGGCGTCTTTAGAACGATAGCAATTCTATCCTAATCCGGGCCACCCTTTGACTATGAACAATCTCCAGTGTGTAATCTGTATTATATTTGATGTGGCGCTGTGCCATAACGTCTCAAATGCCTACCGCAAGTCGATGCTCTCACAGGCGCACTGTGGCGCACTGGCCTCTTGAGCAGGCCTTCTTTCCTTCGTCACACTCTAATTGAATATTCGCTCGTTCCATCATTGTGCTTCGCTGTTTCTATCGCTTCATTGACCCACTTTATTCCTTGATGCTGGTCCGCTGGTTCCGCAAACTGATTCAGAATTTCGATTCTATCAATTTGATCGAGCGAAGAAAGTCCGCAGATGCCTTGGTCGGCCTTGAAGTCCGTAAGGGATAAAGTCGACAGAAGATCATCTTCGAAGTATAAACGAAGCCATTTCAGTCTCGTGAAACACCTGAGAAGCTGCACACATCTCACGCTATGCAGTTTGGGCAATTTAATTTCTCCAAAGCCAGTGGTAAAGTTTCCCTCTTCGTCGGATGCCGTATCACTTGGGCTCTCCCACGTGAAGCTAATTCGTTCAACATTCTCACGGCCAACTTCCCCTATGGCAATAGCAAACCTTATAAAATCATCCATATTATTCAAGTTGATGGATGTCTTCCGATAAATCAAAGGCAGAGTCTCCTCACGCATCTGCCGATCAACCGAAAGAATCCCAAGGACACTCCTAAAAGGGAAATAGAAACCACTTGGATCACCCATCCTTTTTGCAAATTCGACACCGTAAAGATCTCCAGCGCCGAATACTTGCAGATCTTTTGATGGAATTGCTTGAGCATAGATCTCGTCGCGAATTTCCCGAGGAAGATTGTATATACGAGATGAAATGCCGTGTGTATTGCCACGTGGCATCTTTTTGTGTTTTTAAGTATTGGGCTTAAAAGTCAGGATGGAAGAAGCCTTACTTTCGCAATGGATATCGCTCCTAATCCTTCATCTTTAGTCAACTGGAGTGGCAAATGGAAATCGAAATCGCAGTACACGTCTGCAGTGAAACTGTACATCTCTGTGCAATCTATGTGTCCAAGAACTATAGCGCACCGGTCACTGGATGTAGTCTAGAGTTGTGTAAGCCTAAAGAGCGAACATCGAGTTTGACTGGCAAATACACACATATCGTATCTCAGCCGGCGGTGTTTGTCGCTCAAGATTCGTTTGAACGTGGCCACTCTTCTTCGTTCTCAGAAATTCATCGAATTCCCTTTTCGTTCTCTCGTAGACGTCGGAAGGGACAGTGGTAAGATCTGAGTAGAAGCGTTTATATTGAGCACTTTTCGACACGGAAATTTTATATCCTAGAACTTTTTCCATATGCTCTAAAGAAACTGCTGGTCTCCGTTTCGCCATCGCGTTGTAGAAGAAAGCCCGATTTTGTCGTTAAAATGGTTTTCAGCAAGGCTCTCCGCGGTCTGCCTCCAAGGATGGTCGCTTTCGGCCCGGTTTAATATGAAGCCGAGAGGATGATGTCATAATATCAACGAACCGCCCACAACAGCGATGGGCGTGAACCACCTAGTAAATGAGCCGTCTTTTCTCTGGGTAATTAGAAGTCTATACTGGTGTTCATGATTGTATTTTACTTTCTTACGGCATGCGCTAATCAGGGCTGTTCACGGTTTGCCGGTTTGCCGGTTTGCCGATTTTGACGATACTATATATTCTATAATTAAGGTTGACGATACTGTTTGACGATAATTATCGGCAGACCTTGCCTTTGACGATACTATATCGTCAAACCGTCAAAGTTACGTAATAAGTACTAGCTACGATCATTTGCTTCAGCTTGCCATAATATATATTCCTGATTCTTAGCAACTAATATTTAAGCAGAGTAAGCATCATCCATCAACATTAACATTCTCATCGTCTCTGCCTTTATGGAGTGCCGCCGAGTCCCTAGCAAGTCTCAACTGTAACTTCTGAGGCTGGTATTGCAAGGAAGTCCCTTGCAGCTGCAGCCATTTGAGGTAGTTCATCTTTATGTACACGCCACCAATATTCGCGATATTAAAAATAACAGATAAGCTGTTACTATGAAGTTTCAAAGAAGGCTTTGTAAGATTTTTATAAGTAAGTGTTGAATCTATACAGCGTCGATCCAACCGAAGGTTCGTTTCCGTCGGAAGAGAGAAGTGAGGGGAAGCTTACCTCTCCATACTTTTTCGTGGTCGCATCCGACAGTCGTTGCGAAGGGGCTGGAGGAGAGAAGGAATCACTTCGCATGCATAGACAATCCACAACCCTCGTCGGTATTTGATTTATACATAGCGGTGCCCAACATCCAAGAATACATTACGAAAACATATTATACAGGGACGAAAGTGCATTGCACAGGGTCAGCCTCAACACTGACTCGCTGAGGGGAGTTCACGAATTCACCCTTCTTGGCGAGGGAACCTTGGTGAATAATTTGATCGATTGACACAGAATGTTTAAATTGTCAAATAGCTCGAACTTCCTCTCATAGAAGCATAGTAGGTTGGTGAGTCTCATGACCACACCATCCAGATTAAACCTGCTTACCCTCTATATGCAAGGATGTATATACCGACCGACTCCTGCAGCCGACTGGTGTGAACCCCGAAGGCGTTCTTCAGCTGTCTTAGCTTCGGTAAAATATCGGAGTACAGAGCTTGGATGGAGACATGATTGGCTAGAAGGAATTTTACATGACTCCGAGAATGGACTAAACGGCCAAGCTCCGTGTTGAATTGGGATGTGGGTGGTTCTAAGTGAGGACCAGTATAGATATAAAATACCCTCCATCGTCCGGGGTTCTGCCATGCCACCACAGCCAGATCAAGAACAAGAGTCATGAAGAATTCTTCCATCTTCGTTCTCGCCGGTCTGTTGACTTCGGTCGCCGGCCATGGTTACCTTACCATCCCATCGAGCAGAACGAGGCTAGGATTTGAGGTATACATATCGTCTATTTCCTACTGTATCCTGTCCTGACATATCGATATCTAGGCCGGCATCGACACATGTCCCGAATGTTCGATCCTGGAGCCCGTAGCAGCATGGCCAGACCTCGAAGCCGCGCAGGTCGGTCGCTCCGGACCCTGCGGCTACAACGCCAGAGTCAGCGTCGACTACAACCAGCCCAGCAATAACTGGGGCAATTCTGTAGTCGCGACATACACTGCCGGGGACACCATCGACGTCGAATGGTGTGTTGATCACAACGGTGACCACGGTGGCATGTTCACCTACGGAATCTGCACCAACCAAACGCTCGTCGACCTCTTCTTGGATCCGGACTATCTACCTACCAACGATGAGAAGCAAGCCGCCGAGGATTGCTTTCTCGCCGGGGAACTGAAATGCAAAGACGTTGCGGGCCAGAGCTGTGGGTATAACCCTGACTGCTCGTCGGGTCAGAGTTGCTATCAGAATGACTGGTTTACATGCAATGCTTTCAATGCCAATTCGAATCGCGGTTGTCAGGGTGTGGATGGTGCCGCGCTTAATTCGTGCAAGACCACGATTGCGGGTGGATACACTGTGACGAAGAAGATTAAGGTGGGTGAATCGATTGTTTTTTTCGGTATCCGTGCCCTAATGCTATCGATGCTTAGATCCCCAACTACTCGTCAAAGCATACCCTGCTACGCTGGAGATGGAACAGCTATCAAACCGAGCAGGTCTATCTAGGCTGTGCAGACATCGCCATCACAGGCGGCTCAGGGTCCTCGACCACCACTACGGGCAGGACCAGCACCAGTATCAAAACATCGAGCACCATATCCTCCACAACCTCGTCCGCCACCTGCACAGCTGCCACCAGCGTAGCTGTGACCTTCAACCACCTCGTCACGACATCCTACGGACAGAATATCTACCTCACCGGATCGATCAGTCAGCTTAGCTCGTGGTCAACGTCCTCTGCCATCGCTCTCTCGGCCTCTTCGTACACATCTTCCAATCCGTCGTGGAAGACAACGGTGACTCTGCCACCTGGCACGACCTTCGAGTATAAGTTCCTTAAGAAGGGATCTGACGGAACGGTGGTGTGGGAGAGTGATCCGAACCGCTCGTATACTGTTCCGAGTGGGTGTGCAACTGCGGCTACGGTGGCTGCGACTTGGAGATAGAAAGGCCTGTCTGGCCGAGGATACTGATACACTGCATGATGCGTAGTCCTAGACTTGTTAGTCATCATCGTCTATCGAACTCAAGAATTAGGAGTGATTATCAGAGACTCTGATTTTTTTGCAAGGCACGGATAGTTCATCCATGGATAGGCACCTAGGCACTGCTATGTTGTCTCTTGAAGAGATTAAGTGCAGAAAGTCGAGAAAGCCTATGAAAATAGAGCCATCAAGACCGCTAGAATATACAGCGGCGGTACCCCGTTGTAAATATGTTGTGTCAAGCAGGGCTCAGGGTTTGTGTAAATTCTGGTTGTACTGATGCCATATGGAAAAAGTACTGGGGCTCCCTTCCTATCGTAGTCTGAGGGCAATATTGTTATCAATAATAGGTGTAATATGCCAGTCGATTCTTGGCCACATGATCGAGCACAAGGGCGAAGCAACATATCGCAGTTTTGCCGCTGCACTAAAAAGGGTCAACACTTCTTAGCGCAGAGCTAAGAAGGTGCATATTTCCCGCGGCCACACAACACAATAACCACCCCGCGACGCGTAGCGTATTCGAGTGCTCCACCACCCTGAACTTTAGGTCGCGAAATTGTTTATTCTCTTGCTCACATATCTGTTGCTGGAATGACCTTTGCAGTTTCCAGGTTCTTCTTCCGTTATATGAGATCATGGGCGGATTTCACCCACAATCTGCTGGTCGGTCCAAGAACCGGGTTGATCAGCCAACATGGGCCGGTCCGGTTGACACCATCAATGATCCCTGATGCTTCCAATTTTGACGCTAAGGACTCCTCGTTCTTACATCACTGGAGCGAGCTACCTTCCCCAAGCCAAGTTCGGGAAATGGCCAAAGCACAGTGGACTTCAGGCACCAGTCTGGATTCCGGTGATTAAATAAGAGAGTTATGATTTCCAATATTTGCGCTGTCTTTTCTCAAGGGAGAGTACGTGGAATGGCTTAGTACTGCTATCAATTGCTTTCCTAGTGAAACTCGATACTACCGCGAACAATGGGTAATGGCTAGAAAGATTCACCTCAATTCAGTTCTATCCTGAAAAACCCATTTAACACGAGGTGATCTAGAAGATGTTTTACATGACCATATGCTCCCGTGATTCAAGCCAACTATTCACAAAGTCACTTAATACTCTATTATAACGGCCAGCAAAAAAAATAGAAAAGGAAAGTATAACCAAGAAACCGGCCGGCGGGTAAGGAATTGCAATGGATGACTGCAGCCCGTCGTGCTTTCCTTCAATAAGAAACCAAATTGAACTCAGCAGCCATGTCGGTCCGGAAGGCACGATTGTAGGAAGGGTATGGCTGGGATTTACAGGAGATGAGCCCCTCGTTCGTGCTTTTGGTTTGTTTTGGGCGCACGTGTGCAGAAAGACAGAACGATTCCAACAATCTGTAACTCAATTCTACTGTAAGTAGTTTCACACGTGTTTCCATTGAAAGTATTAGCCAGTAATATAATTACGGATGTGTAGAAAAGCATAGCGTTCTGCAAGTAAAAATGGCCGAAGTCCCCGGAAAATATCATTCTAGACTGGCAGCGTGTTGGAATAGCTCTGATTGGCAGAAATACACAGTACACAACTTGATCTCTTTTCAGGGGGAGCACGGGCGAATCAGTCCCCCAGCATTGGAAGACCGTGTTGGCGCAATGTGGAGCGTCATTTTGACTGCAACGTTTCCCGTGGCAAACTACGCAATAGAGCCACAGTCTGCGAACCCCCGGGGGTATACGGATTTTACAGTTTGCGAGTGGAGCGTTGGCCCAGGTGGCCAGCTTGTTCGTTCCCCGTTCTTGGTCGTGGAGACGAAGAGGGCCCCGGTTGGGCGGCCGAAATGGTGCGAGGCAAAAAATCAACTCGCAAAATTCTTAAATGGCCATGCGTAAACAGCTGCCCCAGGGCCGACCGGAGGGGCGACACTTTACGGGGCAATCGCCATCGGCAGTGCGGTGAAATTCTTCACCTATAATAGCAACACCAGGACTATCCACATTATGTATTGTCAACGCAGGGGATACGACGTCAGCACGGATGCAGCGAAAGTGATCCAACGGCTTCAATACATTGAAACCCATCATTAACGCACATAATTAACTATATACTATTAGAACTTTTAGGAATGTAATCCATAAGCTCATCAAGCTGCCTCAGAACAAAACGGCGAACTTCCAAGTCCTCGTCTTCCTGAGACTCCAGTTGCTTCAGCTCAATGCATAGATACTCCCAGTCGAGATCCTCACTAGACACATCTCGAACTTCGTGAAAAAGATCTGGTATCCTCGCGCGCCAATGCGCATTACCCAAGTAGCATCCCATCGCTTTTTGGACTGCTACAGCATCTTTAGGCGAGAGTAAATCTACAACCAGGAGTAGGATTTCTGGTGGGAGACGACCCAAATGAGTCTCCTTATCCCCGTATCGTATAGCCTGAGTCCTTTTACGTGTTCTGCGTCGAGCCTCTTGGATTATAGTGTGTGCACGCCGACAGAAAAATGGATCCAAATACGGTGGGTCTTCAGGATTGAGCATGTAAGATAACACAACCAAAGGAAAAAGGCAATTTTGTGGGTCACGAACCACTGTCGTCAATGGAATCCCAAAGGCAACCTGGAGGGTCATCCTCTTCGGTTGAATATAGTGGCTGTTTCCAATATCTGGTACTCTTGTGGTGTAGCGCTTGCATCAAAATCTTTATGTCGCCTCCGGAGAGGGACCAAACCTTGTGCATACAGAGCAATTGCCAGCAACGAGCATGGACTATAAAACACATGAGCCTGTCCTTGGCAGATAAATGCTGGGCTTGATGCTCGAGTGCTGTTACAAGGTGTTCCCGATACCTGCTTGCCTTGATTGATGATAGAAGGATAGCCGTGTCTTCATCCCAGGGCGCCCGGCGCGTGTGAAATTCAAAGTCGCCCTTGTTAAAGCAGGATACGCCAGAAAGGCGACAGATACGCTTTTTCGAGTGGAACAGGACTAAACATCATTATTCGTTAGTCAATGTTGGCTATTCTTAGACATTCTATTAAGCAGGACAGAGCGAATGGGAGGAAGAGCAGGGGCACATGCTCAGGCGGTAGTAGCGACACCACGTAGAATTGGTCCAGATTTTCTGGTTAGCCATCATGGCCTCCCCGCGATAGAATCCTGAAAAACATTTATCGTAGTGGCCAACCTCGATGAACCAGGAATTGCAGATGTAGCACAGCGGGCTTTCCCCGTACTCGGTGAGGACCCTGACGGGCGTTTGGTCTGTCTCGTCTAAGTCGTCTATGGCTCCTGTGTCCTGTAATTCGTGTATAACATCCATGACTTTACCCATGATTATGCTCATACAACATTGATCTCTCACTCAGTGAATGAATCGACTGGGCTGCGGCAGAAAGAAGTATGCGATATTTATTGACAGGCTGACGAGATTATGAATCATGACGCAGCGGCAAATAATTCCGGCGGGTTTGAGTTATGATGGATAGATTTCATAATTTTCAAAACCCCTCAAGTCTTCTTTCTTTGATATCTTAACATCTTACCAATGTTCAAGAAAGAAAATAAATGACAATAGCTAAATAATTATAAACAGGAAGCCAAGCTGACAGTTCAGCCATTGGAAATACTCAAGTAATAAAAGTACCTCGACGCCAAGAGATCGATAAAACCTCTCCAACCCGGTATAACTCATCTCCTCATGCCGAGGACGCACGAACCAATTGATACTCCCTCTTAGCAGCGAGCTTATAATACGGAATATGAAAGATCGAAAAAGGAAGCACATCCGGCGACTGAACCGGCAGATCAGCCGCCTCCCCATAAATCTCCGCCGAACAAAACATCCCCGGGTCCACTTTGAGAAGGTCCATAACCGCCAGCGCCTGGTCCAATCCCCACGAGTGTCCTATTACATCAAGACACTTTATTACCCACTGACGTTGAGGATGGGTCGGGCCTTCGACCATGCCCGCAATGAACAGCGGCCAGAGCAACATAAGGCCACCGATGTAGCTTTCGGGAGGAAGGATGGGTGTTTCTGGTGCCTCGGAGTTAAAGACCCCGAGGTGAAAAGGGACACTGCGACAGATGTCGACCCCTAGGCGGCGGATGGTTGAGCGAAGAGTCTTGCAGTGCAGGCGAAAGTCTTCGGATAAAAAGGCAGCAGGGTTGTTGGACAGCTGGTGCGTGTGCGACAGTATGATCTCGCTGACCAGGATCCGTGCGCAGCGGTAGTGGTTCCAGCAACTGGGCGCCCAGATGTCAGGGTAGAGGTGATATTCGTTGTTCATGGGCCGGAGTCCGTGACATCGGCGTTCGAACGAGCGGTCCAATGGCATCAATGTATGTGTGCTGTACGTAAAGTCCGGAGGCAAAGCAACCAGCCAGGCGATCAGATCTGCCTCGATGGCACAGGCGGCGGTCAGTATCGCCTGGGGGTCGTCGATCGCTCTTGTGTGGATGTCTGCGCGGAGATTCGACAGTTTTCCGATAATCAGAATTAGTTTATTGCCAAGGATTTCCTTCAGTTGTGGGAAGAGATCGAGCTTGGTGGTTTCTAGTAGTGTGCCGGGTACACGAACGTCACGCTGCAGACAGCTGATGATCTGTCACCAGGTTAGCCGTGCGTCGGTGATACGGGGGGCAGAATGATACGCACGATCTGATATCTCAAATGCAAAAATAGCCGAATGCCCGTTTCGGTACGTAACTGGCCAAAGCCGCGGTATTCTAGCAGAGCTGCAGCACCACTGATGTGGTTGGTCCATCCCTCAATATTCTGCGGGGCTCTTGATACAACAATCTATGATTGTTGGCATTATGGCTATTGAGCATAATTTCGTGGGGAAGCTTACTTCGTATAGCGATAGAAAGACTACTGCGCCAAGAGTCTGGTTCGTCTTGGCCTCGTCAGCATTGGCAAGTGCTTGGTTGACCAGCTTGAGCGCGGATCCATATTCCAGACGCGCCATCTGTCGCAGTGGTTTGACGTTGCGAATGCGTGCAAGCATAGCACTAGCAACTGCCACAATACTGGAGTGTACAGCCTGCTGGCCCAAGGATCCACCAGACTGCATGAGGAAATTGGTCAAAGATTCCGTCATGAGAGAGCTGCCGGGGAGGGCATGCGACTGGAGAAAAAAGCAAATAGCCTCCTGCTTTGACATTCCCGAATCGGGATGAGTTGCGATAGGGCTCTGCCTGAGTTGCCGCGCCAGGAAGTGAGGCTCAGGCTCGGACCCAAAGTCGAGCACTGTTTCACCGAACGAGAAAGATGATTCGCCGGTCGTCGATGACGCAGCATTTTTGTGATAGTAAACAGTACGACCTGGTCGTGGCCGTTCCTGACGTTTTGAAGAGCTCGTTCCAGAGGTGGAAGAAGAAGATTTAGAGGAGCGCGCTTTACGTTTAACCGACTCGTTTTCATCCCGGAACATCAGCGTCAGCTCGTCGCGGTATCCAACGCAGTCTAGGTTGAGTCGAGCGCATTCCCGACAAGTCGGTCGCGTCTGGTCGCATCGGACCTTGCGCGAGCGGCAATTGCCGCAGCCCTTACTCGGTCTGCCATCGTAAACCATCGTTTAACAGTCCCGAAGCACGAAGCTGTGGAGTTGTCGATAAAAGTGTTAAGGAAAGGTCGGTTACTCTGGGTCTGACAGGCGAACTATGGCCCCACGGTCTCGGATTAACTAGAGACCAAGTTTTGGAAGACAAGCAACGCGCCAAGCTCAGATAAGCCTACGGGACACTTATTAGAATTTTTCCAGACTTGGGACCTGGATGCTTGAACATGAATCCTACGGAGTAGTCAGCCTTGTGCTTGTGGTCGGTGGCGGAAACACGTGTATCATCGGAGCTGGGCACAGCGACACAGCAGAGTGGGTAATTTTGGGGGCCATAGTTGAGGGATTGGCCCACCATCGTTCTAGTGACCAGCTCTCTGGGTTCAGCAAGCCCCTTCGGTCATCCAACAAAAAAAGTGCCCCGGAATGGACAGAGCGCCCCAACAAGTGGACGTATCGAATCTCTTGCAACGATCGCAAGGCCCAAAGGGCCCCCAAATGCGAATTTTTCCAAAGCTTGGTGGGTTTGAGGATTTAGCCGCGTGGGGATCATCTGTGACCCGACCGATATCTAGTTAGATCCGTCGGAGTAGGACGTACACCGTACTCCATAGCCAGTAGAGTTAGACGGGCCGTTAGTACTGCGTAGGTGGCGGGCGGCCAGGCGGTGTCACTAGTAGCAGCCAAAATCTCACAGCCTTGTGGCCCGAAAGACCAAAGCGGGCCACTGAGCCTCTGGAACGGGTCGTGAAAAGACGCCCGAGTGGACCCCTAGTTTGAGCCATGTTGCAAAGGCTGCCGATCTGTAGAGACGAGGCTATGTACTCTAGAGTACGGAGAATGGAGGATTCAGATTTCAGTGACAATCGGAATTTCACAAGCTAAACCTAATGCGGTCGAGGATGCGAAGGCCAATCAGAGATTGTCGTTGTCGAAGTATACAAGCATCAACATCGGATTTTTTTGAGGTCCATCGATTGAGATCTCAAGGGTGAGAAAGGTATAAATAACTCTCAAAGAACTACTGCAAAGAATATCATTCCTCAGCACACAACCACCGAAGACATCCTCCATCATGGGTTCTGTTACATACCACGACGGCCTCTCTATCCTGCAATTGATTGCCTACCTACCATCATTCTTTGTGGCAGCTTTTCTTGTGTTCCGCCATGGAATCCGCACCAGCAGTGGTTTTATCTTCCTCGTTATCTTCACCATCGTGCGTGTTGTTGGCGCAGCCTGCGAGCTGGCAACCATCAACAACTCGTCCAGGGGTATCTATACTGCAGCAGCAATCTGCAGCTCTATCGGACTGTCTCCGCTCTTAATGACATGCTCGGGTCTATTATCGAGAGTGTAAGCTTTTTCTCCTTGGGTTCATATAACATCTTTCCTGACAGGAAGCAGAAACCTTTCGATGCCCTCCCCAGTCATTCACCCTCGAGGCTTTGGACTGTACCGGATCGTCACAATTGTCGCCTTGGCTCTAACAATTGCGGGTCTTACGTCGGACATGAGCTTGGAAGGCATGACGCACCCGAACACAAAGGTCAAGGTCGGCATCATATTGTACGTTGTCTGCTGGGTTGGTCTGTGCGCGTTTCTGGCCATTCTGTCCTTGCACCGGTCTTCCATTGGCAAGGGTGAAGAGCGTGCTCTTTTGGCCGTGGCTATATCGGCTCCACTTCTACTTGTGCGCATCATTTACGCCATGCTTATTTTCTTCCTTGCCAACGATACTTTCAATGCTCTCGATGGGAACAATACCGCATCTCTACTCATGTCCGTGCTTGAGGAGATCGCCGTCGTTTTTGTTTGCTTGGCTATCGGGTTTACGTTGAAGGTTCGGAGAAAGGAAAGGGAGGAGGAGTGGAAATCTGTGCCCCCCAATGAGGTTGCATGATTTTCTTGATATTGGTCTTTTTTCTTTTTCTCTCACTTTGTTTTCACTTGTAGTTTTCTTTTTCTGTTCAACTTCTGAGCGATTGATTGATCTGAGTCTTGTTCTAGTATCGTGTGCTATATGATTTCACTCTGTTATGACAGTTAGGATATTGCAATGGATGAACTTTTGCTTTAAGAATATCACATCATGGACTCCGCCCCATGACTAACGAAAGGTCATAAAAATCGAACATGTTCTTCCATTCCATCCCGCGGAAAGGGATATCCGACTCCGCCGAATCGCTACGGCAACTACTAAGGTACCCTCTGGCCACCGATTTCTTAAATGCCCGAAGTGCCAAGGCCGCCACTCAAGCAAGCCACTGCCCGTATAATAACAGATTTTCAATATATTGCAACTATCGCGTGTTTTCGGGAATTTATGAAATCGGTTAATTAAGTTACACTACAGCCCGCCCGTGTGGGTCCAGAACTTAGCCTGTCCACGCTAAACCCAATTCTCGCCAGAGTTGCGATTGGCCCGTCAGGCCAGGTGCTTTCCAGGAGGAGTAACAAGTGTGCCTTGAAAGACTAAAGGAGACCGTTATTCTTAGAACAGATTCCAGTTTATAAGACTTGTCAACACCCCAATCCCTCTCAACAACTCATTCACGCATCAAAAATCAACGTCTAACCAACATGGGAAAACTCGTTATCAAACTCATTCGCGGAGGCGGTCGCCTGGTTTCCGACGCTATCCAAGCCGCCCGGGAGGTACGGGAGCAGCGCGCTCAAGCCAAGAGCTCAACTTATACCTCTCGTTCAAATACCCCCGATATTCCCACCCACCACACCGGTCATTATGTTCTCGCGGACGAGGAAATCGCGAGAGGCCTCATTCAAGAAGGGCGCGCAGAGCTCCCAGCGTCAAATGAACTGTCGAGCCATCAACCATGTGCAGAGCTACCGGCAGCCAACGAAATATCGCTACACCGAGATTATGCCGAGTTACCATCTGTTTCCAACGAATACCACCCGCAGCAAAGCCGGGACCTCGGACCGCCTTACCCAGTCGACGAGAAAGCAAACCATATAGCCATTGAGCCCATTGTGTCGCACGGGTATCCCGACTCAAACGAGATACACCACGAGCGGTTACCGACATACGAAGAGTCAGAATGGGCTCCTGTTGCCTTTTCGAGGACCGAGGGGACCGCAGATTACCAGCGACCGAGCATAGACCGTGTTCCGATTGCTCAAACAGTACATCCTATTAGTGATTTTCGAGGGGTCCAGCGCCCGGTGGTCATTCCACAGTGCGCGTGCAGTCATACCGCACGGGTCTAATGCCACCTGCCACATTTATGGGTTCATGATTTCTGGGTGAAACTTGATGCAGAATACGGAACGGTGAGTAGATTCAAGCCCAGTCATCTTTATCACAACTAACTTAGTGAATAGTTGGTGATTCTTGATTGAACGGTTTGGGATGATTTGGACATGTGGCCTACAGTATATTTAATATCGAGCTGTGGTTGGGCTACGTGGTTGAAACTTTCCAGCGATTTAGCGATTTATTATTGTTGCGGGGAGCTTTTACTCGTAGAATAACATTGGGATAATAAGAATCATCTTTAGTTATTCCAATCTAAAGGAAATCCTTGGCCTGATATATACATCTAAAACTCTTAACGTTTTTGTAAAACAATGAAGGCTCGCTTGATGAACATCCATAAAAGAAAAGGGTTAGGCTTCCAATTTGGGATAAAGAAAACGGGAAATGAAACCACGCCGCAAACCCACCAATTTCAAAAAGCGCAAAGAGAAATCATAGAGAACTTGGTATCAACAACCATGCTTTTCCATGATAGCTCTGGACGAAGGATCTCGCAGAAGCTGGGTTGCGGTCAGCCGCTTCTCCGGGTCGTAAGTAAACATACGGGACATAATGGAAAGCACATGACCTAGCTCAGTAGAATCTACGTCAGGACGATGATATTTAATATGATATTCAAGGGACCGACGTGGATCGGGTGTTTCACCCTGGTCATACCAGGAATGTTGTCAAGCCCTCGCTAAAGGCAAGTGCCGCAAGGAGGAGGATTCCATAGATTAAGCGGAATACTCCATGAAATAGGCCCTTGAGATCACGTGGACTTGAAGATAGAAGAGCCTTCTTCCACTCTAGATAGTTCATCGCCTTGATCACAAATTTAATCATCGATTCAATCAGCTTCTTCATCTAAGAAAAAGGTATTTCCCTGCGACCTGAATTGTCTTCAACATTTGATGACAGAGTGACGTCTTGTCATTGCATTAGAGCCGGCCATAGAGCTTTTGTGAAGTCAATGTCTGGGAGTATCCCTGGTGGGGTAATATGATATATGTATTAACTAGAAACCCAAATAGGTGGTCGATGTTGCCTGGATAAGAGATAGGCAACGAGACAACTCTGTTCTAGCTTTGGCAAATATGATTGGAATAAAGACAAAGAGCCATGGACTCTCATTTGGTGATAGATCCTTGCAAAGATCTTTCTAGAACGTACATTTGTGCTCCGCCTTCGTGCTGAAAGACACTTGTTTAGTGCCTGTCACTTAGTTAGACCTCATACCCTGGATTTATAGTCGGAAGTGGTTTCAAAAACACCACTCTTTCTTCTTTGGATGAATTTACCTATGTACATTAAACACAGTTCATGATAAACAATGATCACGATGTATCAATTACCCACTCTCACTCAATTTCGGTTATCACTCGCCAGGCTTCATTGCTTAGTGATGACGCAGACCGTCTCTTCCTTCATAATTTTTCCGAAGAATTCGGGCGATTGAAAACAGAGAGGATCGTCGTAAAAAGCCTCCCGGAATAACTAGCGTCAATAACAAACACTCCGTAACATTCCTCATTCCGTGGCCCCCATCCCTGCGCCCCAGACACCAAATCTCCACAATCCACGGGAAGCTTCAATTCCATTGGCCCTCGCAATCTACACCTAGAAAAGTTAGTATACGGGGGGGAAAGAAGAAAAAGGGGGATGAAAAGTAGAGCTGTTAACGATACGATATCGGCACTGTTTTCCCATATCGTCAATCGGCATCGTCAACTTCGAAGTCTGCCGATCACCTTCAGGTAAAAGCAATATTTTCTTTATTATGGATATAATACAGGAGTGACCAAGACCGATCGATTGTTCCTTTGCAATGCAATAGAGTTAGTTAGGTGCCATGTACGATGTTCAGGAATTAGAAAAATTAAGACGATGGCCAGATGCCAATAAAACCTACACGCCGTCGGAGATACGCAGTGGTCCAACGGGCCCAATGAGCTGTGGATCATAAGGGTTCTAACTTCTATTCGATGCGGTGTTTCGATCGTTCTCGTCAAGCAGAACCACGTGTGGTGGGGACTTATGTATTCTGCTGCGCCTTCTGCAACCTACGGCCACCAACAACTTGTTATGAAGTCATTAGGTAGGCTGTAATCCTTACAGCTTAAATGTTCACTGCAAAGTCTATGGTATGTGTTTAAAATTTGTTGAATTGTCCCTAGGACATAGCCACGAAGGGTTGAAGAGTCTTGCTCCATCATATTTCGTTTGTTTACACCGACAATTAACCTCAGATGCTACTACAACTTCATCCGACGTCTCCGGCCTCCACACAATGGCTGTCCATTGGTCGTTCAGCATTAGACAGTTTCATAGCGGCTCTTTGCAATATTAAACAACACAGCGTGGCTTGGCTAGAACCATTCAGTCAGTATTAAGTCATTGACCCTTGCGGCCCGAAATGAAAATTTGTTCGACCTCAAACAACGTTGCAAGGGTATAAGTGAAGCGTCTTCTCCTTAAAGTAGCGACGGACCGACCGATGGCATCCCCTGCCTTTTCTTTCCTATATGCTATATGTTAGATCTTCTTGACTTGGTCTTCTGGGAATAATTGATCGTCCATAGGTAACTGTTGGAACCATTATTCAGCTGACATGCCTAAGTCATATGGCTCCTTGGCGTGGGCAGCTATTATATCTTCGACGAAGCTAGTAGTTTAGAATGGCACTTCACTTTTACCCACCGAGCATATACCTACATTCCGTTGAATCGATAGGATATCTGCTTAGGGCAATGACCAAGTCAACCGACAGTAACACATATCGTGTGTTGGTGGTGCAGCGATGATTTCGGCTCGCCTAGCGCGTTTTAACCGACCCAGGGTACCTACGAAGCATGCACTACTCTATACACAGCATCGCCTTGATCGCCCGAGCTCCTTCGTGCGCTGTTCTCCGTGAAATCTAGAAAGTACCAGACTTGGTGGAACAACGACATATAATGTGGGTCTTCACGGCAGGATAGATTAAACAACTTTCGAGTAATCGGCCAAGCGTTGAGGCTGAGCGGACAGACCCAAGCGGCAAGCCTACAAGACGGGGATAATGGCATGCTAAATTGCTAATCCCTTCGACTCCCACCGCAGGATCGTGCAGGGCTCTGCCTCCCGCCAATCATCCACTGTTGGTGGACGATCTTTTGGGGCTGAATTGAGCCTCAGGTAGCCTTAATTGTGACTGCCCCTGATGCAGATGGCATATACTGAGTATGCGAAATAGCTTAAATTTCGAGCAATCCTCGTAGGTTGGTAGGTTATTCTCTATCCTAGCATCATTATCTCCTCACAGTCTCAGAGCTCTCATTCGAAAACCTCCTTCGGCGGATCTAAAATCACCTTAAACTACTCTTGAGCCTCCATCTCTTTTCCACCTGAAAAAGGCTACCTCCATATCTGAACCCTCTCAAAAAATGACTCCTCGACACCACCACACCAGCCACCTAGACAAATGTTCCTCTACAGTTCGCATACCTCCCGTCAACCTATAGACGACGACAGATGCTGTCGCATTCCCCAATAACCAGGAATACCTCGACAACATATCCAAATGCTGCGGTGAAACTACCACAATCACAATCTACAACAAGCGCTGCGGACGATTCTGCAACACCAGCGGAAACACGACTGATGTTCTCGACTGTCTTCACGATGCTGGCCTTGATAAAGCATCTAGCTATCACAACGACGATGGCAGAAAGAGCGCTGCCACTTCCTTGTCGAGACCCGCCATGGGTCTTATCATGATGGTCGTGGGGAGTTTGGTCGCCGGCACGCTATGATGCTGGTTTTTATTCTTTCGTTTGTGATGGGAAATGGGATAACGTCAGTAATTTTGTATCATAGTATTTTTCATCTTCCGATTTCATTTTCGTTGGCTGGCGATGTGATGAATTAGCGAGCTCAATATCAATTTGGAATTTTTTTCATTTCGACTAAGCCGTTCCGACTAGAAACACATACAACGTTATGTTTTTGTAGTCGGTGTAATCTGTCTCAACAATGGAGAAACCCATTACCCTAAATACTCGGATATTGAAAGTGAACCATAACTCACACTGTTCATTACAAGCATAACACTCATAATCAGACCGTAGGTTATGGGCCACAACGAAACAGACCAGACTGTGATCTCTTTATTCCGTTGCTTTGTTGGTTTCTCAGGATCTTTTCGATGATTATCTATTTACTAGGTAGTGTTGATTGTTGTCGTTTGGGTGCCTGAGGCCAGCAGCCGCCAAGCATTTCGCCGTTTCCTTCCCTCTCCTAAGACGCCTTTTAGATTCAACACCGTGGAAGACCTCGATTCTTCGTACAGAAATCAATCAATAAATTCAGGACTGATCCAGGCATCTGTTGATTCTTTGCATTATTTTCACTACTGCAGTGCGTCCGGTCCTTGCAGTACACCTACATTGATAGCTATCTAGCGATTTGCGGGAAATATATAGTTACAACACTACTGTAGAAGCCAAGGCACTCGGGCATCAACAAACTATACACGAACCGATGCAGAGCTTATTGCTTCAACAATACTCTGTTTCCTAGACCAGAAATACCAATAGTAAAACCCATCCTCTTGGCCTGATCTACCTGGGTTAGTTGCTACGTTGGCTACCATCCTTGTCACAAGGATCTCATTCCGAAATCCCCGACCACACACGCAAGCAAGGCTTGTATACGCGTCCGAGCTTAAGTTAAATAATAGCTTATAGTGTTTCCCGCAAAGCCCCAGAATGCCATGCAGCAGGTATGTACGTCAACCACGGCCCAGGGTCCGAGATTTGTCAATGATGGGGCAGCGCACAAGTACGTTGAGGTGTCATATTGCATTCGGGGGTCAGATCCATGATCTGTGGAAAGGATGAAACTCTGCAGTTGGAACTGAGGTCTGTGCTATTTGATGTACAAGAGCTTGTCCAGTTAATTCCAGCGAATAATCAGAGTTGGTTAGTTAGTGGCACTTTCATTTGACGTGTTGATTTGCCTCCTGTCAAAATGGATAGCGTGGAAATTCTTGATCCCTGATCCCGGCCGCCGTTGATTTGTATGGGGTGGGTGCCTGTCTTGGCGGCGGGTGCCTTAGTGCCTGTGGAAACCGTTGGTCCCCTGATCTGGTAATATAGAAATTCCTTCTTTTCAATGAGGACAAACAAAGAGAGATCATGGAAGAGAATCGAATTTTCGCGTACCAGATGATTATATACTATCGCGAAACACTGGAAATAAACGAACTCAAGCCACCTGTCTACCTACTAGTCCTGCCTAAGAGTATTCTCTTAAGATTACTTGATAAATCATAACCGAACCATAAACATCAGTAAACAAGGGACGGACTGTTGTCTAATTCAATTAACATTCGATTTGCTCAATCTCCCACGCATCACTTTTCTCCCACGGACACTCAACCTCCACCCGTCGAATCAGCTTCTCGTGCGCTTCACTGCGCGCTTCAACCTGCAATCGATACGGCACGGGATGACTGACGACGCCAGGCAAGAACTCGGCCTTCGTTTCATGGGTGTCTCCCTTCGAGAATTCGAACACAGCAAGGGACTGCGCAATGGTTCCGAAGATCGTCGAGTCGGCGAGGAAGCGACCGGGGCAGATGCGCCGACCGAAGCCGAAGGATAGTGTATGCGGGTCGAGTTCGGGGTCAGGGCCGAGGAATCGTTCGGGTTTGAAGGATGCGGGATCGTGGTAGGTGTTTTCGTCGTGCGTGAAGCCCCTGTGTGTGTCGCTGTTAGCATTGGGTTGGCTCTGGGTAAGGTAATTGGGGGAAGGGCAAAGTGCGGGAGAGGAGCATGACGAACCAGATGTTAGGCATGATGATTGCACCCTTCGGGATTAGGTATCCCTCATAGATGTCGTCTTGGGTGCACAGATGCGGGATACCCATCGGTGCGACCGGATGCCATCGGAGGGTCTCCTTGACCACGGCCTCGATATAGGGTAGTTTGTCGCGATCGTCAAAGGTAGGCAGTTGATTCGGGCCGAGGACGCGGTCGATTTCTTCTTGGGCTTGGGTCTGGACTTCGGGGTGTAGGGCCATGGCTAGAAAGAAGCAGGAAAGGGCAGATACGGTCTGTTCATTGCGGTGTCAGCCTTCGCGTCACAGGACAGGGACAGGTATAGGTAAAAGGTTGAGGGAGACGAAGCATACAGTATCCGCGCCACCGGTGTACAGCGACCCCGCGGTCCATTTATTCACAAGTTCTTCTTCCGGCGTGAACTTGCCATTTTCTTCTTCGAGTAGGCTGGCTAGATAAGATGGTGGATAGGAGCCCTGGCTCATCTGCTTCTGAACCAGTCGGTAGGGTTTCTCAATGGTGGTAAGGAGGTTCTTGCGCCAGCTGCTGCCGGTACGTTTGAATCTGGCACCGGGGAACCATGATGGAATGTATTTCACTAGGTCTGAATGTTAGCCAGAGCAGGAAGAAATTCAGTCAAAAAAAAGTAAAAACTGACAGAAAGGAATAGCGTCAACCAGCCACGCCCCCGGAGTTCCGGCAACGGAGAAATTATCCATCGCCTGGTTTGCCAAGTCGACAAGGGGGTCTCGACCATGGGGCTCGATCGTGTACCCATAGGCAATTTTGAGAATCACAGCGCCGGCCTCCCTACAAAAATTAGGTACTTTGCAAAAAACAAGGAAAAGCCAAGATCGCTTACGTCCGGATATGTTGAACCAGATCATTCGGTTTCTGTAGCACTCGCAGCAAAAACCGACGGATTTCAATATCCTGCAGGGCATTAAAGCGCGATGTAACGGCCTTTGAGCCTAGAACGCGATGCATCACTTTCCGATACGCGCGAAACCGATCGGAGTAGGTCTGCATGGCTAGGATATCCTCCCATCCCACCCTGACATTGTCAATGACACTGATCCGTCGCTATTGAACACAAACATGAAAGAGGATGCTCGGGACTTACATTTCTCCCGCAAAGACCATCCGCGGTCGAGAGGAGTAAATGGCCGAGCGTTTCTCGAGAAGATCGAACGCGATGCGGGGTTCATTGATGATGACAATGGTCTGGCCGAAGATAGTGATCGAGCTGATGGGGCCTGTTGTTGATTGATTAGGACGATAAGGTCTGATATCGAATCAAATACCAAGGCACAGGATCCGTAAACATAACGAAGGGATAAAAAGGGGTGTTCAATGTAGGAGTGTGAAACGCACCATAGAGCTTCTTGAACTGCATCCAATACTTCCAATCTTGCTGTCCCGGTGGCGGCAGATCCCCCAGATTGCCAATGATTGGTTTCGGCTTGGGGCCCGGAGGAAGAGGCGTCGCTGTTTGCTTGGGAAACGCGACCAGCTTGACCAGATACCATAGCACCAGGCCCAAAAGGGCGCCGTACAGTGAGGACAAGGCCATGGTGGCAGGGACAGGGACAGAATGAGATCGGGTCTGCAGCACCCAAAGTACCGGGAGAGAGGACAAATTACAATTGTACGATTGATTACCTGGGTCAGGGTTGCCTCTTAAGCACGAATTTGTGACTGATCAAGTTCAGGAGAAAATGAAAGCTGTCAGAATTAAATTTAAGGATGTGCGAGTGCCGGCACCGACAATAATAATTTTGCTCGTCAGCAGCGCACAGTCGCACACACACATCAGTCCGAGCACCGGCATCATGACTTCCCCGCTTGGACTGGTGGAGGCAGCGGAGGTGAAACGCAGAGCTAACGTCGTTAGTGGAAGTCTGACAGGTAATCGTTTGAGGCCTATTGGTCGGTAGACCTGGTCCGTGATGAAATAATTGGATCGCTAGGATTATTAAGAGCTGCTCTTCAGTTGCACTGCAGAACAAAAGTACTGCCGACGGAGATATCACCCACGCCAGGACAGGGCCAGCCTAGGCATGGCCTACATGTGGTTAACTTCTTCTCCTTCCTGGTACATATGCCAGAATTTCTGGTAATACTCTCTTTGAAAGCTGTGACCATAGTCAATAGACACGTAACTCGGCCGGCAGCCCCGATCACCGCCAATATATGCAGCGTGAGAAAAAGCAAAATGGCGAGCGACCCACCACCCGCTGTCAATTATCGGCCTTGCATGTGAGATAAAATGCGAAACTCATAATGTATGATCTGTCACTTCTGGCTAGCTGTCTCTCCCTTGCAGCACCAAGCTAATTTCCAGGAAAGGTTGCGACCGATCAGAGGCATCTAATCCTGTGCGCTCTGGATAGATCATCTGGTTACAACACTAAGAGACCAAAGACAAAAATAATAATAGTAAGATCCTAGTCGCGGGCGGTCCTAAATCCATCGTTGCAGATCATCATCTGAGCTAATGGATAGCTATTCCCTCTACTGTTGCGCTGGTTTGGTCCCTGCGGCACGGTACTTTCTTCCGAGTTGATAGGGAAATTCAAATAGGGCTGCCAGAAACATTATTATTGGGCCCAAAGATGCATATCCCGCAGGCGCACAGTCCATTTCCAATTCCCCGAGCGTGAATTGTCTACTTGACAAATGAACCTGTCCGTGCAGAGTAGGGGGGTAAACATGACCAGTAAATTATCTTAGCGGAGGGCTCGATCTGGAGGTCTTTACTTAAACTGTCCAAAGAACAAACAATCGGAGTTTTGAATTCATGATTTCTCTTCACCTTTTCAACCCAAGTCGTGTAACTGTCATTGCATGATGAATTCGACTATCTCGGACGGCTTTCTCGGGGGTCTGGCAACTTGTGCGGTAGGATATCTGTCGGTCCACTTCTGTACCGCTGTTTCTCATTGACATTGTCACCCAGGCCGGCTGCTTCACCGCTGTTCTTAAAGCATCATCGTGCTCTGCAACAGATCAGTCTTGCATATGCACGAATGAAACCATTCTAACAAATGCGATCGGTTGTTATGCTCTGCAGTGCACGCCGAAAGATAATCTTGGTATGGGACCTTGGCAGTTGTGACGATTCTGCGAATATTAACCATTCTCTAGCCTCGACAAACGCAACAAGAGCAGCATGTGGGGTTCCGGAAGAAAACCAGTCGGCCTTGACTCCCGGGCTAGCGGGTGGTTTGGGGATGATGGCTTTGATAATGGTGGTCCTGCGGTTGGTACAGAGGCTTTGCATCAAAAAGTCCTTCGGATGGGATGATGGGTTAATCCTGATGGCACTGGTGAGTATCATTTGCTTCCGAGCTTATCCAATGGCTAATATATGTTAGGCTTGCGCTGCTCCATTGAACTGCCTACCCTTTGCTAGTGAGTTAACTTATAATCCTGCAATAACAAGGGTTGCTAATTTTCGATCAGTGCAAAAATACGGACTTGGTACGAATATTTGGACCATCCACTTTGACGACATCACCAAACAGCTCAAGGTATTTCCCGTAAACAAATTTAATTCTAACCTTACTTGAGGTACTAATATGTTACACAGTTACTCCTCCTCGCCGAGGTCTTCTATATGCCTTCCGAAGCCTTCACCCAGCTTTCCTTCCTCACCTTCTATCTTCGGATCTTTCCACCTTCAAAATACCAATATCTTGCTTATGCACTGGGAGCGCTGTCAATTTGTTTCGGAACATCTAACACCCTCATCATGATCTTCCAGTGCACACCGGTTTCATTCTTCTGGACAAATTGGACCGGCGAGACAACGGGTTCTTGTATCGATATCAGCGCATACTCGTGGTATCGTGCGGCCATGCAAATTGCAATGGATATATCCATTATTGCGCTTCCTCTCTGGCCACTGTCGATGCTGCAGATTACCATGAGCAAGAGGAAGAAGACTATGATCATGCTGATGTTCTGCACGGGTTTCCTGTACATCCCCCTACCGTCATTCCGATAAATCTATAAACGCTAACACCAATTAGGATTACCGTGGTGAGTTGTCTACGACTTCAATCTCTTATCAAATTCTCCAAGTCCGCCAATATCAGCAGTAAGTCACCATCATCCACCCTCTCCATATCACATGCTGACCCTGTTCTAGTGGACAACAACCCGGCTATCTACTGGAGTGTCGTTGAATGCGACGTCGCCATCATCTGCGCCTGCATGCCATGCATCCCATCGCTTTTCAAACCGTTATTCCCATCCTGCTTCGGAAACACAAGAAAATATACTAGTGCGGACGAAGGCGACGCGACACCACCGCCGGTGCGTATGGAGCGCGTCAAGCGAAAGGAGGAATTCAGTATCCTCCAGACAACTGCGTCGGAGGATGCGTTGGTAAATGGTCGATAAAAGGATAGGTTTGGGAGCTCGGTGATTATGTACATTCATGATATCTCTCCTTGTTGTTCTTTTTCCTTTTGCTTGTGGATGTTTGAGTTAGCGTGGCGGGGTGGCTTTGTGGGTTTCTAGAATTAATAGGTATCTAATGGGCAGAGTTTCGGTATTTGAGTGGTGGTGTGATCGCGTAGATGTATGGTAATAGTCTCTCTCGACGTAAGCTAGGGCGTAGTGGCCTCTACGCCGCTACGAATTCCGAAGGGACTGGGATTCTTAGATAGGGCTTCAACTTGCGCGGGACGTCCATTTTGGGACTCCCCGTGACGAATGCCGAGGTGATCCAAATGATATCCACATGAAACTTCACACGCAGCCATAGACATTATTCTAGCTGGTCGCGCCTCATGTTCCAAAAAATGCGGGAGGACTGAGAGGATCTAGAAGATCAATAGCCCGCTTCGAAACATTGCACACAGCAGGTGAATATGGGATGACAAGCAGGCATAATGGACGGAGTAACAGAGAAAAGCGGAATTCTGGTCCCCTCTACGCTAGCTCGTCAAATCAAAAGCTACGAAAGTCTAAACATGCTGAGCAGCGGTTATTTCCGCCACAATGAATCTCGGTTGGAGAGAGCGTGGGGGAAATACGAGCTGAGCGGACGGTTGATGACCGCTCAACCAATCTGCCAAGACAACGACAGGGCGAGCCACTTGAGAGAAATTGGTTATGAAGACAATGAGCATGTTTAATTTTCATAAACCCGCCGAGCGACCGAGGTATAAATCCTAGAACGAAGAGAAACGGCTTCACCGACAAAGTCCTTAACCTGCCTCGGTCAAAGTCCAGGAAAATAAATACGATTCAAGTTTCTTCACTGTGTGCGTGATTTGTGATCAAGGAATCAGAATGGATGTTCCGGACAGTCCGTGGTTCTCAAGCACATCTGTCCAGCTAAGGGGGGAAAACTGACGCGGTCTACGGTCCGATCTAGGTCACCAGGCAGGGCCGGAACCATGACGGTGGATGAACGGCGCAGCAGGCCAAGTGGACCTTGTTTCGGGATTCGGAATGGGACAGGAAGAAGTCGGGATAAGTGCGAGTCGACCAGCTTCTGGACGGGAAACCGGTCGGTCGGTGAGGGATGTTTTGGTTTTACGTAGACAGCAGCGGAGGATTGTTCCAGGCTTTTTCGATGGCCCTGCCTGGTTTGGCAGTCTCCTCTCCCCCTCGCACATCCACTGAAGATATATTTCAGTTCCACAAATGATAGCAAATATTACACCACTAGCATATTTGGAAAGCTTTACTTTGCAAAATAATTTGAATCATTTCATCTCGTTTGAATTTTCTTTTATCCATGATATCAGTAAATATACATGAAGCCACATATTGACTCAATGCAACATATATACAACCCAATGCAAATCCCATCCAATGCATCAAATCCAGTCATGTCTTGTATGTGTAAATGTTAAAAAAAGTAAAACCGCAACCATCCCATATGCAATGTAAATGTAACCAGAAAAACACGCATAAAAAAAAACACCAAAAAAAGAGACTTCGCTTAAGCCTGAGCAAGCTTAGATCTGGCTCGGATAGCCGGACCGAACTTGAACAGGACGAACGGAATAAGCGTCAACAGGGTAGCAACCAGAGCCAGAATCAATCCGGCGTACTGGCTACCGACGTTGTGGAAGAACTGGGACGCGAAGAGAGGCGAGACGGCACCGAGGGTGTTACGCATGAAACCCTGACCGGCGATGGCGGAGGAAGAGTTGGTGCCGTAGCAGTCACTGGTGAAGGAGTAGCAACTCTCAAAGATGAAGAAGATACCGATGGTGATGAGAGCCAGGGCGATAACGGGCGCGATCCAGTGGAGGTACTCGTACTGCGTGAAACTGTAGATGAAGAGGCCGATGGGCAGCCAGACAGCGCCGAAGAGAGCACCGTACAGACGAGCCTCGGGCTGCGGGTTCTCGCCGTTCTTGACCATGCCTTCAAACTTGCGGATCTGGAGGAAGTTGAGAGCGAAACCGATGGTGGTGCCCAGGACGAGGGAGATGTAGGGAAGGCCGGAGACACCCTCGTTCCAGCCCTTCTTCTCGTTGAAGGTGATGGGGATGACGGAAAGGAAGAGGAAGGTCAGGAACCACGCGAAACTGATCCAGAGACCAA